TTTTATCGCAATTTAATTCATATATTAAAAATGATGAGATATATAGGATATTAAAGCAAGTAAATTACAAATTCTAGGCGTGTGATATGGCTGGATTTTTGGAAATTTGTGATAAAAGGAAACGAAAAGTACTAAAATGAACAAAAAATTGAATACTTTGTATAATACAGAGTGAGATAAAAAAAACTGCAACAAAGTCAAACGCCATTTTTACATTTTTTTTACTTTTATTGAATGAAAGCAAAATGTCAGAAATAGCATCAAATTTTAGATTTGTTCGAATTGGTCACCTTTCACACGAATTATGGCCTTCAAACGGCCACCGTCACACGCTGCCCGATGTTGCTCTGCGGTATTTTGGACCATTCCCGACGAAGCGCTTGCTTGAGGTGATCGACTCAGACACAATAGTCCAACGGATTGGTATTCGGAGATTTTGGAGGTGGATTTTTGTGCGCTGGAAATAAAGCGAGGAACCTAATTTTGTTACCATTCTTGGGTTGCTCGCGCTGAGTGCGATGGTGATTAGTCCTGTTGGAATGTCCAAGGTCTGCGGCCAAAATGTTTGCTTAACCAAGGCTTTGTTACACTCTCCAGAATATTTTCGCGATCTTATTCGGAATTTATTCTAATGCCACGGTCGATTAATACGAGCGGAGAGCGACCATCGGTTGTTATAACGGCCCACACCATTACCATGGCCGCCGCTTGAGTTAAGGTGGCCTACCGAAGGTGCACATTTTCAGCTGACCTCTTTGGCAAGTAAGTACGATCATTTTGTTTGTCTACAAACTGCTGGACAACGAATGTTTCCTCATCGGAGAAAACCAAATTCGGCAGCTCTCCACTTTCGGCCAAGCGAAGCAACTCTTTAGCTCTTTTGAGTCTATTTTTTTGCTGTTGCGGTGTAAGTTCTTGCACTTTTTGGAATTTCAATGGCATTTTTCAATATTTGCCGAATGGAAAATTGCGATATGTTCAGCTCACGAGTCATTTTTCGGCCACTGCGACGCGTGTTTCGATCAAGCCGCTTCTTTACTTTTCGAACCATTTCTGCTGATGTTGCTGTTTTCTTCCGTCCACTTCCTTGACGTCGGCCTTCGCTACTAGTATCCCGGTAACGAGCGATGGTACGAGACACAAAAGATTTATTCACATTTAAATACTGGAGTGCTCGAAGGATAGCCACTTGTGGTTTTCCAGCCAAATATAAAGAAATCACACTATCGCGCTTGAATTCCATTACGAATAACAGTTTTTTTAGAAAATTCTGAGCAAAATGCTTTTGTACACCTGTAAACAATATAATGAGCTGTCAGTGGAATAATTTTAACAGCTGTCGGAGGAGTGGCTTAGAAATGACAGCAGTCTGAAGTTGGTTGCAGTTTTCTCATATTGACAGTCTATTGACAGACGGACGAATGATGTGTGATTCTGTAAATATCCTCAAAAGTAAATATCTCGCTTCCTTCTCCATGTAACAAACATATGCAGAAAGACATAATAACCTTACCACTATACGTTGTAAGGTACAAAGAGGCTTAGCGCGAACCATTGGATTGAATCTAAAATTTTAATGAGGACTTTTCGCTGACGAAATTGCTTGCACTTGCTTGTATTAAATAAACCATTCTCTGATGAATGCAAGCAATTCCATCTTTGGCTCTGCTAGTAATTATGACATTGCCACACAAGTGATTGCCATTACTGCTGCAAGTCATGCATTACAAGTGTGCCAATTCCATGGTCATTGGCTGTAGAGGCAGATCTATGTGAGTGATATACATACATACAACTGTATGCATATTTATGGTGAGCTCTGTTCTATATATTTGCTGCGACATGTGTTAGAAAATGTGAAAAAAAAAAATAAACGTGAATCTTCATGCATTCATGCATGCATATGGATGTATGTAGCCACAACTTTATACAATTACACCTACACACACTCACATGTTGTTCACAATTTCGCAATACATAACAAAAACATTATTTACCGACCACAAAATAACCTCTATTTTTCCCCTCAATAAGTGAGGTGCCGTCGCTGCCGTGCTTCCAATGTTTTGCTATATGTGGTGCACATATTTTTCTAGGTGTGTGTGGGTGTGTATGCTTTTGATTTTTTCGTTAGTATTAGAAACGAACTGAAATTTTTATACAATTGCACTTTTGAATATTAAATATTTTTTTTTACAATAACAATTTGTTATGAATGAAAATTGTCATGAAAAAAAGCAAATGAAGGGAATGTTGATGGAAAAGTGGACAATTGTGGCAGCTGATATTATAAATTGTTCTCTTCTAAATATAATACAATCTATGAGTATAATAAAGTTTCAGATAGTTCGCTTGGGGACAAAATAACTTTTATAGGTCTGTTTAAGGCAGAAAACTTTCTAAAATTCTTTTATAAGACTAGAATCTTAAAATGTAGCACCAATTTCTACCCATTGACGGTATGGGGCCATAAAAGCGGATTTTTTGAAATTCGTAAGATATATTAAAGATTGTGTTTTTGGCATAAAAAAAAACTAAAATCTTCAAGCGTGTTGATCGGTATTAATTCGTTCTAAATAGTACTAAAAACTGTGTTTTTGGACCAAAATTCTTTCTTTTCACACATACAGGGTGAGATGAAAAAAATACAACCAACTTTAGACTACTGTCATTTCTAAGCCACTCATCCGACAGCTGTTCCAAATTATTACAGTGACAGCTCATTATATTGTTTACAAGTGTACAAAAGCATTTTGGTGAGAATTTTCCGGAAAAATGTTATTCGTGATTGAATTCAAACGGGATAGTGTGATTTCTTTATATTTGGCTGAAAAACCACACCTGACTATCGTAAGAGCACTCCAGCATTTAAATGTGAATAAATCGTTTGTGTCTCGTACCATCGCTTGTTACTGTGATACTGGTAGCGTAGCCCGACGTCAAGGAAGTGGACGGAAGAAAACAGCAACATCAGCAGAAATGGTTCGAATAGTAAAGAAGCGACTTGATCGAAACCCGCGTCGCTGTGACCGAAATATGGCTCCTGAGCTAAACATATCACAATATTCCATTCGGCAAATATTAAAAAATGAGCTCAGAGTAAAGCCATTGAAACTGTAAAAAGTGCAAGAACTTACACCGCAACAGAAAGAAAATATACTAAAAAGAGCTAAAGAGTTGCTTCGCTTGGCCGAAAGTGGTGAACTGCCGAACTTGGTTTTCTCCGATAAGAAAACATTCGTTGTCCAGCAGTTTGTAAACAAATCAAATGATCGTGTTTACTTCCCAAAGAAGTCAGCTGAAAATGTAAACCTTCGGTTGCCCACCAGAAATCAAGCGCCGGACATGGTGTGGGCCGCCACAACAGCCGATGGTCACTCTCCGCTCGTATTAATCGACCGTGGAATCAGAATAAATGTCGAATATTATCGCGAAAATATTCTGGAGGGTGTATTAAAGCCTTGGACACGCAAACAGTTTGACCGCAGACCTTGGACATTCCAACAGTACTCAGCACCATCGCTCTCACACGCGCCAGCCAAGAATAGTTGCAAAATGAGGTTCCTCGCTTCATTTCTAGCGCACAATGGCCACTAAAATCTCCGGATACCAATACGTTGGACTATTGTGTCTGGAGTATTTTCGAAAGGCAGGTTGGCACTAAAAAATACCAAAGTGTCGATCACCTCAAGCAAGCGCTTCGCCGGGAATGGGCCAAAATACCGCAGACCAGGCCATAATTCGTGCCAAAGGTGACCAATTCGAACAAATCTAGACAAATTCTAAAATTTGAGGCTATTTCCGACATTTTTTGCTCTCATTCAATAAAACTTAAATAAAATATAAAAATTCTGCCTTATGACTTTGCAGTTTTTTATCTCACCCTGTATTAGTAGAAATAATGGGATGTGTGAAATATGAAGAGAACAGGATGCTTATTTCGGATTTTATAATCGTTTTGGTTATTAAAAACTTTGACCTTTTGTGGGGGTGATATCATGGTCCGATCTCTATCACCTTTATAACAGATCTTGTGTTGATGGAAATATTGAGATGTGCCAAGTCTGAATGAAATCGGAAATTAATTCATGGATATTAAAAATTTTGACTCTTGACTGGTACAAGAAGGAGTGGGCCAATATATTTCATCTTGACATCAGATCTTTTGTTTTTTTGAAAATGTCCACCTTTTGTGGGGATGTGCTCGAAGGAGTGAACCGATATTGCCCATCTCCGAACTCAATCTAATTTTGACAATAATATTACGATATACCAAGTATAGACAAAATCGGATACTCCCTTCGAGAGTTATCGTGTGCACCACCCAGACAGACAGACGAACGGACGGACATGGCTAGATCAACTGCAAATGTCCTAAAACGGTTTGGGCCAAGGAGATCTAGGGTCTATAACCGTTATTTCGATAGGAAAGTTTATACCCTCTACAACCATATGACTGAGGGTATAAAAAGGAACCAAAAAGACTCGCGTGAGTTCAAATATTTTACCAAATTAATCCTCCTAATGCCATCCGTTATATTGCAGAAGACTCCAGAATATTAAGAAATCTTGATCCCAAAATTTTAAAAAATATTTACAGGTGGGGGGTGATAGCCCCATTTATTTAGGTTTCTTTACGATGTAAACGCTGATACACGTGTCTTGTTTCACAAGCTCTTTGTGTTGCACAGTGTTAAAGAAGACCTTCTAAAAACCTTTCGCTGTAAATTATTTTTGAAGTTTTTTCAGTAAGAATAACGTCTGATCTTTTGAACGCCTAAGTAACTATACAATTTATTATTTTTGTCCCCTATAAATATTTAATTTATTAATTATATTTATATTAAAAAAAAAAAAAAAAAAATATATATATATATATATATATATATATATATATATATATATATATATATATATATATATATATATATATATATATACATATATACATTTAAATTATAAAAAAATAATTTTCGAATATTTATATTTCCTCATTTCAGCCTGCTCGAACCTTGGAACAATCGTCCATAAATGCGGGTTTCAATAAAAGCTATGGCTCCTTGGCTTCGAATGAATCGGTGTCGGAAAAACTCACTTACTCCTGGTATAATTTGGATGTTTTCGGAGAAGTACATCAGCCGGGGTCGAATTGGAAGCAGCTGATGAATCGAGTGAGGGGAGTGTTCTGCAATGAGCGGCATATACCCAAGCCAAGGAAGCATTTAATTAAAAATGGTAAACATGATTTCCAACCCATTCAAGAAATAAATTTCATTTCACATGTTCCCTTCCAGTCTGTGGCATTGCCTATCCGGGAGAACTACTAGCGGTTATGGGCAGTTCAGGAGCGGGTAAGACAACTCTACTAAATGCCTTGGCTTTTCGTTCGGCACGTGGTGTAACCATCTCCCCGTCCAGTATGCGTATGCTAAATGGTCTACCCGTTGATGCCAAGGAAATGCAGGCCCGCTGTGCCTATGTCCAACAGGATGATCTATTCATTGGCTCACTGACGACACGAGAACATTTGATATTCCAAGCCACCGTTCGCATGCCCCGCTCGATGAGTCAGAAACAAAAGATCCAAAGAGTCGATCAGGTTATACAGGATTTGTCATTGGGTAAATGTCAAAATACCATTATTGGTGTGCCTGGCCGTGTTAAGGGTTTGTCAGGTGGTGAACGCAAGCGTTTGGCTTTTGCCTCGGAAGCCCTAACGGATCCCCCATTGCTGATATGCGATGAACCCACTTCAGGGTTGGATTCATTTATGGCACACAGTGTGGTCCAGGTTCTGAAGAAACTTTCGCAGCGCGGCAAGACCGTCATCCTTACCATACATCAACCCTCCTCGGAGTTGTTTGAGTTGTTCGATAAAATTCTACTCATGGCGGAGGGGAGAGTGGCCTTCCTGGGCACTCCCACCGAAGCAGTGGATTTCTTTTCATTGTAAGTTTTGGAATTGGAAATTTAATAATTGAAAATATTTTGAGTTTTTATTGGTTTTCAGTATTGGCGCCCAATGTCCCAACAATTACAATCCAGCTGATTTCTATGTCCAGGTATTGGCCGTTGTTCCCGGTCGTGAAGTTGAGTCGCGGGATCGTATTTCGAAAATTTGTGACAATTTTGCCGTGGGAAAGTGAGACTGACAAAAAAATATAGAAAATTGTCCTTGGGTAATAATCGTTTTCATCCTCTACAGAGTTGCTCGTGAAATGGAACAGAGTGTCCAGAAAATTGCTGCCAAATCAGAAGCTGTCACCAAAGATGAGGAAAATGGTTTCACCTACAAGGCCTCTTGGTTTACTCAATTCCGTGCCATTATCTGGCGTTCATGGATATCCACATTGAAGGAGCCGTTGCTGGTTAAAGTCCGACTGATACAAACAACGGTAAGGAGCAAGAGAATCTATATTCTTAATGGTACTAAGTTTGGTACAATGGATGGAGCTGGAAAGTTCGATCTAGCGATGTCCGTCCGTCCGTTTGTCTGTCTGGCTGGAGCGCACGATAACTCTCGAAGGGAGTATCCGATTTGATCCAAACTTCGTACATCGTAATATTATTGTCAAACTTAAGTCTAGTTCGGAGATGGGCAATATCGGTCCACTCCCTCTGGTACCTCCCCCACAAAATGTAAAAATTTTCAAAAAAAAAACATTTTACTGCACAGAAAGAGAAGGCATAATCCGATTTTGGAAATCCTAATATTTCCATCAGCGCTACGTCAGGTGCGAAAATGGACAATATCAGTCCACTCCATCCAGTACCTCCCCCACAAAGGATCAAAATGTTGAATATTCACGGAGTTCATAAAACATGAAATTAACATCCGATTCCATTTGGACTTGGCACATCTCAATATTACCATCAACACAAGATTTGTTATAATGATGGTAGAGATCGGACCATTCCTTCTGGTACCTCCACCACGAAAAACCAAAGTTTTGAATGACCCCAACCTTTATAAAATCCGAAATAAGCATCCGGTTCTCTTCATATTTCACACATCCCATTATTTCTACCAACACAAGATATGCTATGAAGATGGAATATATCGGTCCACTCCTTCTGGTGCCTCCCCCACAAAGGGTCAAAATTTTGAATATTCACGGAGCCCATAAAACACGAAAATAACGTCCGATTCCATTCAGGCGTGATGCATCTCAATATTTCCCTCAACACAAGATCTGCTATAAAGATGGTAAAGATCGCACAATTTCTTCTAATACCTCCCCCAGTTTTTTGAGTGCCAACCCTGCTTTCCAAAATACTCCAGACACAATAGTCCAATGGATTGGTATCCGGATATTTTGGTGGCCATTGTGCGCTGGAAATGAAGCGATGAACCTCATTTTGTAACCATACTTAGGTGGCGCGTGCTGAATGCGACGATGCTGAGTCCTGTTGGAATGTTTAAGGTCTGCGGCCAAAATGTTTGCGAGCCCAAGGCTTTGATACACCCTCCAGAATATTTTCGCGATAATATTCGGCACTTATTCTGATGCCACGGTCGATTAATACGAGCGGAGAGCGAACATCGGCTGTTATGGCGGCCCACACCATCACCATGACCGACTCTTGAGTTCTGGTGGCCAACCGAAGGTGCACATTTTCAGCTGACCTCTTTGGTCAACAGTCTGAAGTTGGTTGCAGTTTTTTCATCTCAAATCTTCTCATGACCCTATTTTTTAACTGAAATTAAATTATTTATTTTCAATTTTTTCAGATGGTTGCAATTTTGATTGGCCTAATCTTTTTAAATCAGCCCCTAACCCAGGTGGGAGTTATGAACATCAATGGCGCCATATTTCTGTTTCTCACCAATATGACTTTCCAGAATGTTTTTGCTGTTATCAATGTGAGCATCTTTCAGAATTAAGCCCTCATTTCATCTAACTCCCTTTCTCCTCTCCCCCACTTAGGTTTTCACTTCGGAACTGCCGGTATTTATGCGCGAGACACGAAGTCGCCTGTATCGCTGTGACACCTATTTCCTTGGCAAAACAATAGCCGAACTGCCGTTGTTTTTGGTGGTACCCTTTGTTTTCACAGCCATCGCCTATCCCATGATTGGTCTGCGTCCCGGTCTCATACATTTCTTTGTTGCCATGGCTTTGGTTACGCTGGTTGCCAATGTCTCGACATCATTTGGCTATTTAATATCGTGTGCCTCCTCATCGACATCAATGGCTTTATCTGTCGGCCCACCAGTGACCATACCCTTTCTGCTGTTTGGCGGTTTCTTCTTGAATTCCGGTTCAGTGCCGGTCTATTTTAAATGGTTATCGTATTTCTCGTGGTTCCGTTATGCCAACGAGGGGTTGCTCATCAATCAATGGGCCGATGTACAGCCGGGTGAAATCACCTGCACCTCGACGAATACCACATGTCCCAGTTCGGGCAAGGTTATTTTGGAAACTTTGAACTTTTCCGAAAATAATTTACCATTCGATTATTTGGGCCTAATAGCACTGATATTGATTTTTAGAATCTCCGCATATATGGCATTGAGATGGCGTGCCAGTCGTAAGGAATAATGTAGGCTGGTTGGCAGTTATTGGATTGGGCTATAATAATAGTAATTGTTGTATATAACTTTAATTTTTGCAAGTTTAAATAAAGTAATCAAGTGTTTTTGTGTATTATTTGGAATATTAAAATCTGGGGGTATGCATGGTTTTTGGGGTTATGGTAACTATTAAATATAAAACATTTTATTCTATATCACGGTAGCTTTCAAACGTAAAATTTTGATATGAAAAAATAAATAAAAGTTGACAACGTTGGTATCTGTCACTAGGTCTTGGCGACTACATTCATTTTGTCACTAATTTACTAACAATTTTCCTTAATTACCGAATTTACAAGCATTTGAATTTCACCGATTTTTTCGTTGGCTCAAAATATGAGTTACAGAATTCCACTTCTCAAAAATATATTCAAATTTGTAACGTCCACATTACCAACCCTCCATTTGGTATAAATTCAAATCTAGTGCCATTTTGCACAACTGTGTGGTGTTGTTACAGTTGGCAACCCTATTCACTGAACACAGAAAGGTACCTATTATATCAGCTGTTATGGATGTTTTATAGCATCGATAGTAGGGACATATAGGTCGCTTTTTGACTTTTATTAATATTTCTACTTCTTAACGTAAAGGTTGCTGAATCCATGGTGCCGCATTTTTTTGATAATATGGCAATAACACCAGAATTTATTCAAATAAAAAAACTGTTGACCCTTTATGGAGGAAGTTTCGAAGCAGTTAGACAACATTATAAATTTCTGATATAAATATTACAACGTGCTATATTTGAACTATATCGTCTACTTCCTATACTTTATATGAGATATATGTGCAAACATTTTGCAAAATGTGGAAATATGCGTGAGGCACCAGATATAGCGGACCGAAATATTCCATTTGAGCGAATGCAGATTAAAATATTGATACGTGCAAAATTTCAAGGAAATCGAACATTATATCAAATTTCATACGAAATAATAAATTCCGATTTATTACATGTACATATCAAATTTCTGACTTAGGGAAATATTTAGATATAGCAAGTTCTATAGAATCGCCGACGTGTTTCGCAAGTTATAACAGATATAAGTAATGGAAATTGCGTTTTGTTTTTCAAAAATTTGAACCCTTTGGGGGAAAGTACCAGAAGGGGTGCACGATATCATTTTTCATCATTGAGAAGAACTGGAAGCTTATTTCGGATTTTGTAGTAGATTTGGTTATTCAAAATTTTACTCTTTGTGGGGGAGGTTTTTATAACAGAGTGTTGATGGAAATATTGAGATGTACCAAGTCTGAATGGCATCTGATGTTAACTTCAAGTTTCATGGTTACTCAAAATGTTGACCCTTTGGGGGGAGGTACAAGAAGACGTGGACCGATATATTCACATCAGACTTTCGGTCAATAAAAATATTGTGATGTGTGTAATTTGAAGAGAACCGGATGCTCATTTCGGATATAGGATAGTTTTGGTTATGCAAAAATGTGACTCTTTGTGAGGGAGGTACCAGAAGGAATTGTCCGATATCTACCATCTTTATAACAGATCTTATGTTTATGGAAACATTGAGATGTGCTAAGTATGAATGGAATCGGATATTAATTTCGTGTTTTGTGAGCTTCATGAGTATTCAAAATTCTGACCCTTTGTGTGGGAGGATGAAATCGGATACTCCCTTCGATAGTTATCGTGCGCATCAGCCAACCAGACAGACTGATGGACATAGCTAGATCGACTACAAATGTCCTAAAACGGATTTGGTTCAAAGAGACGTAGGGTCTAAACCGCACCGTACCGTACCTACGATCTGGGCCATAATAGCAATCCAAACGAAGATGTTGTCATTTGTCTGAATTCTGAGCTTTTTTTTTGAAAACTTTCCTATAGTTTTTAAAAATCAACCTTTATGGGAAGACAGATTTACCAATATTGATTACTATGCTTTTGTTTTATCAATTACATTTAACGCGTAAAATGGATCTGCGAATTCATTCAAGTTTCATGAAATTACTCGTATATAGACTCAGCTTTTGCAGTTGATTGTTATTTTAATCGATATATCTCTTTACACGACTAGTTCGATAGTCGACCTACATATCCCTAACCATAAACTGTCAAAGCAAAAACAATGCCGGTGAGAGTTCGTCTGAAAGAGAATAAAAAATTCTAATAAATGAAAAAGGTGCATTGCGTTAATAATTTAATTGCAGCTCAAAATAAAATTGTTATAATAAACAAGAGTGGGAGTGTGTGTGTGTGTGATTAAAGATTAAAAATCTTGCACAATTCCTGTGCACTGTTATTTCCGTGCAGGAATGACGCTGTTGAAATTGCAACAAAAACAATAGAAACCATGTTGTGCCGGGTCGAAAATGACGTGACGTTGTCTGCTCTGAAACTTTGTTGACGTTGTTTTCTGTTGATGTGTGGTGTTGTTGTTGTTATTGCTCTATCGCATTATCGTATGTTCTCAAGACGAAGCTTTTTTCATATTGACGCATTGTTGTTGTTATGTTATTTTGTCGATTACCGCTGTCCACTTAAAAATTACCTACCGTGAGTGTAGGTAGGAGAGATAGTGTGGTGCCTTCATCGTCGTTGTCGTCGTCGTTCACCTACAGAGGGGCGGGAGGCGAGATGTTTTTGTTTTATCAATCATCTCTACTAGGAATTTTTTGTGTGTTTTTAATCTAATCAAGCAACCATAGCAAAATAAAACAATAGAAATTTTAAAACAAAATTGCTTGTTGTTCTCTCGTACGTCCGTCCGTTTGTTCGTCTGTCCATTTGTCGTCGTCGTCGTATGCATACACTTTGTATGCGAGCTGGCTGGCTGTGTTGTGTGTTTTTGCAAATCGTCGTCGTCGTCGCCAAACGAATCAGCCGTCAGCAGAAGTAATAGCAGCAACGGCAAACAGCAACAACGTAGAAGGTACCCTCTTTTGACATTCGTAAAAACGTAACCCCAATCATCGGCCAGCCAGGCAGGCAGTCAGCAAAGCAAGCATTTAGTTTGTTAAAGTATTTTGCTGGAGAATAGCAGCACAGCACAGAGCTAATAGGAGAATCCATTGCCCGCGCATTGTTGGATATTGGCATGGACTAGAGAAGTGTTACAGATTATCTTGTTAAATTATAAGGTATGCAGTTGGAGCATCGGAAGGTAGACAAGCGAGCACCACCAACTTGTCTAGTAGTTGACCCTCAGAGCAATGACAAATGGTTTTAGTTTGGTTGTTGTTGCTATATTTAAACAATAAATATATTCACGTTTTATTTTATGGACATTGTTGACATGAGATTTTCTAGTTTCCAAATCAGATGTCTAATATTATATATTTGGCTTTCTTCTCTTTCCATGTTGCTGCCCTTCAACGATGCGCCGCGCCACATATTCATCTGCGACACATGATGAAACATTGGATAAAAACAAAAACGATTAAATATACCACACCGACAACAACACTTGTTCAATTTTTGGAATCTAGACAACAAAAGGATAATTTAGAAAAAGGCAGCAGGTGATATTACGTTTTAACTTGAACACAATTTGTTGAAGAAAGCTTTGCCGAAAACCTTGAACGAGGAAAGTTCAAGAACCTCTTTATTTTGACACCAAAACATCGACGAACTCAACAAAGCCATCAATGTGGATTTGATTCGTTTGTGTGGTATTTGGCATTGTAAAATCTGCATTGACCAAAAAATTTGGAATAGTGTTTGTGTGTTAGACCAGTCATAGCAAAGTAATACACTTCCCCCAAACAAAAGCAACAGCAAAATGGCCAAAAACAATATTGACACATTAGTCAGTGAATGGGACGAACTCAGTCGTGAGTTTCAAGATTTGGAGGTAAGTCTAAGGTTTCACAAATTTCAATGACCAACTCTAATTGCTTTCATCTTCTTTTAGGAATGCAATCGAAAATATATTGAACTATTGGAACAGCTACATTCCCATCAACACAAATGCTTCAATGAAATCAAACATCAGCGTTATCGCATGAATCAAATCAGCACATCGCTAAGACAGTAAGTAGTGTTGTGAACATACCCCCGAAAATTGAAATGTTTAAAAATACCTATCTTACCGTATTTGTAAGGTATTGAAATTTGGACTTCCAATTAAGATAAGTGGCGGGCTATGTGTTGGGCTATCATAAAGATATGCGAAAACAGCAGTACTAAACGTTTTCAAAAGCGGTTAATGTTCGGTTAGTAGCGAACAGCGTGTGTTGTTGTAAATGCAAAATAAACATAGGATTTAAAGTTCGTTAAGGTTTGCTGAGCTGATTAGATGGTTGGTTGATGACATCGTTTACAAAAAAGCAATAATTAAACAAATGCAAATATTTACGCGTATGGTGGAATGTGGGTACTGGCATTTGGCCAATAATTATGGATTGGGGCAAGGATGACAAAAGTAAGGAATTACAGTACGAATATGTAGTACTTCCCAAGAGTAAACATGCCATACACAAAAAAATATGTCAATTACTGGGTTGTCTAGGTCTATCGAACGGTAAAAATCCAAATAGTTGTAAAGAAATTTATTATTCATCCTGGGCAAAATATACGGCAAAGCAATTGATTTTCAAACTCTGAAACGAAAAGAATGTGTTACGTGAATTAAAAATCTACCGAAAGAGACACATTTAATTGTTTATGTCTATAGAAAATCAATGTGGATATATAGATATATTAACGTAGATATATTATTCTTTTTTTTTTCAAAAAGTCTTATACAGAATTTATGTAATTTATTTTTGACAAAAATGCTCGTTTGACTTCCATAAACATACCCTCAGTAGCACAGGATGAGATAAAAAAAAACTGCAACAAAGTTAATCGCCATAATCTTTACATTTTAATTTCTTTTTAAATTTTATTGAATGAAAGCAAAAAATGTCAGAAATAGCATCAAATTCTAGAATAGGCTTAGATTTGTTCGAATTGGTCACCTTTGGCACGAATTATGGCCTTTAAAAAGCCAATGAAACCCTCACACACTGCCCGAATGTTGCTCTGAGGTATTTTGGCCCATTCCCGGCGAAGCGCTTGTTTGAGGTGATCGACACTTTGTTATTTTTTAGTGCCAACCTTGCTTTTCAAAATACTCCAGACACAATAGTCCAACGGATTGGTATCCGGAGATTTTTGTGGCCATTGTGTGCTGGAAATGAAACGACGAACCTCATTATGTAACCATTCTAGGGTAGCGCGTGCTGAGTACGATGGTGCTGAGTCCTGTTGGAATGTCCAAGGTCTGCGCCCAAGATATTTGCATGCCCAAGCCTTAAATACACCCTCCAAAATATTTTCAAAACAATATTCGGCATTTATTCTGATGCTACGGTCGATTAATACGAGCGGAGAGCGATTATCGGCTGTTATGGCGGCCCACACCATCACCATGGCCGGCGCTTGAGTTCTGGTGGCCAACCGAAGGTGCATATTTTCAGCTGACCTCTTTGGCAAGTAAACACGATCATTATGTTTGTTAACAAACTGCTGAACGACGAATTTTTTCTTCATCGGAGAAAACCAAATTCGGCAGTTCACCACTTTCGGCCCAGCGAATCAACTCTTTAGCTCTTTTGAGTCCATTTTCTTTCTGTTACGGTGTAAGTTCTTGCACTTTTTGCAATTGCAATGGCCGAAGGGAATATCACGATATCTTCAGCTCACGAGCCATTTTTCGGCCACTGCGACGCAAGTTTCGATCAAGCGACTTCTTTACTTTTCAAAACATTTCTGCTGATATTGCTGTTTTCTTCCGTCCACTTCTTTGAAGTCGGGCTACGCTACCATTATCAAGGTAACGAGCGATGGTACGAGACACAAACGATTTATTCACATTTAAATGCTGGAGTGCTCTAACATACCCACTTATGGTTTTCCCGCCAAATATAAAGATATCACACTTTCACGCTTGAATTCCATCCAAATAATTTTTCCAAAATTCTTTTGTACGCTTTTAAACAACATAATGAGCTGTCATTGGAATAATTTTAAAAGCTGTCGGACAAGTGGCTTGGAAATGACAGCAGGTTGAAGTTGGTTGCAGTTTTTTCATCTACCACGCCATATTGTTTTAGTTGTTCTGCAATTCACCCTATAAGTTCTATAAATATATCCTCCGGAATTAACTGCATTTCGAGATATACGCTGGGCCAAAAATATTAACTTTGTGGCCATTCTCACTTTTTTTCATATATTTTCTGTATAAGTTTTAACAAATTCAATTTCAACATCTTTCTAGAAAGCTGTTCTCTTATTATTATAGCACTTTTCTTTGGGTCTTCCGTGCTTTTTAACGCACTTGATTATTCACAATCTAGCAGTATAAAAAATCAAATATCAGTCCACCAAAGTCTCGAACCATAACAGCATCTTATCAGTATCAATGCAATTTGTTTCCAAGTCATAAAAGTTACAAAAAAAATTCACTTTCTAATGTGACTGCAAATACCAAGTCATTTCAAAACAAAAATCTATAACTATTAATCGTAGCGGAAAGAAAAAGCGTGTATTATTTTTAGACTGCGCAACACACATGTGCGATTTTGGGATGACGGAATATTTTTAACCTTGAACCTGAGAAAATTTCGAAATTATCACGTTTTCACATAAATCTGGCAACACAAGCAATTTCTATGTTATGCTTGAAATCTTTCTATATGTTAATGACAACACTGATGCTGATTTCAAGTGATTTTCGGGAAAATAAAATACAAATGTTTTGTGGTTAATGCTAAAGTGAATCACAAGAGTAGAGGATGCATATAATTGAATTTGATATTGAGCAGAAAACTATTTTGAGTGTATTATTAATTTGGGTGAAACAATGTTGAATATTGATTGTGTCGGATGGCTACACTACGGAACTTGCGGATATTAAATGAAAAATTGTATTTCGGATTACTACAGCGTGAGATGACAAAACTGCAACAAAGTCAAACGCCATAATTTCTAATTTTTTTTATTAATTTTATTGAATGAAAGCAAAAAATGTCGGAAATAAAATCAAATTTTAGAATAAGTTTAGATTTGATTGAATTGGTCACCTTTGGCACGAATTATGGCCTTCAAACGACCAAGGAAACCGTCACACGCCCCGAATGTTGCTCTGTGGAATTTTGGCCCATTCCCGACACAATAGTCCATTCCCGACACAATAGTGGCAGTTTACCACTTTCGAACAAGAGAAGCAACTTCTTAGCTCTTTTGAGTCTATATTTTTTCTGAAAGTTCTTGCAGGTTTGGAATTTCAATGGCTTTACCCCGAGCTCATTTTTCAATATTTGCCGAATGGAATATGGCAGCTCACAAGCCATTTTTCGATCTCTACTTTTCGAACCATTTCTGCTGATGTTGCTGTTTTCTTCCGTCCACTTCCACCTTGACGTCGGGCTACGCTACCAGCATCACGACAACGAGTGATGGTACAAGACACAAACGATTTATTCACATTTAAATGTTGAAGTGCTCTAACGATAGCCACTTTTGTTTTTCACGATTAAATTCCATCACGAATAACTTTTTTCACGAGTAACTTGTTTTCTGAAAAATTCTGACGCTTGTTAACAATATAATGAGCTGTCACTGGAATAATTTTAACAGCTGTCGGACGAGTGGCTTAGAAATTACAGCAGTCTGAAGTTGGTTGCAGTTTTTTCATCTCACCCTCTACAAAGCTTGATAGCACATCTGATGTAACAGTAGTTTAGACCCTATTTATTAAATAAAATTCCTTCTTCTATACGGCTTCCCTATTTCATATATATTCCCCAAAATAACGTCCAAAACATTGCTAATATTTTAAAAATATTTTTATCACCAGTTATGTTGTTGCTATTGGTAACATGCTTGTTGCCATAAATACCTCGAAGAACTTTGGAACATTACCAATTTTTTTTGTTATTTTTGAAATTGAATGTTGACACTTTGATAAATAATTAATACATTATATCACCCGATTCCTTATCAATTTCTTGTGGATGAACGAAAATTGTATGTTTCTTTTATGGATAACAAATGTTTTCTTTTACCGCTCATTATGGCCAATGGATACCAAGCAATATATTTTTGTTTCTTCAAAGAAAATTTTATTTTTTAATTGGCAGTTGGTTGAATTTTTATTGCTTGGACACTTCCAACGTCGATACCAATAACATAAGAAAATAGCAAAAAGTACAAACCTTATCTTGGAACATAAAACAACAATAGTAGTCCATTAACTCGAAAAAAAAAAACACAACAAATCCAATGTTCAAATTTCAAAATGTTTGTCTAAATAAAAAACGAAAAAGTATTGACATTTTTAGGCAAACCGTCTATAGTCCTCTGCAAACGTTAATTTGTAACAACAATCACTATATAACAATATATTCATATGCAACACAATTATTGCCGGCGTTGTTTTAAATACAACATCTAAATTTAACTACCAACATAAGAAGTATATTTTTTATAAATACAGGGTGAGATAAAAAACTGCAACAAAGTCAAACGCCACAATTTTTACATTTAAAAAAAATTAATGAATGAAAGCGAAAAATGTCGGAAATAGGATCAAATTTTAGAATAAGTTTAGATCGAATTGTTCACCTTTGGCGGGTTTCGATCAAGTCGCTTCTTCGCTTTTCAAACCTTTTCCAGAAGCGAAATTTGAAATATTTGATTTGATTCCAAAGCCAGCGACAAATTTTAGAATAAGAATATCTACGGCCGATAAGAAGGTTGTGGTCAAATATTTGTATGCCTGCTTCTCTTTAGCATGGGGAACCTACAGGTCTGATGTTTATCCATCAATAGTTCCTTGACTCATCCAAATATGGTGGATATAACCCTGCAGTGCCCAGTCATCACACTCTAACTTATTCAGCGAAACTATACTCGGGCAGATTAAGAGAAATACCATTTTTATACCCTCCACCATAGTATGGAGGTTATATTAAGTTTGTCATTCCGTTTGTAGCACCTCGGAATATACATTTTAGACCTCACAAAGTATATATATTCTTGATCATCATAAAATTCTATGTCGACTTAATAATGTCCGTCCGTCTATCCGTCTGTTCGTCTGTGGAAATCACTCTAGCTTCCGAACAAAATGAAGTAAGTTGATAAAAATTTACTCAAATGTGTATTACGTCTGCAGGACTGTTGGTATTGAAAATGGGCCATGTAAGTCCACATATTCGTATAGCCCCCACATAACTGTACCCCCTGATATTCGGTATCTGTATCCACTCAATCACTCAGCGTCGCATTTACTGTCCGTAGAACGGTAGATTGCGATCCTTCGCGAGTTAACCAAACATTTGATTTCTCAAACTGTTTGTATGCTCAGGTAACCAACATATCTTTACATATCCGCATTTATCATATAGGACTGAAAACTTTAAGGGTGGTTTGACTAACGACCTGTATTGTAACGGATCCCGTTGTGCTGACATTTATGCTCTTCAATGTCTAGACTGACCTTGGCTCCCAGGAATGCTATCAAAAATGTACTGAGTAGGTGTGGCCTCCCGCCATATTAGAGCCGTCTAGAGGAGATACTTCTCTTTCGATTCGTGCTTAATGATCAAACAACTTACGTGTTCTCTGTAAGATATTGAAATATAATAATGTTGGGATGTAATCACCAACTTAGTCATCGACTCTTCTATATTTTGGCTCACTGAATCTTCTTTGATTCTGGCATGTTCGATTTGTTAAGAATTTTACGGACCTGATTCATTGGCACTGAATGCATTTCATGTCGCCTAAAAAATTCACCACAACTTTACATTAAAGCCGGTTTCTGTGTGCTTCATATTGCTCCAAAAACAAAAAATCTTACCTTCATATTTCACTGAAGTCCCAATGTTTCGCATGGAGATCTTATCAGATATGAGGTCAGAAAATATTTAATGTATATCCATTGAGTATGTTTAGTGGGGAAGTTTCCAAGTCTGTCTTATTTGGGTTTACCCCCAATCCGATAATGATTTCAAAATTATTTACTGGCCAATTGTTCTCCTTTGCAGCTTCTCTACGACTGAAAATGTATTTTTATGCTTCTCGAAATGAATCAACCCTGAAATATATGTATATGTAGTACAAAATGATACTGCAGGTTAATCCCCAATACTTTTCCCTATCCATTGTAAATTCTAATATCAACATAAATAAAGTAACATTATGGGAGTGACTAAAAAGGTCATCCACACTCTGGCCAACCCTCATATTCCGGTATAAATATACCTTTTTTGCGTATGTTTTCCAAACCTTTCCACATAACATAGACCGCTATTGAACTAGATATGTCTGGTGAGTGACATACATTTTCAAGGCAGTTATTAATTATTTGCTTGAAAATATATAATTATATTGATAAAATTTCATTTATTGTATAATCAACGATGCCAAACATTCAAAAAGTCACGTCGATAATGCATTTTGTACCATGCATATATGTGGGCATACATACTTATTCGTGTGTGTGTTTTTGTTGTTCTTGTAGCCGATTATTCAATACCACACACCTCGACAAATATTTTCACACTTTATTTTTTTAATCGCTGACTAATAACATTTAATATTCTTAATTCAAAATTCCCATGAAGTACATTACTAATTCCATTTTCATTTCTGTTTTGTGTTTATTCTCTGTTTTCCGATATCAGATTTAGAAATACCCAATCGGAGGAAGAAAAACAAAAGGTAGCAGAACTTCAGAAAAATACTCTAAAACGTAAAGCACAACTACACGAAATCGAACAGTCATTACCCACAAAATCAGGACGTTATCTAAGGGTAAGCGATAATTAATCAAAAATATTAAGAAATAAAATTTCTAAGTAATTAATTTGGTTATTTTTTTGTTTTTCTAGATAATACTCGGCGATGTTAATGTTTCGATATTGAACAGAAATGACAAAGTCCGTTACAAAGATGAATATGAAAAATTCAAATTGATACTCAATGTCATTGGATTGCTGTTGGCATTTTTAAATTTAATATTTAATTACAGGTGAGTGAAAAATAAAATCAAACAATTTTGGTACATTTCGATCATTAAGCTGAATTCCAAAGAAAAGAAAACAATTTGTGTTCGGACCTTTAATCCACCACTCGCTTTTTTGTTACATGAATTCAAGTGTGTTTAGCGATTATCCAAATTTAGCATATTTACATTTGAAACAATTATCAAAGTGTATTAATATTTACATATTATCCTGGAAGAAATTGGAGGATAGGTGAAACAAGTCCTACCATAACCTTTGATCAAAAGAACCTTTGCGACAGGAATTGTAAAGTTGCGAACCAGGTACCTCAAAATATGCCTGAAAAGTCGTATATATCTCACTCATGTCATGTCATGATGACATGAGGTCTATCCTTGCATTCCCCGTTCGCAGCATGGATTAGTTAATCAGCAACAAACTAATGACTAATTTTGTAGCCTTCCGAATCAAACATTTATAATTTCCAACCGAAGCAACACCAATCCATACCAATCTACCTCCAAGCGATTGCAATTGAGTATTTATCGGTCTACAATAATATTATAATAAATAAATTAATATTATTCATTTTCCCAAGGCATGTACACCCAGTAGTTACGACGAAAAACATAAATGTTTTGCCAGCTTCATTTTTATACCCTCAGCCATATGACTAGAGACGTGCCTCATCGAAATAAGGGTTTTAGATACTAGGTCTCTTTGGACCAAATCCTTTTCAGGACATTTGGAATCATTGTAGCGATGTCCGTCTGTCTGTCGGGTGGTGCGCATGATAACTCTCGAGGGGAGTATTCGAGTAGAAAGTAAGCATTTTAGAAAGTTGACCTCTGAATTTCCATTTCTATTGCAACATAAACAAATAAAAAAGCAGTGGGTTCGGCCGGGCCGAACTTGAATACCATCCACCATTAAGAACAAATTGATTAAAAAATCCGTTTAAAATTCTGTTAAAATCTTAAAAATGCCGAATGTAGCCGATATATTAGGGTCTATGCGACGATGTGGACCTGCATTGGCAACTTTTGTCATAAGCCATTACAATATTCAAATACGAGAGGTACCATTATATGGGAGCTATACGAAGACATGGATCTGCACAGACAACTTTCTGTCATAGGCTGTAATAACCATTACGAACTTCAAATACCAAATTTGAAACAATTCCGGTTAAAAATGTCGCTAAAATCATCAAAATACAGAATATCGGGAGGTACTGTTATATGGGGGCTATACCAAAACATGGATCTACATGGCCCATTTTCAATACTAAAAGTCCTGCAGACATAATATACATTTGAGTAATATTTTATCAACCTACATCATTTTGTTCGGAAGCTAGAGTGATTTCCACGAAGAACGGACGGACGGCTTAGTAGCCAATTCAGTCAAATCATACAAATTGTCAAGTTGTGAGATGTTTTTCAATCGGAACGCATCCTTGCATATTTTAGTTTTCTTGTCCTGCAGAAAGTTTCATAACTGCAGTTTCTTTTAATTTGGATTTGTTCATGGTCTTTCGCATTGTTGCATGACCAATGCTTTCATCCTTGGTAGACGTAAAAAATCTACTTTTTATATCCCTTGCTCACACAAATTTCAATCCCTGCCTCCAAACTTTCATCATTTAATGTCCCAAACGCGAACCTGACAACACAATATCTCTTCCTTTCTTTCCTTACAGGGCTTTGGAATTGTCATATATTTTCCTCTTGGTCTGGTATTATTGCACACTCACAATTCGCGAATCGATATTGAAGGTAAATGGCTCACGTATCAAGGGTTGGTGGCGGGCCCATCACTTTATTTCGACAGTGGCAGCTGGCGTGCTATTGGTTTGGCCCCAGGGAGAACATTGGCAGCTATTCCGCAATCAATTTATGTACTTTAATGCATATATCAGTGAGTAAAACGAATATTTATTAATTATTTTGTATAATCTAATTTGTCATCTTATTTGCTTTAGGTATTGTCCAATATCTACAATTCGGTTATCAAAAGGGTCTATTATATCGTCTGAAGGCATTGGGTGAACGCCACAATATGGATATTACCATTGAAGGTTTCCATTCGTGGATGTGGCGCGGCTTGAGCTTTTTATTGCCCTTCCTCTTTATTGGTTATGCCTTCCAGGCCTACAATGCCTGGACATTGTATAAATTGTCCTTCAATCCTCCAGATGCACCATGGCATGTAAGTTGGAAAGAGATTTTTTCCAATTTTGGGTGTATTATTAATGATTGTTTTTTATTGTGTTTTCCAGGTTTCGGTTATGAGCGGCTTATTCACCTTGCTGTTTATTGGTAACATTACCACAACGTTGTTGGTGGTACCCGAAAAGATTCGCGAACGTGCCAAGGAACGTTATCGTCTACTGAGCATGGGCAAATCAATGAAGTTGAGAAAACAAATGAAGGTAAGTTCTCGAGGAGCATAGTTTTCGCAAACTGATGCATAGTCTAAATTACACTGTGAATCACAAAAACTGAAAAATTATCAAAAGGGGGCACGTTTCGGTATAAACCTTATATAAAGATACTCCTGATTAGACTAATTGTAAGGGTAAAATAAGGTCAATGTTTTCCAATCGAATTGACATTAACTCATTATACCTTCAGACAGGCCAAAACGTGCCTCATCGAAATAACGGTTTTGGACTCTAGGTCTCTCTCCAAATCCGTTTCAGGACATTTTGAGTCGATCTAGCGATGTCCGTCCGTCTGTCTGTCTGGCTGGTGCGCACGATAACTCTCGAAGGGTCTATCCGATTTGATCCAAACTTGGTACATCGGAATATTATTGTCAAACTTAGATCAAGTTCGGAGATCCGATTTAACACCAACTTTGCAAATCCTAATATTTGCATCAGTGCTAGGTCAGGTGCGAAAATCTACAATATCGATCCAGTGTCAAAATTTTGAATAATTATAACTCATATAAAAGGTAATTTAAGTGCTCAATTGTCTCCAAATTAGACACATCACATTATTTTTATTAATCCAAGGTCTAGTCTAAAAATGGAATATATTGGTCCACTACTTCTAGTACCTCCCCCAATAGAGGTCGACATTTTGAATACCCATTAAGCTCATAAAACGCGAAATTAACATCCGATTTCATTTAAACTTGGCACATCTGAATATTTCCATCATCACAGGATCTGTTATAAAAACGTTAGAGATCGGACCATTCCTTCTGGTATCTCTCCTACAAACTTTCAAAGTTTTGAATAACCAAACGTTTATAAAATCTGAAATATGCTTCAGGATCTCTTTATATTTCACACATTCCTATATTTCTACTAACAAAAGATCTGTTTTGTGAAGATGGGATATATCGGTCCACTCCTTCTGGTACCTCCGCCACAAAGGGTCAAAATTTTGAATATCCCTGGAGCTCATAAAACGCGAATTTAACATCCGATTCCATTCAGATTTGGCACATCTCAATATTTCCATCAACACAAAATCTGTTATAAAGATGGTAGAGATAGGACCATTTCTTCTGGTACCTTCCCCACATAGGGTTCAAGATTTTGAGAAACCAAACGCTCAAAGTGATTCAAAAAAGCATTCTACTTTCTTCAAATTTCACACACACATTTTTGCTTTCACCAGATCTGTAGTGAGGATGATACATAGCTGCGAATCCCTTCTGGTACCTCATCCACAAAGGGTCACAATTTTCAATACTTTTATCTGTCATAACTTACGAAAGAGTCAACAGTTTGAATAATCATAACTCAAGGCTGGGGTATACATCTCTCGGCAAAACCGTTGTTGTTTTATTTTAATTTATTTTTATTTTTCTCCATTACAGAATAGTATGAGCGAATCCGATGTGTCAGCACAACCCAGTCCCGCATCATCACCGGTAGCTGAAAACTCCTCTAAAACTGTAAACTCTCAAGGAGACAAGAAAGACGACTAGTCATACCACTGGAGGCTCTAAAGGAAACACCCTACTCAACAAAACACAACAACAAAAAACAAAATAGAAAACCTTTCCATGAACTTTATTGGGCGATCCACTTGAACGGAATTAATTTTCAATGACCGAGGAAATATTGAATATGAATTTCTAGTATAGAAACTAACCTACCGAAACAAAACTAGCAACAACAATTTCAGGGCAAAAACAAAACCAAAACCAAACTCAAATTCATAAACATCTACCACACACATCAAACCAAGAAAGCCGAGAGGATAATTAGCTTACAGGTTGAATGGATTATTATATGGACAAATGGAAGCTCTACATAAATGTTCCTTCTACCTAACGTGTTAATTTATTATTATTATTTTTTCTACATTACTAAGTTTTAAATACATATAGAGAAATTTGTTATTTTTTGCTTTATGTTGGCTCAGGAACAGCCCATTCCAAACACACAAACATGAATTGTTTTTGAATGCATTTTTTTGTTGGGCAATTCTATATGGAATTTTCTTTCCGTTTTTCCTCTTCTTTCTTTCGCTTTGGATTAGTTAGCATGATTTGTATTAGAGTTTAAACTACCATTTACATGTAATTTGTATTGTTTGTATTATTTTTTTCATTACAGCAACAACAACTGTTAGCATTTAATTAAATTAATTTTTTCATTTGTTAAGGTTATTTTTTTTATGATTATAAAAAACAAGTTTTGAAACCAAATGTCATCCCCACACACTCCCCCCTTCTTACAAGTAACAATGTAAACCCCTTAGAATAATAAATGAGTATTCTGTTTGTACGATGCATTTGTATTTCCATCTCTTTTGTCTTTTGGATTCTTTAAAGATCAAGAAAAAAAGCAAAACCAGATTTTTGGAAAAAATATATATCCTTAAGAGTTGATACAAAATTTTAAAAATAATTATAAATATTTCTATGTGATTAAAAAAGGAAAATAAAAACTCAATAAGACATAAAATGGAATAAAGAAGAAGAAAAAAATATGGAAGAATTTTCGACTATTTTTCTCGGTTTCAACGAAAATGGTAAACATTTGCAGTCGAAGTTCGCCGAACTAAAGCATTTGTGGTTCGCACTGAAGCACTTTTTCGGACCGCAATAAATAAATTGGTGGAAAAAATTCGAGTGGTTGAGACAGCTTATTTATTTGAAGTGAAATGGACGAACAGTAGAGTTGGTCATTTCACAGACTTCATTACGCCGTAATTTGCATAAGAACATAGTTCTAAGGACTTATAAAGTTCATTTAACACAAAAACTCAGTTCGCCCTGACGATCACCAACAATACTCAAATACTCATGTTAGACCATACAACGTACATATATTCGTGATCAGCAAAAAATGAAAAGTCGATTCACGAATTAAGATCCAGGCAAAATTTTTACTCGTATGTATATTTTGTCAGCAGACTGGTTAAGTTGGGCTATGTTGATTCATGTACCTCCGTTGATTCATGTACCTCTTTTTTATAGAAACACTTAATGAAATTTGATCTAGATTTATTGTCTCTTTGGCATTTTCTACAAAAGGTGAAGGATTAAGGAAGATTTTGACTTAGAAGGAAAACGTGTTAAATTAACACTAAAAAATACTTATTTTTTAATGATATTTTCTTATAAGCTATTAAACCTAGATATATGATTTAATCTGAGATTTGTAGTACAATTTTGTGTGGAAAGTTTCTTTTTTGACACTACTCTACCTAAAACTACACTTCTGTTAATTTCATGCATCAACTCGAAAAAAGCTGTAAAAAAGGTATTAAAAACTAAGAAATACTTTCGCGATTTTTGGCAATATTGATGAAATAGATTTCTTTATATTTAATGATAATAGATATTTGTTTTCTTTGGTGACTTATAGCGAAATTTGATCAAGAATATTTTTGTCCTTAACTTCATATTTCTAAGATGATATTTTGTAGAAGAATTTTACATAATTTGGGTGAAGTGCGACTTCGACTTTAAAATTAGTTAGCCTAACAAAATGCAGGTCGCATTTATTATCTGATGGAAATGAAATTTTTGAAACAATATTTGTTTGACGTAAGGACGCAGTCTATTGAAATTGGCGAGAATCGGTTCAAGTTTAGATATAGCTCCCATATACTATCAACCACCGATTTCGGGTTAATTGAACACCAAATGAGCAATATCAGTCCAAATAACCTGAATTTTGGCAAATCCAATCGACTTCAATCTAGCAGCAGGTTCATAAAATTTGGATATAGTTATATCTACCAAATATATATTTTATGCGATATGTTGTTTAAATCCCTCACATTCGTAACATGCATTCCGCAAGAATGATATTTGGTACCTGATATCAGATACAGCCCAGAAACACCTCTGTCAAATTTTATCGAGATCGAATCAGATTTGGATATAGCTCCCATATATATATTTTTCAGATATTTGGTTTATTGTGCACTAAATAGCTAATATAAGCCTAAATGGACTGAATTTTGGACATTTCGACTGAATTCATCCTAGAAACAAGTACTACAAATTTGGTAAAAATCGGTTCAGATATAGCTTTAGCTCCCATATACAGGGTGAGATGAAAAAACTGCAACCAACTTCAGACAGATCAGCATGGTTCGAGAAGTACAGACGCGACTTGATAGAAAACCACGTCGCAGTGGCCAAAAAATGACTCGAGAGCTGGACATATCGCAATATTCCATTCGGCAAATATTGAAAAATGAGCTCGGCTCAAAGCCATTGAAATTCCAAAAAGTGCAAGACTTTACACCGCAACAGAAAGAAAATAAACTCAAAAGAGCTAAAGAGATGCTTCGCTTGGCCGAAAGTGGCGAACTGCCGAATTTGGTTTCCTCCAATGAGAAAACATCCTTTAAAAAATTTATATTTTATTCGGATGATTATTTCATAATAAATATGATGTTTTTCATCAGACAAGTGATATATAAACTCTTGCGCTTTGGGCGCCAAAAGCTAACCTTCTTAGAAATTTTAGTACTTATGCACTTAGCTATGACATGCGTGCATTTAACTGCGGACATTTTGACTCCAAAATGATTTTATTATTTTATTTAACTGAACTCGTCTCTGTTTAACCGGTGACATTCTCTCACCGCTAATTAATCAAAAAAATAATTTAGTTTCTTTCATATTTTGCCCCACTTTTGACCAACACTGTTGTCCATTCGCTTTTGCAAACGGTCGTCAGTGTTTGCTAAGAAGCACATTGCTCCACTTATGTCCAATTTTATTTTGTATTTTTTTTTTTTTTGCACAGCCATCAACTCAAGTTGAATATGAAGAACGACAACGAACAATTATTAAAAAACTAAAAACAGCAATAAAACAACAAAAATATTATTGACTCAATCAAATGGAAATGCAACGAACGCAAAATACTGGCGCTCACAACAGCGAGGAGGTTACAGGGTGTTTTGCATTTGAATATTGTTTTATGGAAATGTACCAACAACAATAATTACCAGCATCAAGTCACATTTCAATTTATCCCATTTTGAATCAGCATACCAAATATGAATTCTGTGATTTTTGGGTTTTGAAATGCTAAAGTATTGAGTAATAGCTATTTTGATTTGAATGTATACAAAAATAAAAATTATTGAATTTTTTGGTAACCAAAAAAAAAAAAAAATAAATAAAAAAATGTTTATTTCCCACTCAAATTTATTTTGACTGCGGCGAACATTAAAAAAGCTTTTAAATGAATCCAGTAGGTTTTGTTCGCTTTGTGCTGCAATTTGAGACGTTCGAACTCTGTGTTGTTGCTTCATTGAACCCGCATGAGAAAGCGTAAATCAATAAAATTGAGGAACAAAGCAATTGACATGATATTTGATTTCTTCGAAAAGTGCAAACAGATAAACCTCATCGGAGGTGGGAATTTCAGGACTAGTTCCTATGGGATCAACCAATAGTCGTCATTTGAGATTTTGGAATTTAAAATCGCTATTAATACAAAAAAGTTGACATTTTAAAAAAATAAATAATGAGAAAAGTTTTTAAGAAGGTGCTAAATAGAGCCCTAGATTTCATCTCGTGCACAATAAGATTTGACTTAGCATAATTTGTTATAGCGACGCCATCTTCATGTCAGATTTAATGTAATAAAATGTTTCATGTGTGGTTAAAGCCTGATCTTCGTTCTGAAGTGTTTTTTGTCTTAGTCGACCATCTATCTGTATAAATAGATAATAGAGAATAAATAGAACTGATTTTTTCCTGGGAGCGCAAGTGGTGAGTGACAGAATTGGATTTTTAAAAATGTGTCCTTTTAAAATACTTAAATTCCCATTGTGTGCTATACGTTTTACTGAACGCCATCTATACTTAAATTTGAAGCCAACAGCTGAAAAGAGTTGAATGATAAACTATATGTTTAAGCGAACATCATCTATACTTCAAACTTGATAAGGCCAGTTGAGAAAAATTAATAAAAATTTTGAGGGTATACGTTGTAGAGAATGTTTGATGTTTTTTAAGTTCGGAATCGGTACTACAGCCTATGAAAAAATTACTTACAAAGAAACACGTCCTTGTATACCGCCCATGAAAGGGGTTTTATATGAGAGGTATTTTTCTAGGGATTTTTTTTGAAATACATAGTATGGAGGGTATATTAAGTTCGTCATTCCGTTTGTAACTAATCGAAATAATAATTTTGGACCCAAGAAAGTATATATATTCTTGATCAGCGTAAAATTCGAAGACGATTTAACCCTGTCCGTCTGTCCATCTGTTGTAATCACGCTAGAGTCAAAATGAATAAAGATAGAAAGCTAAAATTTTGCACAGATCAGTCTTTTGTCTGTTGGCAGGTCAAGTTCGAAGATGGGCTATATCGGTCCACGATATCGTATAGCCCCCATATAACGGTACCCCCGATATTCGTTATTTTGATGATTTTAGCTACATTTTTCAATGCAATTGTCTGAAATTCCACACAAGGAGTTCCTTGTGTGTACTTTATCCCCTGGAAGAGAATTATCTATATAGGTCCACGATATCGTATAACCCCCATATAACGGTACCTGCCGATATTCGGTATTTTTATGATTTTAGCGACATTATTCACCGGAATTGTTTCAAATTTCGTATTGGAAAATCTTAATGGCTACTACAGGCTATGACAAAAAACTACTTATGCAGGTGCACGTCTATGTATAGCCTTTTTCGGATTTTTTTGCAATTTTTCAAGTTACTTCCAAATGGTGGAGGGTATTAAAAGTTCGGCTCGGCAGAACTTAGCTGCTTTTTTACTTCTTCAATATTCAATTGTATTTTCAGTTAATTTTTCTCAACTGATCCCATCAAATATGAAGTAGAGATGGCGTACGCTAAACTATATACTTAAGTATATTAAAAGGATTTTTTTTAATTCTTATCTCTATCAGGAAAATAATAAATTTTCTAATGTTTAATCCAACATTTTGCAATTTCAGCATTCAAAAGCATTTTATTCTCAACCTGCACCAAATTTGGAATGTAGGTGGCGTTAGCACATCATGGTAATTTAAAAATCTTAAAAGACCAATTAAAAAAAAATTCCTATCTTATCTATCACTTGCGATTCTTAGGAGAGAATTCCATTATCATATCAATTAAGGTCGAACTTTAACAACGACACATAAAATATTTTATAATATAAAAAAATGTTATATTGATGGCGTCGTTAATACATGATAATTTAATTGTTTGACGAGTTTAAGTTTAATTGTTGACGAGTTGAAATCTTGCCTCATACCATGAAAATTTGGTTCAGGACTGGCCATATGGATTCAATTTTTCAGGTAGTTCTCCCACATTTTTAATTCATTTTTAAAAAATCTCCAGTCTCACATAAAACTAACCGCGTTCACATTTCTCCATAATATATAAATCATAATATTTTTGATCAAACTTCGAGCAGGCACAAAAATGGTCCACTCATTTAGGTTGGTCTTTAGTAAAAGTTAAAATGATGATAGATAATACCACCTAAAATGTATGAAATTAATAATAATAATTTTCTTCTCTTAAAGATCAAGTGTAAATTTTGGATATCTATATAACTCTCTCTATCCAATATCCCGAGATTATTTAAGCTTCAAATATCACAATGTTTCTATCAAATTTTAAGTCATGCTTTCATAAAATAACAAGTAACAAGCCAGACTTTGTGAAAAAAATCATGATTGTCTTACAATGTGTACGAATATTATATTTCGACCTTTTAGTACCCTTCATAGAAAGTTCATATGCATACGTTTACATTTTTAACGATTTCGTGCCTATAGAAAATAATAAAAAAATTACCTCGACTGTTTTGACCTTGAATTACTACTTTGCCTCAGAAAAAAAATTAAAAATTCTATACACGAAAGACCCAAATTTTGGACGCCCAAGGACATCCTGGTGAAGATTCTGCATTTTTAAGAGCATTTTTAAGAGGTCCTGGCGTTCTATGTTCCTCTGTGACAAAAATTTGTCCTTTCTATTTAAGTTACTTACCCTTCAAAACCCCGATATTCATATTTTTTCTTTTTTAATTTTTGCTCAGAGTAAGTCTTTCCATTGCAAGATATTTCTCAAGTGATAGAATGTATCTATTATAAGAAATCATAACCAACTAGCATCAACATTGACTAATATCAACTATTTCCACTTAAACCGCATCCACTGAGTCATGCCTGTAATAATCTTCAAAGCAATACGAAACTTCTACTCTATTTACACGAGAGTAAATAATAAATGAAAAAAAAAAATCATATAACAGCAAATTCACTTTTAGTTTGCCACACTTGAGTTCATTTTACTCCCAAGTCTCAGTCTGGAGAAGTTCTCCGGCAATCCAATAGAGAATTAAACATTTTCTAAAGCTCCAGACAGCAACAACAGCGCCAGCTGCAATTACTTAGCCAAATGGGAATGGCTAATTTGGTTGGTGGCGAAAAAGGTGTACTTATCACTCTTTAAGTAGAGTATTTACTAATCGTGATCAGCGGAAAGCAAATCATAACAGCCAAGTGTTAATTTGCTCGCTCTGCTACGCCACTAACTAAAATACGCAAGCTTCGAACTTAGTTTGAAAACAAAACGTAGCAGAGTAAGAACAAGAAACAACACCACCATCACCATCACCGCATATCAAAAAAAAAAAAATTGGAAGAACAAATTTGATTTTCATTCGGTTAGTCAGTGTGAGTAGTGAGAGTTAGTCGGACTAAAGTTCACAGACACTCGTCTGTACTTGAAGATACAATTGTGTCGCGAAAAAGTACGATGCGAGCACGATTGAAAGAAGCGTGAGTGTAAATCAAAACCGAACCTCGTCTCAAGCAACACTGAAATCCGTAATACCTCACGGCGAGATTTGAGAAGCGTAACGCGCTTAGTGTCAGCTGACAAACCCACAGCGAGAATTAAGGTATAATGACCGTGAAAAAAGAAAGTGAATAAGAAAATTGAAAAAGAAGAAAAAGCAAAGTAAAAATCAATCAATCAATACATAATGGTGTGCAAGTCTAGCTACAGTGGTATCCAGCTTTAGTGAAATGGCGCCCAAATTGATGAGATGAGCAGTTTTTTTGCTTTAAATATGGGAAAAATGTGGAATTTTTTTTTAAATATTTGAAAGTGAATATTGACATATGTCTATCTATGTGTTTGTGTGTGTGAATCATATCAATCAAATAAATGAGTAATTGATAAGACCGGAGCTATGCGGCAAAAAAGTAATGATATTCCCAAACATATGGACGAAACGTTGATAAGCATTCAAATACGTCGAAGGCATTATAATAAGTAATACCTAACACCTTGCGAAAGGGTAACATGGTTTCGAATCTGTGGAAATTGAAATGCAAAAGATTGAAATGAAATTGATGTATTTTATAGAAGGTCTATATATGTTCTACAATTCAATGAATCGTTGGGAAATAAGTGAGGCCATTTAAAATTAAATAATTTATAACTCAACAAATAAATATACTATAAAACTAAATTAATAAATATGAAAAAAATCATTACACAATTAATAAATACCCATTCTAATAAAAAACAAGTAAAAAGCCGAACTTAACGGCTGGTCAAACTTTGAATACCTTCCACCATGAGGTAAACAAACCCGTTAAAAATAAAAGTATCGTTATTGAATATTGGGTCCTGTTCAGAGAAATCGGTTGCTTAAAAATCTTTAAAATACCGTCAAGTTGATGATAAAATTTTCCTGCTACAGTGGTTGTCATTTATTGCGTTTTTTAAATGTCAAGTAAACAACATTAAGATCGTCCGGGCCGAGTATACAATACCTCCATCATTCGCTAAAAAAATCGTGAACAAATGTGGAAAAATATCGAATATCGGGAGTTACAGTCATATGGGGGTTCGGGGAAAAGTTGAACCTATATATCCAATTTTTTTCCCCCTAGCTAAAGCCCATTTCGAACTGCAAATACAAAATAGAAGACAAATCCGTTAGATAAATGTGGCTTAAATCGGAAGGTACCGTTACATGGGGGGTTATACCAATTAGTGGACCTAATTCGAACATTTTTTGTAAGGAGAGAACATCAAATTTGTTTGGAAATTGTGGAAGAAACCTTCAAAATACCGAAAATCTGGAAATACCGTTATATGGGGACTATACCTTCCAAGACTAGATAAAGTGGACTCTATCCTAATTTGAACATACAGATAGACGGACATCGCTAAATCACCTTATAATTTTATTCTGAAGTCTAAAATATTGAGATAGAAGTCTAAAATTTTGCACAAGTGTGTATTTTGTTAGTGGGCAGGTTAAGTTAGTATTTGGGTCATGTGGGTCCACTTATAGTCCCCACGATTTAAGCCACGCTTTCAAGTGGAGGTTTTTTTTAAATTCCCTCATTAGAGTTTGTAACGGATTCTACCACTTGCCTTGATAGGTCCACGTTTTTTTATAGCCTCCGTGTAACGTTGCCTCCCGATATTCGGTATTCTGATGATTTAAGACACTTATTGTAGTGAATCGTTTAAAATTTGCTATTTAGAGTTCGTAATGGGTTCTATCTCTTGTCACCCATAGTTGTTTATATAGGTCCACGTTGTCGTATGGCCCCCACATTATGGTACTTCCCGATATTCGGTATTCTGATGATTTTAGACACATTTTTCAGGGAAATGTCGCTTTATAGGTGATATAAGAAATATGAGCCATTACTCTACATACCGAACATTAAACGATTCCCCTAAAAATGTGTTTAAAATCATAAAAATACCCAATGTCGAGTAGTACCAACATATGGGAGCTATAGGTCATAGTGGACCTATATAAACAACTATGGGCCACAAGAGATAGAACCCATGACGAACGCAAAATAGAGAATTTTTAACAATTCCGCCAAAAAATGTGCCTTAAATTATCAGGATACCGAGTATAAGGAGGTACCGTTACAAGGAAGCTTTAGAAAAACATGGACTTATCAAGGAAATTATTTGCCACAAGTGGTAGAATCCGTTACGAACTCTAAGGAGCAAATTAAAAAACCTGCTAAATAGTGAATTTTTAACAATTCCGCCACAAAATGTGCCTTAAATCCTCAGAATACCGAGTATAAAGAGGTACCGTTACAAGGAGGCTTTAGAAAAACATGGACCTATCAAGACAATTATTTGCCACAAGTGGTACAATCCGTTACGAACTCTAAGGAGCAAATTAAAAAAAACCTGTACTTGAAAGCTTGGTGAAAAATTGGACCTACATACGAACTTAACCTGCCTACTGACAAAAACATATGTGCACAACCGACGTACTGACGGACATCTCTAAATCGACATTTACCGATATAGCTTGTCTTCAAACTTGACTCGCCTGGAGACAAAAGACAACTATGCTAAATCTGAGCTTCCTATCGCATGTCGTTTGGACTCTAGGGTGATTACAACACACGGAAAGACCGACGGACGGCCATTGCTAAATCGGCGTAAAATTTTACACTGATCAAGAATATGTACACTTTGTTGGTTCTTAAATGATTAATTCGATGAATTAAAAATTGAATGACAAACCTGATATACCCTCCATACTATGTAACAGGAATTGGATTGATTTAAACCACACTAATTCACTGATAGACTCATTGATGTTTCATCAATGCCCAAACGAAATTGCTTAACCAAAAATCTTCAAAATTTTTAGGTAGTATCAACCTCTGGGCGGACTTCTGAGACATGGCTAGGTTTTATGGAAATTTGATTTAAAAAAGTACGAAAAGTACTTAATATTGTGCCATTTTTTTTTTTTGAGGAACATGTTTTTTTTTTTAAATTGGGATGAAGGGTCACTGATGGAGTGTAGCATTATGTAGGGGTTTCGAAAATGCGTGCTAAATAGTGTACGAGAAAGAAATATAAATTTGGAATGTAGGAAAAAAGAGCTAGAATCGTCATATTTTCTATTAATTTTGTATATTAGTCATATATTTAGACATATATACATAAATGACTCATATTTCATTAACGAAAAAGCAGGCACTCGCAAGTCTTATAATAAAATGGAAGTATAGATGATTAATGTACAGTTACGGATATTTCTGAGCCGGCATTTCAAATCATGCTAGTTTAGATCAAGCCACATGAATATTAGTTAAGTAAATATAAAAAAAATAAATAAAAGACGCTAATGAAATAAAAGCATTTAATGTTAAACTCTTGGTATATGAACTGACTAATAGTAATATGGTGGAGATTGTCACTTTTTTAATTTTTTAAAGTATGGTGAAAATACTCCAGCTTTTTTAAAAAAAAAAAACATTTATGATTTCGTTTCGAAATCTGAAAAAGTTTATACAATATCCATTATAAACCATGAAGGCACCTGTGTTCGGTCTATCAGGGAAAGAGGGAGATTGCTAATATTTGATGACCTAAAATTTGCATTTAAAATATTTGTCTAGACTATGGAACGTTCAAAAGTATAAAAGAGTATCAACTGGTTTTCCCACAAATGCACAATCTCATCATCGTGCCCATTTTGGACATTTCATAGCAATCTTTGTTTGGAAGCACAACAAGTATTGAGACGAAAGACGACAATTCAATGAAACATTATTATACCTTACAACACTATGTGTTGGGGGTATTATAAGTTTGATTGGGCCAAAAATTATGTAACACCACGAAATATTGGTTTCCCACATAGGAAAGTATATATGGATCATCCTAGCTCGCCGAGCTGAGTCGATCTAGCTATGTATGTCCGTCCGTCCGTCTGTCCGTCTGTCCATGTTAATTTGTAATCACTCTACAGGTCGCAATTATGGCCCGATCTTCACGAAATTTGGAATGGAGGTCGGGGTTGGTCCAGAATAGAACCCTATTTATTTTTGAGATGATCGCCAAATGTTTAGGGGTTGAAATGGACCAAATACTGAAAAAATGTCGGATTTTGCAGTAGCTATACAGGTCGCAATTATAGACCAATCGACGCGGAATTTCGCATGTAGCTAGAGTTTAGGACGGGGAAGAAGCCTACCAATTTGGGTGGTCATCGGATAATATCGGATAATTAGCGGGTAAAATAGACCATATATTTTGTGTTGAAAAAATTCAAAATTTTTCATGAAACCGCAAATATTTTAAATCCCGGCGAAATCACAAAGCCATGACAAGGTTACTTCTGACCTTTACATTGATGTTAACATCCAACAAATCGGATATATAGCAAAATATGTGCGATATATATGTTTATCGAAGAAGATATGCTTGAAAGATCTCTTATATGTCGAGAACGGCTGAACTGATTTCGACAGTTCTCATTAATTCAGAATGGCCTCTTGGCAGGAAAGAAACAACGTCTAAAAAATCGCATAAAAATATCTCTCGAAAGATGAAAATATTGATTTTGTAAAATTTTCTCATATTTTTTCAATTTTGTCATATCTTTGGCATATTTTCATTTTGAATTAAACATTTGGTAATATTTCTACAGCTAACAAAACTAAGTAGTTATGACATCAGAAGATCATATACAGATCGCATTTATGGCCCGATCCATACGAAATTTTGTATGGGGATAAGATGAGGGTCAGAATAGAAGCCTACTCTTCTGGAGATGATCGCCATATATTTAGGGGTTGAAATGGACCAAAAAACTGCAAAATTGTCGGCAGTCGTAATTATCGCCCGATCCTCACGCAAATTTGAAAGGGGGTTACCGGACATTGCAAAAGCCAAGCAGTTTTGGATGGCCATCCAAAAATATTCAATGTGTGAAATAGTTTGCCAACTTTTGTAGACAAAATACGAAAATGTGACTTTTTGGAGAATTCACAAATACAGGAAAGACGCACTTCTGCACGCATATAGTCAAATGTCTGTATCTCATATAGATGCGTTTCAGTCAAAAACCAATAATAAATGTTAATCTTTTGCCACTTCTGAGAGATTATAGGTCTTTGGGAAATATTGGTTCCAGATCTAGGAAGACCATTTACGAGATCTACCAATAAATTGGAAATAAGCAAATTCGTTTAAGTTGCTATTATTCGAAAATTAGAGAACGAAACCTGATGGTTTTCTTTTATTATTTGTCACAATATCTTGTGGAATTCTTTCGAGTATCTCGCCTATATAAACTACATCATTTATTATAGTGTTGTAGGGTATTTAACGGTCGGCCCCGCTCGACTGTAGCCTTTGCTTACTTGTTTTTTTCTAAAGTTATTGATAGGGAAGGGAGATACTGGTTGGTGTAAATCAATGCAGACAACCCTCACACTAGATCCCACTGAGGCGAATTTGCCTTTGTTTAATAAAATAATCACAATTATTTTAATATTTCAGCATTTGTGGTATTGGTAGCTAAAGTATTGAGTCAATGTGTTCAATTCATACTGCAACGTTTACTCCCTTCCTTTTGTAATAGACGTATTCCTTTGTGGACAATTTTGATTATTTTTTAAGGTATCTTAACCTGATGGTGGAGGGTATCAACATTTGGCCCGGTTCCGTCTTTAATTGTTTAAATTTCAGAAGTGTCATTTTCAAGTGTTTGTGTTTTGGCGGGAAGTGACTTTCAGAATCAAAAACTCAATGGTTGTGAGCGGTATCTTTAGTATTTTTGATATAAAATTTCTAGTTAATTTCACCCTCTAAATATTATTAGATAACCATCCAAATGTGCAAGCTTCTCCCCTGCCCTGTCATAAACTCTAAACCTACACAAAATTTCGTATATAACTGGGACCTGTAGAGCGACATCAAAATCAGTATAATTTCTTGTCCATTTCATCCCCAACATATTTTACGAACATCTCCAAAAACAATAGGCTTCTATTCTGACCTTAACCCTAACCTAAGCCGGCGAGGTAAGAAGATCGATGCACTACATGGCGGGTCTAGAAACAATATATGGATGTGTTATACACTTTTTGTAACTATTAATCTTATAAACCCTTCAACACATAGTGTTGTAGTGTATAACTACCTACCTCAGCCATAAGGTAACAGAGGGTATTTATCATTTGATACGGCCAAAACTTGGACCTAAACCTAAACCTCTTTGGACCTAAACCGTTTTAGGACATTTGTAGTCGATTTAAGGGTATCCGTCTGTCTGTCTGGCTGGTTGGTTGCTGCGCACGATAACTCTCGATGGGAGTACACGATTTGGTCCAAACTTGGTACATCGTAATATTTAGATCAAGTTCGGAGATGGGCAATATCGGTCCACTCCTTCTGGTACCTTTCTACAAGAGGTCAAAATTTTCAAATAAAATATCTTGCTTGTTAGAAAGATTTTCCCGATTCATTTTTCAAAATATGCAAGTCCTAATATTTTCATCTGTTCTAGATCAATTGCGAAAATGGAAAATATCGACCAACTCCATCAAATAGCTCTCTCACAAAGGGTCAATATTTGAATAATTATAACTCTTATAAAATGAGAAATGTGTCCGATTTTTACCAGCACAAGATGTAGTGTGAAGATGGGCTACATTGGTCTACTTCTTCTAGTACCACCCCGACAACGGGTCAAAACTTTGAATAGACATGACGCCAATAAAAAGCGAAATGAGCATCTGATTACTTGAAAGCTTATCATACCCTTATGTTCCTATCAATGCAAGATCTGTTGTGAGGATGGTAAATATCGGACGATTCCTTGTGGTATCTCCCCCAATAATCACAACGATCAGAAAATGCGAATGCAGCATTCTATTCTCTTATAAACGTTAAGCTCATAAAACGCGAAATGAGCATACAAGTACTTTCAAATTTAGCAAATCTCAATATATTTCTGGTGTGAATATATTTAAATAACCGAACAGTGATTGCGCACAGGATATGCAGCTGTCGACAACACCGACTGATTCTATTTAACTTGTTTCCTCCGAATTTGATCATAGATAGTATACATATTGTCCGGAAGATGTACTTATATCCGTTCTTGATTTCGAGAATCACAGTGTGGTTTGTAGGTCAAGTTACACGGTTAACGCATCGCACTCTATATAACGGTACTTCACAATTTCGGATATCCTGCAGGTTTTAGCCATATTTCCACTCGATTTGCTTGCAATGGTCCCCATATAACCATCCCTTATTCCGTATTTTGAGGATTTTAACAGAAGTTTAAAAAATAGCTGTAATGAGGGAGATGTACGATCTATGTTTCGGTATGGTCCCCGTACTTTTGTATCGCCTTATATTATTATTATTTTTCTACTAAAATTCGGCATTTGCATTCTTAGACATAGGGATCTCCTTGCCAATTGTTTTTATACCCTCCATCATTCTATGGGGGGTATATTAGCTTTGTCATTCCGTTTGTAACTCATATTCATGGCAAGCCCTACAAGGTATATATACCCTGGATCAGCGTAAAATTGTATGACGATTTAGCGATGTCATTCTGTCTATCTGCCCATCCGTCTTTCTGCTGTAGAAGGCTAACATTTTGCATACATGCATATTTTCCCTGTATGTAGGTACCATATAACGGTACATCCCGATATTCGGTATTTTGGTGATTCCAGCAACATTATTCGCCGGAATCGTTTCAAATTTCGTATGGGAAGATCTTAACGGGTCCACGTCTTCGTATAGTCCCCATATAACGGTTTTCATTTAAGTGGTAGTTTTCGGATTTTTTTTTTTTTTTAATTTTCAAGTTCTTTCCAAATGGTGGAGGGTATTAAAAGTTCGGCCCGACCGAACTCAGCTGCTTTTTTACTTTTATATGGATATCCCTTAAATACAGAGATTTTGACAAACGTGGGACGTGGTGACCCTGTTATGCATTCTAAAGAAATCATAGTTTGTGCTGAAAGTCAGTATAAAATACATCCTGCAAAGTAGTTGGTTAAGATTGAGATGTATTTCCCATACATTAGTTCCATCCGATTTCAAATGGAAACTTCTTCAAATTTAGGAATGTAACCAAATATCTTTTGATTTATGATTTTTTGGCTTCTATTCTTTGTATCGAGAACATCCTGTATCTCTGACGACAATGGCAATGATGATGTCAAAAGGGTTTTGTCTAGTAAACTTTTTCATATGAAAAGCCAAACAAATGTGTACGAAAAAATTTGCAATTAGGTGGTGCGATGACTGGGCAGACAGCCAGACGCAGAGCTGTGGAGACGCTGACTGTTCAAACACTAGAAAAGAATACGGGTAGCTGAGGCGATAACTAGTGTAAATTTAAGCGTTCTACATTCATTGAAAGGAAAGATACACGGCAATATACTCACACACACATGTAACAGCAAATGAATGTCGCCAGTTTCAGATACTCTCGCGAGTAATGTTTTCATTTTTTGTGTGGTGACACTGCTCCGGCTACACTTAGAGTGTAACGTCTTCGGACCCTCTGAATAAACAATCTTCTTTGATTCATTTTCATTTTTCCTTTGCGTTAACGTAGTAGGTACACAGACAGACAAAAGCGGGTATCTAAAGCCGTGGAGATTTAAAGCGGACAAACGGAAACGCCAGACAGAATCTGCCAAATAAGTATCCAAAAAAAAGCGAATTCTTATCAATTGTTCTGTGTTTTCCAGCCCCCAACCTGCTGATAACATATATAACTAACAACAAATACCCAGCCGTCAAGGCAAAACAAATGTAAAGAACGGGAGAAAAAAAAACGAACAGTAATTAGTTGATTTTAAGAAACTTATTTTCACGTATTTCATGTGAGCGGCCGCAATCGCAACGGCCAACAACCAACTCAAAAACACAAACACCTTCGTTCATCGTAGCAAAACAAACAAAACGAAAAATAATAATAATTAATACTGGAGCAGAAATAGCAACAAAAATAATTAACAACAGCAAATCATTGGTGGTTGGGTGTAGTGGAATTGCTGCTGCCAACGCCAGCGTAAAAGGGGCCTTCTGCTCCCAACAAACACTCGGAAAGCAAGAACAACAGCAACAACAGCAAAATACTCCCTCCCGCATGAACTGAACAGACACACACACATACGGCCGAAAAATGGCAAGAGATCGATTGCCAGAATTAATACAGGTGAGCTTAGAGTCATAGAAGAGTGCTGGCCCAGCAGACGGCGCACAAACAACGAATGCACAGCCTAGTTCCGAAATTGAAATTCCGTTAAATTTCGTTCTTTTCATCTTTTTTCTTCTCGCACACGCTCCTGCTGATCGCTCACTGCCACAGCGTTCCAAAAGCTGCAACAGTAATCAATCCAATGGTGCCTCGGAACAACAGAGCAAAAGCCTGGAAGCTGCCATAACAATGCAACAGAATACACACGTCGATGACATCTTGAATCCGGTAAGTTATTAACCTTCTGACAGACAGACAGTTGGACAGACGAACAGAACACGAAATTAAATTAGCCTCATTCTTGAGCATTTGGTTTAATGGCATTTGGAGCACTTTAATAAAAGTTATAATAAAAGACCAGATTTCACATTTCTTTGCTCCAAAATAACCTGTCACACCACCACCCCGCTCCGCGCTAAGCTAAATCGTGTACGGAGACACACAGCTTCGCACTCGAAATACAGACGTGCATTTTTTTACAGCTAAAAAATTCCAGTTTTTTATTTCTCTGCGAACAAGAAAAAAAAAAAAAACAAAACAATTAAAAATTATTTTATTTGTTGTTATTTTAAACTTTAGAAGAAAAAACTGACACACACACAATTAGCCATATCACAATGTTGGTAAACAACGACACAGGGTAGCCACTACAAGTGATCTTTGAGAGTGGCAAACACTTAATGTTCTACTCTGAGACCTGGCTGAGGCAAGCGGGAGCTGCAACATTTTAAGGGGCGCTTTCCGTTGTTCGTCACGTGACGAAAACAATGCGTCAATTAAAAAGATGGTAGAGAAATTTGGGGCATTCAGAGGTACTATTTTTTTTCTAAATGAAACAATTTGCTAGTTTCAAGGTAACATTTGGGCACCATTTTTGTACCCTCCACGAACTATTCATGTCTGATCCAAAAAAGTGTATATATTCGCGATCAGTGTAAATTTCTAAGTTGATTTAGCGATGTCCTTCTGTCGACATAATAATGCTATCTTTCGAACAAAGTGGGAAGAAGCTAAACATTTTGAATTGTTTAATATTTCGTATTTGAAGTTCGGAATCGGTATTACAGCGTATGAAGTAACTTATGCAGGTCCTCGCCTTCGTATATGGGGGCTATACCTTAACCGTTTTCATTTAAACGGTGTTTTTCGCCGATTTTTATATCCTCAGATATATGGCTAGAGAGTGTATATTTAATTTGATACGCCAAAAACTTGCCTGATCGAAATAACGGTTTTAGACCCCAGGTCTCGTTGGACCAAACCCGTTTCAGGATATTTGGAGGCGATATAGCGATGTCCGTCCGTCCTTCGTTCGTCTGGCTGGTGCGCAAGATAACTTTCGCAGGGAGTATCCGATTTAGTCCAAACTTGGTACATCGTAACATAATTATCAAACTTAGATCGAGTTCGGAGATGGCCAATATGGGTGCACTCCTTCTGGTACCTCCCCCACAAAATGTCAAAATTTTCTAAGAAAATCCGATTTTCCTCCAGCTTTGCAAATCCTAATATTTACATCAGTGCTAGGTCGGGTGCGAAAATAGACCAGGTCGGTCCACTCCATCAAGTACCTCCCCACAAAGAGTCAACATTTTGAATAATTATAACTCATATAAAATGTGATGTAAGAGTCTGATTGATTACGCACATCACAATATTTTTATTAACCCAAGGTCTGGTGTTAAGATGGAATATAACGGTACAGTCCAAAAGGTCGAAATTTTCAAAAAAATATATTTTCTGCACAGAAAGAAAAACGATAATCTGACTTTGCTTAAACTTTGCAAATCCTAATATTTATGTCAGTGCAAGGTCAGGTGTGAAAATGGACAATATCAGTCCACTCCATCACGTAATAGTCCGATTGTCTTCAAATTTCACACATAATAAATTAACCCAAGGTTTGCTGTTAAGATGGAATATATCGGTTTACTGCTTCAGGTACCTCCCCCACAAATTTTTAAAATTTTGAATATTCATGAAGCTCATAAAACACGAAATTAACATCCTATTTCATTCAGACTTGGTACATTTCAATATTTCTTTCAACACAGAATCTGTTATAAAGATAGTAGAGATCAGACTCTTCCTTCTGATATCTCCCACACAAAGGGTCAAAGTTTTGAATAACCAAAACGTTTATAAAATATGGAATAAGCATCAGATTCTCTTTATATTTCACACATCCCATTACTTCTACTAACTCAAGATATGCTGTGAAGATGAGGTATGTCGTTTCACTCCTTCTGGTACCTCCTCCAAAAAGGGTCAACATTCTGTATTTCCATGAAGATCATGAAACGTGAAATTAACATTCGATTCCAGACAGACTTGATACATCTCAATATTTCCATCAACACAAGATCTCTTATAAAGATGGTAGAGATCGGACCATTTCTTCTGGTACCTGCCTCAAATAGGGTTCAAGATTTTGAAAAAAACAAAACGCTCAAAGAAAGCGAAATTATCATTCAAATCCATCCATCTCCTCAAATTTCCCACAGACAAAAATGTTTTGTAAATGTTTCTCTTAACCAGAAATCTGAGGTAAATATGTAATTTATGGGAATTTATGATTTCGCATAAAATTGCATATAAATGTTCGATTTCTTTGCACATACCAATATTTCTGTTTGTATTAGATGAAGTATGAAAATGCAATACTTCGATCCGCTATATATGTCTTACCTCACGCATATTTCCACATTTTCCAAAAATGTTCATATATCTCAACGGCAACGGCTTCGAACTCCCCATAAATGGGATCAGTTTGAATAATCGTAGCTCAAGGCTGGCGTATACATCTGTCGGCAAAACCGACTCCTACTATTTTACTTGTTTTTTTATACCCTCCACATTGGAAAGGAGGGTATATTAACTTGGTCATAAAATTCTAAGTCGATTTAACGATGTCCGTCTTTTATTTGATTGATTATTACATTATTTGACGTAGAGCGCCAAAATTTAGTAGAGCAATGTGTATTGTGTCTAGGATGGTTTGTATGGAAATTGACATATATCGGTCCACGTTTTGGTATAGAGTCCATATAACGGTACCTCCCGATATTCGGTATTTTGATGATTTATGCCACATTTTTTCACTGATTTGTCTGAAAATTGGTATTTGTAGTTCATAACGGGTCCCAGTTCGTGTGGCGAGACATTGTATGTATAGGTCCACGCTTTGGTATAGTCCCCATATAAAGGTACCTCCCGATATTCGGTATTTTGATTATTTTTGCCACATTTTTTGACGGATTTGTCTAAAAAAATGGTATTTGTTTGTCACAATGGGTTCCAGCTCCGGTGGCGAAACTTTGCATGTATAGGTGCCACTATTTGGTATAGCCCCCATATAACGGTACCTCCCGATATTCGGTATTTTGATGGTTTTTTGCATATTTTTTCACTAATTTGTCTAAAAATTGATATTTGTAGGTCATAATGGGCCCTAGTTCGTGTGGCAAAACATTGTATGTATTGGTCCAGGCTTTGGTATAGTCCCCATATAACGGTACCCCACAATATTCGGTATTTTGATGATTTTTGACACATTTTTTACGAATTCTCTGAAAATTGGTAGTTGCAGGTCATAATGGGTTCTAGCTCCTTTGGCGATACACTGTATGTATAGGTCCACGTTTTTTATAGCCCGCTATAGCCGTGTTTCCCGATATTCGGTATTTTAATGATTTTTGGCACATTTTTCAATGAATTTTTCTAAAAGTTGGTATATGTGGGTCATAATGGACTCTACTGTTTCTTTACCCTAAGGTGGAGGGTATTAAAAGTTTGGCCCGGCCGAACTTAATGTTTTTTTACTTGTTTTATTTTAAGTTTGTTTTACTCCCAATATTTTAAAAGTTGTATAATAAGTAATTGAAGATCAAACTATTCCACCTCAACCAAGCGAATATCGAATTTAAAAACTGTTTTGCTCCTTCTAAAAAAACCTTCGAACTTATCTATGTAATGTGACTGAACTTGACCAATAACTTTATAAACAAAAGACATTTAAAAAGAAAAGAAGATTAGTTATCATAAGCCTGTCAATTTGATAATTAAAATACAACAAACGTTTAAAAATAGATATGAATAACAACATAACTTACCACGTGCTTGTTCAAATGTGTTCGCCCATCTAAAACAAAGAAAAATTATATTTATTTCATTTATAATGAAAATGCTAACAAGTTGTATTATAATCGCTATTGCATCATATGTCAGCGGTTATAAATTAATTAAAAAAAACGAAATGGTATTCAATCGTATTATGACAGTTCATTAACGAAAATTAATCACTAAAACAAGGACGGCCTTGACAAATATTTATGACCATTGCACAACATTTTTAAAAAATGCCCTACGTTCTAGACGGGTCAATCCATTAGGGGATAAGAATATTCCATGTAAATTCTGGTTGTATGTACTGAAATTAAGAACTTCAAGAAAATATATATATTTTTAGGGATCTCCATCAAACTTCAAAGAGTAGAAAATGAAAAATAAAATTAAAAAAACGAATATACCTATTGTCTAATAAAGAAAGATTTAACAAGTAAAAACATTAAGTTCGGTCGGTCCTTTGGGTGAAGAAAGCATTTTTATATAAAATTATCTGAATTCAAACGTTCCATTTTAAATTACAAATACCAGTAAGTCCGTTGGGATAATGTTGTTAAACTTTTCAAAAAATCATAAAGTGGATGATGCCGTTGTATTGTGGGCATATCAAAACGGGAACCTCAATGGATAATTTTATACTTCAAGTGTTGTCATCTATCAAATCTTCTTATATACCAAATTTGAAACAATATCATGGGTAAATGTGACTAGGATTATCCAAATACCAAATATCGGTGCGTATCATTATATGTGCACTATAGAAAAACGTGGACCTCAATAAATATTCAGTGTCCTGCCGCCTGAGCTAGAACCCATTATGAACTACAAATAATAATTTTTGGACAAATCCGTGGAAAAATGTGGTAACGTTCCGTGGTATATGTTCCGCCACCAGAGCAGAAACACATTGCGAACTATAAATACTAATTTTTGGACACATCAGTTGAAAATTGTGTCAAAAATCATCAAAATACCGAATATCGGGAGGTACCGTTATATGGGGGCTATACAAAAACTTGAACTTGTACATACAAAGTTTCCCCACTAGAGCTAAAACCCATTGCGAACTAAAAATACAAATTTTTAGACGAATTCGTGAAAAAAGTTTTAAAAATCATCAAATGACCGAATATCGGGAGGTACAGTCATATGGCTACAGCTATGCTAAAACATTGAACGATATATCTCATTTTCAATACCAAACATCCTAGACACAATACAAATTGTTCTGCCAAATTTTGAAGCTCAAATAATGTTGGCTGTATCGTGATTTCAACAGACAGACGGACTTCGTTAAATCGATCAATCGATCAATTTTATGCTGATTATGAATATATGCTTTATTTATTATGAATAAAGTACATAGTGTCAAGACGAAGGTTTACCCTCCTGTTCAAGGTGGAGGGTATACAAAAAAGGGGTATATAAAAAGAATTCATCTCTTTTCAATAACTGAATGCATCTTTTAATTATGTTCGTTATCTTCCAAATCAGATAAAATTCAATTGCCAAGAATTTCGATTGTTTCTAGTCGGATGGTAGTAGGTAGGATATGGGGTTTCACTAAAAGTGTTTCTGCATTGCCACCGTTGTGTATATTCATGCCTTCTTGCTTGACATCCCACTTATTTTGTAAAGGGATCTTGGTTTAGCGTGGAAAGGAGAGAATCGAAATCAAATATATAAAAGCTTGTATTTGTAAATATTCAAAAGTTTCATTATATTGTTCAAACCTATCAAGGAAGTTATAACAGAGCTATCAGTTCCAGCCAATATGATAATATTTTTTAACTATGATCTCAAAAAATTCTACTTAATAGGCTACGTTGGAAAAATAGTATGTTGTCAATACCACACATTAGGTATGAATCTAGACAATACAGATACTTCCACCAAGCGCCGATTTCTGGAACTATTTTACTCAGTTTTTTTTGAACCCCCATATTGTACCTACTATAGAAACTATTCATCTTAACTTTTCATTTTAAAATTATTTCGTTCAGTTTGCAAAATGTATTAGAAAAATTGCAGAAATATGTTATTCTAAAGTCGCAAAAAAACTGAAACCCACAAAAAAACATAAGAAATGAAAGATATGTATTCAAAAATGTCACCTTGTTATGGTAGCATAGAATCATCCACTACTAATGCCACCTATTGAATCAAAGCAACAATGAAATGTCCCATCTTATGATATTATATGTCTTTGCATATCTTTAAAGGTTGGACAAAATGCATATTGCTGTTTAATGTTTCGATTAGGGCGTCGACTTGACAAAATGCGTAATGCTAGGAACACAATTGGAGCGAACGACGAATTTTTTCGCGGCGTATGTTCGTCGTCAAAAATAAAACACATATGTGTATATGGAAGTGCACACAATCACGGCACCGGCGAAAATTTCGTCGGTCGCCGCGAACTCAATTAGCTTTATTTCTATTTCATACGCCGGCGACCGGCGAACAAAACAGTACAAGGTGGCCATACTTGTACGAATTTTATGTGTTTTAGTAAATAAAGTTACTTTTTACTTTAAAATTTGTTTTGGTCACTCTACTATCTGTTACTCGTATAAAAAAAACATAATTAATTTGTTTATTTATTTGTGTACTTGCGCCTGAGTGAAGATGGACATAAGTGAAATTATAATAGAGAACGTAAAGAATTATGTGTTCTTGTATAATTCATTGTAGTCAACAAATGAGCAAAAAGTAAACAACTTCATCAGTTGTTTTATAATTTGGTCGGTATTGTGTTCCATACGACGAATTTTCGCGGCTCATTTTGTCGCCGCGTAGGGCGAAATTCGTCGTTCGCTCCAATTGTGTTCCTAGCATAAAGAAAGGTTACAGAAATATTTTATTCCGAAATACCCAACAAATAATGGAAACCCGCGAAAAAGGCCCTTGTACATTGAATCGATAAAAATCGGCAAAAACCAACATAAAAGTGTCAGCTCTGTTAGATTATAACATAATGCTATGTCATGATATGCTGATGTAACATACGTTTTCACTACTAACGCCCTCTATTGAATCAAAAATGTTACATCTTATTGCGTTATGTGCCTTTACAACAGACAATATTAGGTTTGTGCACACACTAAGCAGGTTGGCAACACTGCACATTAGCTACAGACTTGAACCTACTGGTAAGTCTGAAACACCATATCCTAACTACTGTGGATATAACTTTTCAATTTCGTATATCGCCAAAGATATGGACTCTGTATTTTAAATACTATAAACGTGCGGTATTAAATCCCTACTATTTTAATTTTTTGCCCATGAAATAAGTTGGTCAGAGAGTTCACCCTTTGAGATTTCAGACATTCAGAGAACGCAGAACGTTAAGTATATGTCTAAGTTGCAGGAATACACAAAGTTCAAACATCGACAACAATTCAATGAACTCTTTTAATATTTTTTTGTCTGAACCCCCATATACTACCTACTTTAGTGTAACATCCAACATTTTAAACTCACATTGCCAAATTTCCTCTTATTGTCAATCTTGATTTTTTCTAAGAGATTGCCTTTCTTATTCATTTTTACTAATCTTCACAAAAAAAAACTGAATTAATAAATAAAATGTGTTAATTGAATTTCCCTTGTTCTAAATATATATATATTCGTTATATTTTCAGTATGGAGAGATACGCACACTTCTGGCTCAATTAGCAGCGAATTTAGAGACGATGACGCGTATGGTACAACCTACGGCCATTAAAAATGGTATGTATAAGTCAACAGTCAAATAAATCCGCCTTTCAACTTCTATTCTCCCCTTTCAGCTGACAATGAAATGGAAGAGCTGCGCAAACAAAACATCCGCCTGGGTAACATTCTGATGACCAAATTCCAAGAATTTCGTGCCAATCTACCGCCCGAGAACGACTATAGCCTGGAGTCGCGCATGAAGCGTACCCTGTTCTATGGCCTGCATCAGAACTACATCGACATCTGGCGAAAGAATGAACAATTCCTACACAACTATGAGACTAAGCTGAAGCAGCATTTGCAGCTGCAATCGAAAATAAGTGAGTGGTGCTGGTCTTTGACCAACACACGTTACGATGATGATACGAAATTTATTGATTCTATTTTCCAGTCAATTGCAATGCCACAGAGGAGGAAATCGAAGAGCTGATTAGCAATAAAACAACGAGTCTATTTGTGGGCAATGTAAGCGTCTGAATTGATTTAATTGTACGCTATTGCAGCAACTATTGGCTATTTGCTTTTAATTTAGTTCTTGTCTTTTATCGTTGTGTGTTTTACCTCTAGATTCTGGAAGAAACTGAAAAGGAGCGTAAAAAGCTGAGAGATCTGATAGATCGTTTTAGTGAACTGAAGAAACTGGAAAAGTCAATCGAGGAAGTTCACGCGCTTTTTCTGCGAATACAGTATTTGGTCCTAGAACAGGTAAGTGGGTCACGTATATTGTTTGGAATTCCCATTTGTAATTAAAAGTGGTTTTAAGGATGAACACTATTAGAAGTCTAGGGTTGCACAATGCCCCCTTAATATCTTCTATAGACTTATGAAACCCTAAAGGTGTTCTTTAGACAGAATACCCTTAGGGGCCTTTTTGAGATAGATGATATTAGAATGTCTTCTTAAGGCAGAAAACTTCATTAGTTCCCAACGTCTCATTTTCCCGTCTTCTTATAACGTAGGGAAGCGTAAGGAGGGAATATAGGGGATTAATAGACTTTGGAAACCGGGTACTTAAGAACAGCAGCCGGTGAAACAAAGAATTTAACATGTGTAGACAAAGAAAATAGTATAAAAGTCAAACAAAGACAATAAAAACGTCGTAACTCCAGGAAATCCAAGTCTAGCAATCTTTTTTTATACTGTCCACCACAGTATGGAGGGTATATTGAGTTTGTCATTCCGTTTGTAACACCTCCAAATATACATTTTAGACCCCACAAAGCATATATATTCTTGATCAGCATAAAAGTCTATGTCGGTTTAGCGATGTCCGTTCGTCTATCCGTCTGTGGAACTCACTCTAGCTTCCGAACAAAATGAAGTAGAATGATAAAATTTTACTCAAATGTATATTATGTCTGCAGGACTTTTGGTATTGAAAATAGGCCATGTAGGTCCATGTTTTGGTATAGGCCCCATATAACGGTACCTCCCGATATTCAGTATTTTGATGATTTTAGCGACATTATTCACCGGAATTGTTTCAAATTTGGTATTTGAGGTTCGTAATGGATACTACAGCCTATGACAGAAAAGTGTCTGTGCAGGTCCACATTTTGGTATAGCTCCCATATAGAATTTGGCAATTTTCAAAAAAAAAAATCCGTTAAAAATTCTGTTAAAATCTTATAAATACCAAATTTAGCCGTCATTGTAGAGTCTAAAAGACGAAGGGGACCTGCATAGCAACTTTTGTCATAAGCCATTACAATATTCCAATGCGAAACTTGAAAAAACGGTGCATAATGTAGCTAAAATCATCAATATAGGGAGGTACTATTTTTTTTTTTTTTTTTGAAAATTGTCTAATTCTTACATAGGGATCGAATTCTTTAAACAGGCTGAAGAGTCTTGGAGACCTTCTTTAAGATTCTATTGACAGAAGAAGTCCTTCAAAATTATTTTATAGATACAAGACCTCTTAACAGTCTTCTATTGGCAGGAGACACCTGAGGGGATTCTATAAAGTGAAAACCTTCTGGAGGACATCTATTGACAGTAGACCCTATTAAGTTTTCCAATGTTTCGGATCTAATTTCCGATCAACTGTAATTTCAGGTTTCGCTGGTTTCAGGGATATTGGCAGCACTAGGTTTGTGTTTGTAATAACGAACATAGGCTGATATATGAGCCACCATTTTCTTCCTATTGTAGGTATAATTCTCGTGTTTAGGTATAAGCCCATTTGATATGTTCTGATTTGGTATTTTTAAATTTTTGGACCCAATTTCAACTTCAATTTTATATTTTGTTTCCGTTATTTACTTTGGTTTATTTTTTGATATAACAATTTTCGGTATTACGGGATCTTGATTCTCAATAAAAAAAATCGATATAGGTATAGCATCCAAATAATGTAACTTACAGAGGTTAAGGTTAGCCGATTTCACCATAAGTCAGGCGCAAAAAAGTAAGGTTTAGGAACACTCACTGTACTAGTTATGTGTCCTTAATAACAGGGTGTTAAATTTTAAATCCGCCACCATCAATATTCGCATCCGGTTTGTGTATACACTACCAACGTTTTGCAACACTTGCAATAAAAGGTTCGGCAACGCGTTTAAAAAATTTTTGTCAGAACCATCATTTTATACCTACTTTTTTTAGTTTAGAAGGTAGTTTAACTCCTCGCAAAAATATTCAAAGTATTGAGTTTTAATTTCCATATAGCAATTTCACATTTAATGCCCCTTCCAATTTTAGAGATTTTGACGATAATCAATTTCACGAAACAAGTTTTCACTGACGAAACAAGTTGACACTGACGAACATAGGCTAAAATCGAAATTCTTTCCCTTTAAACATTTATCATACGGTGTTGAAGAACCAATCCGCCACCATCATTTTTTCGCGTGGTTAATTATTTAAAATTAGGTTTGTGAGCATTGGCAGCACTGACGAACATAGCCTAAAATCTAAATTCCTTCCCTTCAACATCTTTCAAACTTTTATGATATGGTGTTGAATGACCAATCCGCCACCACAACTATCAGCATTGGGTTTGTGTACTCACTACCAAAGGGTACACGAAAATGCAGACTCCAACAAATCGGCAACCCCAGCTACTGTTTTAAAGCATTTTGTTCAGAACCACCATTTTCTATCTACTATATTCGAGTTCGTATTAAAACTCATGAGTTTTGGTCTAATGTGCTTTGTAGGTTGAATGGGACTAAAAAAAATATACTTAAATAAATAAATATACTTAAATAAATGTTTAAAAGTCAAGTTAATATTGAAAAACTATTTTTTAAAAATGCATGTGTATATGTCTAATGGACCTTTGAAAAATCCACGTTTACAAGTCTAATTTACCATTACAAAATAATTATAAAAATTCATTTTTACAGTTTTTGAATTAATATTCTTAAAAATTTGATTTTTACAAGTCTAATGGACCTTTGAAAAATATTTTTACATCATCCAGGCTTTTATGTCAAATGGGCCTTCAAAAAATATTGTAAATTTATCCAGATTTATAGGTATAATGAACCTCAAATTTACCTTTGAAAAATATCATTTGCAGATCTAGGTTTACAAGTCTAATGGACCTTTCAAAAATATTTTTAAAAAATTCACGTTTATTGGTAGAATGGATCTTTAAAAAAGTGAAAAAGCTGTAAGTTCGGCCGGACCGAACTTTGAATACCCTCCACCATTTGGTACAAATTTGGCAATTTTCAAAAAAATAAAATCCGTTAAAAATTCTGTTAAAATCTTAAAAGTACCGAAAGTAGCCGTATATTAGAGTCTATACGACGACGTGGACCTGCATAAGCTACTTTTGTCATAAGCCATTACAATATTCAAATGCGATACTTGAAAAAATTATGTTTTAATGTAGCTAAAATCATAAAAATAACGAATATAGGGAGGTACCATGGGGGTTATAAAATGTGGACCTGCACAGAAAATTTTCTGCCATAGGCTGTAGTATCCATTACGAACTTCAAATACAAAATTTGAAATAATTCCAGTAAATAATGTCGCTAAAATCATCAAAATATCGAATATCGGGGGTACCGTTATATGGTGGCTATACGAGGACATGGACCTGTACAGACAATTTTCTGTCATAGGTTGTAATATCCATTACGAACTTCAAATGAGGAATTTTAAACAATTCCGGTAAACAATGTCGCTAAAATCATCGAAATACCGAATATCGGGAGGTACCGTTGTATGGAGGCTATACGAAGACGTGGACCTACATGGCCCATGCGGACATAATTCACATTTGAGTGAATTTTTATGCTGATCAAGTATATATATACTTTGTGGGGTCTAAAATGTCTATTTCAAGGTGTTAAAAACGGAATGACAAATTGAATATACCCTCTTTACTATGATGGAGGGTATTAAAACTATTTTCAAAAATGTATGATTATTGGCCCATTTTTCTTTGTATAAGAGATTAGTGTCATTTGGGGTTCAAGATAAAAGATCTCTAGTTGAATGTACATTTCTACTGCATATAGAGAATATCTCCCTTATCCTCCTCCGCCTTTGCATAGTACACTTCCAATAATAATATTTGTTTTTTGATTCTCCCATTACAGAGTGAGGTCATACAACGTGTGGAGTTCCATGCGCAACAGGCCACTTTATATGTGGACAAAGGTGCCGAAGAGCTGGATAAGGCTGATAAATTACACAAAAAGGCTAGAAAGGTATGTCTCCGTCGTTTATTAGATATCGGAGTAAGATCAAGTCCCTTATTTTCTTTCTTCTCTTCCTATTTTGCAGAAAAAAATTATTCTAATTTTAATAGCAATAATTGTTTTACTGGTGCTAATTTTAATTGGTGTCTTCCTGTGATAAACACGAGTCACTCTCCCCCACCTCTCCCCAATTTCGGACGCATTCCGGGAATCCAAATTTAATGTTTAAGTTTAAGTTAGAACAAAATGTGTGCTGTCATCTGCTGTTAAGGTTTTTAAGTTATTTTAAGCTACAACTGAAAAAAAAAACAACAACAAAAACAAAATAAGTATTAAAATCCAAAGAATATACTACCAAAAAAAGAATATGGCCAAGGAGAAATGAGATTTTATTTGATCGAATAGATAATTAATGGAATGAAGTATTTGAAATGGATACGAGGAAATATTATTTAAGATACCAGCTAAGTGGTCTTTTGGTAATTTAAAAAATGAAAATTATTTTTTTTATTGACTACGGCCAAGGCTCCTATGGAATGTTACTTTTTGAACTTATTCAGAACATTTTGCTTTAAAAAGTTCCCATTTGTCTGCTTGAGTTCGAAAGGCGTTTCTGGCTATGTCGGTGATGTGATTGTCAGAAATTAGTTTTAAAATCACAATAAATCATCTAAGGTATGAAATATTCTGGATCATTGAAGGGTTCTCTGAAGTGTTCCTAAAATAATTTAGAGTTGGTCTGATAGTTGACAAAAACTAATTTTGAAATATTAAAATTATCTAATACAGAGTAATATGAAATACTGCAACTAACTTCAGACTGCTGTCATTTCTTAGGCACTAGTCCGACAGCTGTTAAAATTATTTAAGTGACAGCTCATTATATTGTTTACAAGCGTACAAAAGAATTTAGGTGAGAATTTAACAGAAAAAAAGTTATTGGTGATGGAATTCAAGCGTTATAATGAAATTTATTTATGTTTGGCTGGAAAATCACAAGTGGCTATGGTTAGAGCACTGCAGCATTTAAATGTGAATAAATCTTTTGTGTCTCGTACCATCGCTCGTTACCGTTATACTGGCAGCGTAGCCCGACGTCAAGGCTCGTGAGCTGAACATATCGCAGTATTCCATTCGGCAAATATTAAAAAATGAGCTCGGGGTAAAGCCAGTGAAATTCCAAAAACTTCAAGAACTTAGAAGAGCTAAAGAGTTGCTTCGCTTGGCCGAAAGTGGTGAACTGCCGAATTTGGTTTCCTCCGATGAGAAAACGTTAGTTTTCAGTTTGTACGCAAATAAAATTATCGTGCTCAGCTGAAAATGTGTACCTTCGGTTGGCCACCAGAACTCAAGCGCCGGCCATGGTGATGGTGTGGACCGCCATAACAGCAGCTGTGGGTCACTCTCCGCTAGTATTAATCGACCGTGGCATCAGATTAAATACCGAATATTATCGCGAAAATATTCTGGAGAGTGTATTAAAGTCTTGGGCACGCAAACATTTTGGCCGAAGACCTTGGACTTTCCAACAGGGCTCAGCACCATCACATTCAGCACGCGCCACCCAGGAATGGTTACAAAATGAGATGCTTCATTTCCAGCGCACAATGGCCACCAAAATCTCCGGATGCCAATCCATTGTGCTATTGTGTCGGGTGTATTTTGGAAAGCAAGGTTGGCACTAAAAAATACTAAAGTGTCGATCACCTCAAGCAAGCGCTTCGTCGGAAATGGGCTAAAATTCGTGCCAAAGTTAACCAAACAATTTTGACCCTTTGTGGGAGAGGTACCAGAAGGAGTGTACCCATATATTTCATCTTCACACCAGACCGTGGGTTGATAAAAACATCGTGATATGTGAAATTTTAAGACAATCGGACTCTTACATCATATTTTGTAAGCGTTACATTTTTCAAAATGTTAACTCTTTTTGGGGGAGGTACTGGATGGAGTAGACCGACATTGTCCACTTTCTCATATGACATAGCAGTGATGGAAATATTAGGATTTGCAAAGTTGTCGGATTTATTTGGATTTGAAAATCGGATGATCTCTTTCTGTGCAGTAAAAAATGTTCTTTGATCAGAAGGAATGGACCGATATCGCCTATATCTGAACTCAATCTAAGTTTGATAATAATAATAATACGATGTATCAAGTTTGGACCAAATCGGAAACTTCCTTCGAGAGTTATCGTGCGCACTAGATTGACTCCAAATGTCTTGAAACAAATTTGGTCCAAGGCGACCTAGGGTCTAACCTTATATCGGTGAGGCACGTTTTGGCCGTTTCAAATGATATATACCCTCTCTAGTCATATGGCTGAGGATATAAAAAATGGTAGTGTTTGATAAAAACAAAAAAAAAAAAAATAAAAATGTTCCAGAAAAGTTCCATTTTTAATTTAAAGATTCTTTAAAAAACATTCTGAAAAAGCTAGGATTATTAGCTATATGCTAACGACTATTAAAAAATATCATACGGAAAAATCCCTTTAATTATGATTAGAATAGAAAGAAAGTAAAAATTAATGTATTTTTTATATTTTTCATGTAATCCAGCTCTTTATCACTGCACGTGTACTTGTGTAGCTAAATATTTACACTCTGCGTTCAGCCGACTTTATCATTTTTTATTTATTGTTTTTCCATTACTAAGTTCAGCCTCAATTGACCGGCCTCCGTATTTAGTCTATTACTAATCTCAGAAATATTCCCCGTTTTTTTTTTTTTTTTTTTGCTACCCCAAAACAAATTACTAATCCTCAGTGAAAAAAAACAACAATTCATTTTCGCCCCATTCAAGTTCACACATCCACTAACCCTCAACTAGAGAAAAAGCTTGCCTGCCGGCCTCCCTGTCTATCAGTATCATTACGGATTACGACGGATTCGCATCTGAAGCGAGCTATCCCCTTACATCGTTATCTCAACGTTATGTGAATTCATCACATCACGACATTCATTGTTGCTTCCTTCGCTGTTTTCAATGAGATCAACTACAAAACTCACATGGAGGCGAATAAATAACCGAGTTTGATGCGACTAAAGTTGTTTGCCTCTTATCATTTTGAGAAGAAAACGAAACAAACAAGAAAAAAAGAAAATAATTAAATAGTTTGAGAATTATATCTTGCAAATAAAAATAGATGCGGTGACAATTTGATTGAGTAAACAATAGCGGCAGAGGGTAGCAGCAACAACGATTAAAGAGAGCTGCCTTGCCAAACGAAGACTTAGATACTAACAACATTATTTGCTCAAACAATGGACACAGTGTTCGGAAGGCAATATAAGTTACGGTTAAATGCTTTCTATATTCTGAATTTAAACCGCCTCTAGAAAAATTAAGAAATTGACCAAAGGTCACGATTTTCACAGAACGTTATTTACTTATAGAACAAGAAGGAATTATCCAATTTTATCCAAGCTTTGGAAATCCTAATATTTGTATCAAAACTAGGTCAGATACGAAAATATTCAATATCGGCCCATTCCATAAAGTACCTCCCCCACACAGGGTTAAAATTTTGAATAAACTAAAATGCGAGAGAATCATCCTGTTCTCTTCAAATTGCAAACATACGAAAATGTTTTAATTAAATTAAGATCATATATGGCTGAGGGTATAAATCTGTCAGCAAAATAAAAAATATTCTTAAAAATCAATAACTATTAGTCCCATATATACAAATATTCTTAAAAGATCAACATTTGTACGTCGGATGGATATAAAAAAACAACGTATTTTTCCAAAAAAAAAAAAAAATATTTTTGTAAAATAAAAAAAAAAAACTCAATGAGTTATTTTAAAAAATATTTTAATTATAAGCGGTTTAACTAACATCCTCTTCTTTGATATATGAGATTGTAAAAATGTTGATATACAGGGTGAGATAAAAAACTGCAACAAAGTCAAACGCTTTAATTTTTTAATTTTTTTAATTAAGCAAAAACTGTCGGAAATAGCATCAAATTTTACAATGAGTTTAGATTTGTTCGAATTGGTAACCTTTGCACGAATTATTGCCTTCGAACGGCTAATGAAACCGTCACACGCTGCCCGAATGTTGCTCTGCGGTATTTTGGCCCATTCCCGGCAAAGCGCTTGCTTGAGGTGATCGACACATTGATATTTTTTAGTGCCAACCTTGCTTTCCAAAATACTCCATACACAATAATCCAACGGATTGGTATCCAGAGATTTTGGTGGCCATTGTTGCGGTGTTAGTTCTACCACTTTTTGGAATTTCAATGGCTTTACCCCGAGCTCATTTTTCAATATTTGCCGAATGCAATATTGCGATATGTTCAGCTCACGAGTCATTTTTCGACCACTGCGACGCGGGTTTCGATCAAGTCGCTTCCTTACTTTTCGAATCATTACAGCTGATGTTGCTGTTATCTTCCGTCTACTTACTAGACTTCGGGCTACGCTGCCAGTATTACGGTAACGAGCGATGGTACGAGACACAAAAGATTTATTCACATTTAAATGCTGGAGTGCTCTAACGATAGCCACTTGTGGTTTTCCAGCCAAATATAAAGAAATCACACTATCACGCTTGAATTCCATCACGAATAACTTTTTTTCTTGAAAATTTTCACCAAAATGCTTTTTTATGCTCGCAAACAATATAAAGAGCTGTCACTGGAATAATTTTTACAGCTGTCGGATGAGTGGCTTAGAAATGACAGCAGTCTGAAATTGGTTACAGTTTTTTCATCTCATCCCGTATACCTAGATCAACTCATCGCGGCGACATAGGAATATCCTATGTGCAGGACCAATATTTCGAGGTGGTACATAATTGTTGGCCCAATTTAATTGAAAAATTTAAAATTACTTTCTGAAACTTTTTTTAAAACATGATTATTGCTTAATTTAAAAAAAAAAATATTATGATTTTTTAAAAATAAATGAAAATATCCAAAACTATTGCTAGAAAATATTATAAAACAGTCCATGAATTTTTCCTTAAAAATTCTTTCAAAAAAATCGCGAGTACTGCCTGAAAAATATTTGAAAATATCTGAGACTATTCCTCAAAAAAAAAACTGTTTTTAAAAAATTCTACCTTATTTCCTAAAATTATTTGAATAAAAGCTAAGAGTTTGCTTCGAAAATCTTTCGAAAAAAAACATACCATTATTTCTTAAAAACTAGGTATTTTGAAAAAATACATTTCATTTGAAATATAAAAAAATATTTCTTGAAAAAAATTTTGCATAAAAATATATACCATTATTACTTAAAATATTTTAAAATATATATCTATAAAAATATTCTTAAAAAAAATCCAGAATTATTGCTTACAAACGATTTAAAAAACCAAATCCACATTAAAAATATTTGTAAAAAAATCAAGACTGTTGCCTACAAATATTTCAAAAAAAAAACTAAATTAGTATTAAAAAATCAACGAGCATTGCTTTAAACATATTTTCAAAAATTAAAATTTTTGTATCAAAAAAATTTAAACATATTCGTTATTACAGCTTTTAAATATTAACAAAATATTCACTATTTTTTGGTATTACACTAATAATCATGAACCCTAAAAAAATGTTTTTTAAAAATAAAAAAACGAAATGTCACCACAATTTTAATTGCAAAATATTCTTCAAAACTATTCAATTGTTGGCATTTAGCCATTGTCGAACACTGTGCTGTTTTGTTTTGGGCTTTCTAAAAATGAGTTGTTCCATATACAGCTTTGTGGTTTATTGCCCCCACTCTGCCTCTCTCTGACGTATACAATCGCACTTATGTATTCTGACGTATCTGACGTATAGCTCTGGTGGCGAGAGGAGCACTCACACAGAAAGAATAGAAAAAAAAACGTTCAAAATGCTTTTCATCTTATTGTGGATCCACAATGTTTGAGGCGAGAGCGTATCAGCGGAATCACTCTTTGCCAAAGCTTTGTTGGAGAAAGATGTAAATAAAGAAGTAAATCATAAAAAACTACATTTTCTGTTTAAATTAAAACGATCTTCAACAAACCAAAAGCTACTACAAAGTAATTTGAAATTTAAAAGAAAAGAACACACACAAGAGCTGAAAGTAAGAAAATAAAAGACAAATTTGAAGAAGGTCCACAATAAAGGTAACAAACCAAGCAACCAACCAATCAACTGCCAAATATAGAATTGCAATGATTAAAGATCGTTTAGAGGAACTTAGAGAGGTGGGTAAGAGTTTGGATTTTTGAAAATAAAAATTATGATAACAATTATTATTATTTTTTCTTTAATATAGGAATCCAAACTGCTCCATGCCAAATCGTCGGACTCATTGTGCATTATAAATGAAGATGACATTGTGGGCTATATTAGCCATGAAAAAGCCAACGGAAAAGAACCCCTGCAGCCAGTTGCCAATGGGCGGGAGTTGGGGGAGGAGGAAGCGGAGGCGAATGAAGAAACGGAGTTTGTCATTATACCACATAATCCTGCCATGGAAGCCCTTTTGAAAGTGGTAAGTTGTCGGAATTGTAAAATTTAATTTTCTGAGGGTAATCTAAATTTAGTTTGAAACCTTTCGAAAAATTTGTTCTTCGTGAAATTTGTAGGAGAAATATCGTTTCAAGTGTGGTTTAATGGTTATGAAACAATTGTGTACTTTTATTTTGTTGCCGTAAGAGAATTTAAGAACAAGAACAACAAACAACAACAGCATAGAACCAAGTTAAAAATACAATTATTATTTGTCGTACCCTCAAGCCTTAAGTCACCACAGGCCAGCGGAAAAAAGTCCATAAATAAAATAGCGCGAGATTGATAGTTATTTCAAACAAATAACAAGGGTCTGCAATGAACTCTCAGATGTCGTTATAGGGTTAAAATTCTTAAAATTCATACCCATAGAGGAAAAATCGATATCGAAGTTATTGTTTGGAAGAGATACCAAAGAAAATTCCTTCATTAGGTGTTTTCAAGGTCTTCTACCAAAAAACAAAATAAAAGACCGGAAAATGAAAGAGCTGTAAGTAGTCTCCGAAAGTTATTTTGATACAGAAACACAAGAAGTTTGATGTTTTTGTTTATCGAAATATTGCCTTGTTTTATATTGGGTGTGTGAAGTTGAGAAAGAATCAAATACGTATTAAGAATTTTATAAGCATTTTGTTTATTTTTTGTTTTATTAATTTTGACCCACTGCGGGAGAGGTACCAGAACAGGTGTCACATTTTATGAGAGTTATAATCATTAAAAAATGTTTACCCTTTTTGGGGGAGATACCAGAAGGAGTGGACCGATATCTACTATCTTCACACAAGATCTTGTGATAGTAGAATTATTTAAATGTGTAAAGTTCAGAAAGGGTCATACGCTTATTTCGCATTTTATGAGCATTTTGGTTACTCAAAATGTGACCCCTTGGTGAAAAAGGTACCGCAAGGAGGGGTCCAACATATTTAATCTTCACCGATGATCTTGTGTTGATAGAAATATTGGGATGTGCCGAGTTTGAAAATAATTGATGTTAGTAAAATATTGGGACGTGTGAAACTTGGCGGGAACCGGATGTTTATTTTGGATTTTATGAAAGTTATAATTATTCAAAATGTTGACCAGTTGTGGGGGACGTACCAGAAGGAGTGACCGATTTATCCCACCTTCAAACCAGATCTCATGTTATCAAAAATGTTGGAATGTGCAAAATTTGAAGAGAATCCGATGCTTATTTCTAATTTTATGAAGGTTACAATTATTCAAAATTTTTACTCATTGTGGGGGAGTTACTCAATGGAGTGGACCGATATCGTCCATTTCCCATTTACAATGTTTGAATTGTTGTTCTATGTGGTAAATTATTTGGGGGAGGTGGAGGGGACAGACATTACCCATCTTCAAACTTGTTCTAAGTTTGATAATGACACTATGATATACAAAGTTTGGACCTTCAGAGTTACTGTATGCACCAGCCAGACAGATAGACGGAGCACCCCAAGATCGTCTAAGGTGACCTAGGGTCTAAAAGCGTTATTTCGATGAAGTATGGAAGCAACGAATGTCGGAAATATCATCCAATTTTAGAATAAGTTTAGAGTTGTTCGAATTAGTCACCTCTGGCACGAAGTATGTCCTTCAAACAGCCAATGAAACCGTCACACGCTGCCCGAATGTTGCTCTGCGGTATTTTGGCCCATTCCCGGTGAAGCACTTACTTGAGGTGATCGACACTTTGGTATTTTTTAGTGCCAACCTTACTTTCCAGACACAATAGTCCAACGGATTGGTATTCGGAGATTTTTCTGGCCATTGTGCGATGTTTTCTCATCGGAGAAAACCAAATTCGGCAGTTCGCCACTTTCGGCCAAGCGAAGCAACTCTTTAGCTCTTTTGAGTCTATTTTCTTTCTGTTGCGATGTAAGTTCTTGCACTTTTTGGAATTTCAATGGCGTTACCCCGAGATCACTTTTTTAATATTTGTCGAATTAATTATGTTTTTTTCATCTCGCCCTGTATATAGTAGCCAGGTTAAGTTCGTAAATTGGCTATGTGGGTCCACGTTTGGCTATGTGGTGGTGGTGATATGATTTCAGCGACATTATTTAACGGAATTATTTTAAATTTCATATTTAAAGTTCGTAATGGGTACTACAGCCTATGACAAAAAAATTTCGTATGCATGTTTACGTTTTCGTATATCCTCCATATAACCGTACCACCCGATATTCGATATTTTAATGATTTTAGATTCACTGAAACTGACAGGCCCACGTCTTCGTATAGTCCCCATATAACGGTTTCCACTTATGTGGTAGTTTTCGGATTTTTTTGTTTTAATTTTCAAGTTCCTTCTAAATGGTGGAAATGGTGGTGGTTAGCTGATTTTTTACTTGTTCAAATGTAAACTTTTTCAAGGTTTTCCCAAAAAAAAGTGTGATTTCTTAAATTCAATTCAATTTTTATTTTTCAAAAATTTATAATCGGATGCTCCCTTAGCGAAATACTGTGCGCACTAGACGGTCATACAAACATAGCAACATACGAGTATGTAGCTAGATCGTTTTCAAATGTCTTGAAACTAAAAATGTAAATCACAATTATCTATACATATGTATGATGAAAATCATGAACAAAAAAAAAAAAAAACTTAAGAAGCAAAACCACTTGACCCTTTTCTTTACTTCCTCATTGCATTCCCATTGGGAATTTCCCTAAAAACAATTGGCATCAGACAAAGAATGTTTTTTTCTTGTTTATAAAACCAAAACCAAAAAAAAAAACTTTGAATCAATAAAAAAAAGCCTGTATCATTTATAGTTGTTTGTATTGCCTTTTAAGATTTTTTTTTAGTTTCCAAAAATTGCAATAACAAATTTGTTCACTGCTGAATCATCATTTCAAAAAAACAAAAAATGTTTGAATCGCGGCAGCATTCACCTACCAAGTTGATCGGTATGTTACAATCAAAAGTTGTTATAAAAAATGTAATCAGCGTTAGAAATTAACGTGTTCCACAGCCTAAGCCCTATATGGAATTTCCTAAGCACCAAATTGTACACCTCAATCGCTTGCTTGCCCGTCAAATTTTTGTTTTTTTCCTGATTGATTTTTATTCACTTCTCGGCCTCGCTAGGCCGGAGGGGAAGTACCTTTGCAATAAACAAACAATGCTTTGTGTTGTTCACATGTAATGCATTGTGGGATTTACTCCGGATCCAAGCTGCATTTTAGGAGGCATGTATTGTGGTCGGGAAAAAAGCAAGCATGAACCTTTGTGTTTCATTCTCAGACAATTATCATATTTTTATATGATATGCCTACTTACATTTATACGTACGAATGTATGTATGTATGTATCTTTGCCACACAGTGTTTGGATACTTATTTACTATTTGTTAAATACAAACATGGTTAACTTGGATTTTGATATTTTACCCGCTCTGAATCTTACACTCATAGTTTATCGGAAAGAGATTGCATTACGAAATGCTTTGTTGTTTTTATTACGTGAAGAGGTTAATACACTCACGTGCATTTCGAAGTACTGCATCACGATAATAAAGAAAGCTAAAATAAGTTGCAAAATTGTTAAGATTTTAAATTGATCCATTTTTATTTCAGACTATTTGATTATTGTCTATTTCGTATCGGACCTACATATCACCTACCAGGTTTGAACTTGGTTACTTCCTTTACTGTATTAGAGATATGTGATAATTTTTAGAAAATGTTAAAATAGCGTGAGGTACCTAACATAATCGACCGAAATATTACATTTTCATATTTCATCTAATACAGATAAAGATATTGGTATGGGCAAAATTACAAGAAAATCGAACATTTATATCTACTTTTATGCGAAATCATAAATTCCATATTCATCCCAGGTTTCTGGTTGAGAGAAATATTTAGATATCGCAAGGTGTAAAGAATCACTGACTTGTTTCGCAAGTTATGACAGATATAAGGGGTTTGCAGTTATACATCACCTTCACAACCGATCTTGTGTTAGCAAAAATGTTTGTATGTGTGAAATTTGAAGAGAGTTGGATGCTTATTTTGCTTTCTTTGAGCGTTTGATTTTTCAAAATCTTGAAGACTATGTAGGGCAGGTACCGGAAGAAATGGTCCGATCTCTACCATCTTTATAACAGGTCTTGTGTTGATAGAAGTATTGAGATGTACCAAGTCTGCATGGAATCGGATGTTATCGGATGAACTATGAACTTCATGTATATCAAAAATGTTGACCTTTTGTGGGGGGAGGTACCAAAAGGAGGTTACCGATATATCCCATCTTCACAACAGATCTTGTGTTAGTAGAAATAATGAGATGTTTAAAATATGAAGAGAACCGAATGCTTATTTCGGATTTTATAATCGTTTTGGTTATTCAAAATTGTGTTCCTTTGGGAGGGAGGTACCAGAAGAAATGGTCAAATTCTACCATCTTTATAACAAATCTTGTGTTGATAGAAATATTGCGATGTACCAAGTCTGAATGGAATCGGATGTTAATTTCGTGTTTTTGAGTTTCATAAATATTCAAAATTTTGTCCCCTTGTGTGGGAGGTTTCAGAAGGAGCGGACCGATGTATTCCATCTACACACCAGACCTCGGTTTAAAAAAACTATTGTGATGTGTGTAATTTAAAGACAATCGGATAATTACATCACATTTTATTTGTGGGGGAGGAACTTGATGGTGTGGACCGATATTGTCCACTTTCTCATATGCCCTAGCACTGATGTACATATTAGGATTTGCGAAGTTGGGACAAATCGGATTTTGTGCACTAAATTATTTTCTTTGAAAATGTTGACATTTTGTGAAAGAGGTATTAGAAGGAGTGGACCGATATTGCCCATCTCCGAACTCGGTCTAAGTTTGATAATGATATTACAATGTACCAAGTTTGGATCAAATCGGATACTTCCTTCGAGAGTTATCGTGCCAGACCAGCCAGACAGACGGATGGGCGGACGGGCGGACGGACATTAATAGACCGACTTCCAATGTCCTGAAACGGATTTGGTCAAAAGAGACCTAGGGTCTAAAACCGTTATTTCGATGAAACACGTTTTGGCCGTATCAAATGATATACACCCTCTCTAGCGATATGGCTGATGGTATAAAAATAGAAATAAACACGATCGTTTTAATTTCTTGAATCAGAAGAAGCGGCTGAAGCTGGAATCTTAAAATTGTCCATGAGGGTCAGTCTTGACCGTTTTTGAAAAAGTTTATGAAAAGAACTAAAATTTACTATAAATTGAATAATTTGTGTTGGACAAACGGAATGAACCACTGATGGAGTGTAGGTTAGATGCACCAAAGGGTTTTTGGAAATTCGTAATTTCAGATACGAAAAGTTCTAAAATGGCACAAAACTTCTTAAATAATACAATTTGGTATTATGGGAACGGGTAAGAATCAAGGCTGGAAAGATATATGAAGGCGGTTTTGGAACTGTGTACTAATTGTGCGATCTGTATTAAATGGGACTGCATATGGAACAGTTTGGTTTAGGGTGGATGGATGGAACTGAAATTTCGAAGTTTTGTTAGTGGGGCCCCTGTTAATAACATTTGTTATTGGGTAAACAAATAGTGCTTGAAATCGGAAATTTGTAGCCTAGAGGTATGGAGGTAGTGTACTATAATTGTACGAAAAATACTGAATTGTACTACCTTTGTTATTGGGAGAAGGGATCTAGATAAAATTATGATGTGTTGGTATCTGGTTGTGTTTTTGTTAATGTGTGCTATACTTGGTCAAAAAGTACTACAAATTACCAAATTTTAGTGTGCATACTGTACTACATGTACATATTTGGAATAGTTTGGTTTATGGTGGACGGATAAAGAATTTTGACATTTTGTATTGGGGTCCCTGTTGGTGGTAGGTATGTGATAAAGATGTGGTTTGGAAAAATCTACTATAAGTGCACGAAAAGTACCAAATAGGCCTATATTTGGTACATTTAATTATTTGGTGAACAGATAGTGCTTGAAATCTGAAATTTGGTATTAGGGACGCTGTTTATGTGTAGCCTGGAGGTGGTTTCGGAAATGTGTACCATAATTGTACGAAAAGTACTAAATTTGGTGTTGGGTGAAGGAATAGAGATAATATTCTGAAATTGGATATAGATGTCGCAGTTGGTGTCCGTAGTTAAGAAATGGAGATGGTTTTGAAATATTCTAAAATTATGCGAAAAGTGCAAAATGTTACTAAATTTGGTATTGAGTAAGTGGATAGAGCTGGACGACATTTTATATTGAGATCTCCGTTGGTATCTGGTATCCATTGTTCAAAAAGTACTAAGTGGTACTAATTTTGGATCCCTTTTGGTGTGTAGGATGGAGAGATGTAGATTTTTTTTGGGATATGTGTACTAAATGTTTCTAAATTAGACATTGTGTGAAGGGATAGAGCTAAAATTCTGAAATTGATGTCATTGTTGGTTTCTAGGGTTTACATATGGAGACGTTGAAATAGTTTTGGACAAAAAATGGATGTGGGTTTATTGTGCAATGGGTTTACTAGTATCATCCTCGGTAAACTTCAAAATGAAAGATTTTGAAGACAAACAACTGATTGACCTACCGCTCACTCGTATTTATAGGTCCTACATGGAAGTATTCCCGAAACTTTTATCTAAAGATGAGGACCTAATCAAAAATCAAGAAGAAACAAACGAATGTATGTAAATAACAAATGAGACAGTTGTTATAAATACGAGCGAGTAAAAAAGAACAAGTACTAACGTCATAATAAGGACTAATATAGATAGTTCTACGCGGAAATATTTATTTTAAATTAATATAAACTAAAACATCTGAACTAAAGTCAAAATAAATCTAAGGAAGAAACTTGACAATATTCACAATTATTATCCATATTAACTTAAATCTTTTTTCCACTCTTCAAGTACTCCCAAATCCTCCAAGAATTCACTGTGATACAAAGCAATTTGGATAAAATGAAAGACATGGCTACGGCGAAAAATGCAAAGAACTTCAATGGTAAGTTATGGCCTCATTTTTTTTATAAATCGAACGACTCCCCCTAATGCAGCGATTTCTTTCCAGAAAAAGACTTTTACAATTTACGCCAAAGCAGTATTCTCATCGGAGGTAATATTATGAATAAATTCCAAACGCTGGAAACGAATCTGCCACAGTCAGACGATTTTACGACACTGGCGCGAATGAAACGAATACTCTACTATGGATTGTTTCAAAAGTATGTCGAAATATGGACGGAAATGGAAGAATTTCTACAGGAATATGAAAATAATTTGAAACGAACACTGCGAACCCAGTCGAGAATATGTAAGAAAATGTATTCCCACAAGGTTTTGAGGGTGTAAAAATACATTTTTTTTATTTTATATAGTGAATATTGAACTGAATGAAGAGGAAATCGAGACATTGGTCACCAACAAACAGACAAATTTATATACATGTAATGTAAGTAATAATCGAATACTTAGCCTACTTATATAATGAAGACCTTTATAAACTTGCATCAGGCTGACCTTTTTGAGGTTAATTTTCATACATTTAATGTCAAATCAATCAGAATTGAGTACATTATCACTGTAGAAGATTAAGTCTTAACAAGTGCTCAAATTTTCTCGATTTGAAATGAATTCGCCAGCGGGAGTACTTCAAGAGTATAAGAGTACTCCCCATTATTTTGTTTAATGTGAGAGTCCTAGGAAGTACTTTTGTTTGAAAAACAAGTAAAAAAGCGGCCGGGTCGATCTTTCAAAGAATTTGACAATTTTCAAAAATAATAATAAAATCCGTTAAAAGTTCTGTTAAACTCTTAAAAATACCGAATGTTGCCGTTATATTAGGGTCTATAAGACGACGTGGACCTGCATAGGCAACTTTTGTCATAAACCATTACAATACTCAAATGTGAAACTTGAATAATGTCGCTTAAATCACCAAAATACGAAAAAGGGAGGTATCATTATATGGGGGCTATACCAAAACGTGGACCTACATGACCCATTTTAAATACCAAAAGTCCTGCAGACATACTACTTCATTTCGTTCGGAAGCTAGAGTGATTTCCAAAGACGGGCGGACATCGCTAAATCGACATAGAATTGTATGCAGATCAAGAATATATATACTTTGTGAGGTCTAAAATGTATACTTCGAGGTGTTACAAACTGAAAGACAAACTTAATATACCCTCCATACTATGGCGGAGGGTATAAAAACTTAATATACCCTAAATACTATGGTGGAGAGTAGAAGCATACATAAACAAAATCGTGATAGAGCAACTCCTAAGAAAATTAAAGGATCAATTTCATTATCTGCAATTTTTCACTCATTTAGCTTTTTTAAAGAAGAAAACGTATTTTGAACAATCCCAAAACTGTTTATTGATGTTTTACTTGCAACAGAGAGTATGAGAAACAATCGAAAGTAAAAATGTTCGAAATAGAGTAAGAGTTTGCTTTCCTTTCCATTTTTTTATAGAGGAAATTTCAAAATTAAAGAGCACATGGTAAGAGAAGAATCTCACTCTTCAAACGGTTTCTGCTCTCACTCGAAAAGTAGCAAAGCTTACTCGCTCGATTTCTAATTATTCTCTCATGAGAACTCCCTTTTCGAATTCGGACGAGCGTACCGGAGATCGGGTATTAACAATTTCCTAACAGCTTAGTTAATTTTTCATTGAATGAATTCGAAAGAGTCACTAACTAACGACCGATCGATTCAAAACAAACCCCTTTCGAATTCGCATGTTTTAATAGGTTTTAAAGATCATAAATATTTCCTTTTAGATTTTAGAAGATACCGAACATGCGCGAAAAACCTTAAACGCCTTGACTGCCCGTCTGGGAGATCTGAAGAAATTGGAAAAATCTCTGGAAGAAGTACATGCTGTCTTTATACAACTGCAAACCTTAGTTGTGGAACAGGTGAGTTCTTTATTGAGAAAACTTGTATCAGATTCTACATATCTCTTTTCTCTTCAGAGTATGGTCATTCAAAGCATAGAAAAACATTATCTAGATGCCCGAGACTATGTGGAACAAGCAGCCGAAGAAATCAAAGAAGCTGAAGTTTTACAAAAGAAACGAATCAAGGTAAATCAAATTTTATAAAAGTCAAGTTCTAACAAATACCCCTCACCTGAATTAACTTATCTCTAAAATATACATATTTAGGTTTTAAAGTTTATTAAGGTATTTGAGTTTGAAACATTAACAGTTCGAATGCATGTATTTGTGTTTCATACCAAAGTAAAGCATATCATTTTTTTAATTTTATTGAATGGGAGGATAAAATGTCGGAAATAGTATCAAATTTTAGAATATGTTTAGATTTGTTCGAATTGGTCAACTTTGGCAAGAATTATGGCCTTCAAACGGCTAATGAAACCGTCACACGCTGCCCGAACGTTGCTCTGTGGTATTTTGGCGCATTCCCGGTGAAGCGCTTGCTTGAGGTGATCGTCACTTTGGTATTTTTTAATGCCAACCTTGCTTTCCAAAATAATCCATACACAATAGTCCAACGGATTGGTATCCGGAGATTTTGGTGGCCATTGTGAGCTCGAAATGAAGCGAGTAGCCTCATTTTGTAACCATTCTTGGGTGGCGCGTGCTGAGTGCGATGGTGCTGAGTCCTGTTGGAATGTCGAAGGTCTTCAGCCAAAATGTTTGAGTCCCCAAGGCTTTAATACACCCTCCAGAATATTTTCGCCATAATATTCGGCATTTATTCTGGTGCAACGGTCAATTAATACGAGTGGAGAACGACCATCGGCTGTTATGGCGGCCCACACCATCACCATGGCCGGCGCTTGAGTTCTGGACGAGTGGCTTGAAAATTACAGCAGTCTGAAGTTGGTTGCAGTTTTTTCATCTCACCCTCACCCTCTCTTATCTTTCAGGGGATAAAGTGTTTAGAAAGAACTTCTAATATGGATTTTAAGACAATTCCATGAAACAATTTAGCTTAAATCATCAAAATACCGAATATCGGGGCAATACGATATCGATAGCCCAACTTCGAACATGACCTACCTGCAGACAAAAGAATGCTCTGTGGAAAATTTTAGCTTCCTATCTTTATTCGTTTTAACTCTAGCGTGATTACAACAGACGGACGGACTGACAGGGCTAAACCTTTTTTGGGTCTAAAATTATTATTTCGATGAGTTACAAATGGAATGACGAACTAATATACCAATACAATAAAAAACATACTATGTATGTTGGAGGGTATAAAAACAAACTAAGATGTTTCCAGGATTGTACCGCTGAGAAAACTCGCCCAGTCCAGCGATACGTAAGCTGACTTTTGATTGATCAATTTATCGATCTTTCAGCTGAAGTCGACTTTTGTCTATGGTGAAAATCACGAAATCAGATTTTGAAATGCATTTTCGATTCATATACAAGCGAATGAAGTGCTTTTTATTTAAATCTCTCTTCTTGCGATAATGCCCACCAAGAAGTCTAACAATCGATCTTATGCTCAATTCGATAGAACTATAACTCAACAAAAAATTTAAAACAGATAGCCTCATCTTCATTATTTTTTATTTTGTAATCCATCAAATTCTTTTATGCAGGTGATGGGTGTTTGTTGTACATAATAAAATTTTAAATTTAGTCTCAGATCGGAAAACCTTATTCCAATACTAATCAAAACTCCCTTCTTATTCCCTTTCAGAAAAAATTCATCCTTATTATATTCTCATTAATTATATTATTTATTGTTATATTATTAGTCTTCCTTGTATAATAAAATATATAAAATATTTAGGATTCATATACGAAATTCACCCTGTCTATACTGTTGTCGAAATATTATATTAGTATTATTATAAAATTACATTTTATACAAAAAGTATATGCAGAAAAAAAGAAATCATGTAAATATATTTATAAAAGAAGTAAATAAAAAATAACTACATGTTTGTTGTAGTTTTGGCACATCTTCCTTATTTTTAAACGGACAAAGAGAACTGTTCGCAGAGAGGTAGTAGATGGAGGAGGTCATGAAGTTATAGAGAATGCCAACGAAATGGGTAAGTATTGGCAAAATCGAATTTGAATATTAATAAAAATAATAATAAAATAATAAATAAATTCCTAATTTAACAGTAGAACACTGTTTTGTATTGGAGCAAGACGAAGTATCCTAAGGGAATTCCATGGCATGAAGATAATATGGACTATTTTGGAAATAAACGAAAAGCGCAATATCTAAGCGGTTTCGAATGCACATGTGTGACTCCACCATAAATATCAGCGTGAATGATTATTTTGCTGTAATAAAGATATCTTATTTAGACAATATAAATTCCATTTATGATGAAACTCGAATAACATATCGGTCATTTTTATTTCAAAGCTATTGAAAAAAGGCTTAAAATCTGGGACATAGAATAGGGGACTAACAGTCTCTTTGGAGTAGGTTCCGAAGGAATAAATATGATATAAATATTGTGATGTGCCAGGTTTGGACCATATTAGTTACTTCTTTCAATTTATGTATATGAGATATGTGATAATTTTTAGAAAATGTTAAAATGTGTGTGGTATATAGTCGACCGAAGTATTCCATTTTCATAATTCCTGTAATACACATAAAAATACTGACATGGGCAAAATTACTAGAATATCGAACATTTATATCCAATTTTATGCGAAATCATAAATTCCACATACATCTCAGTTTTTTGGTTGAGAGAAATATTGAGATATAGCAAGTTGTAAAGAATCGCTGTTATGACATAAATAAGAAATGATCCGATCTCTACAAGAATAAATGGTCCGATCTCCACAATCTTTATAAGAGATCTTGTGTTGATGGAAATATTGAGATGTACCAAGTCTGATTGAAATCGGATGTTAATTTCGCGTTATATGAGCTTCGTGAATATTCAAAATTTTGACCCTATTTGGGGGAGGTACCACAAGGAGTGGACGCATATATTCCATATTCACAGCAAATCTAGTGAGAAATAATGGGATGTATGAAATATGAAGAGAGCCGGAGGTTTTTTTTCGGATTTTATAAGAGTTATAATTGTTCAAAACTTTGACCCTTTGTGGGGGAGGTACCAGAAGGAATGGTCCGATCTCTACCTTCTCTATAACAGATCTTGTGTTAATAGAAATATTGAGTTGTACCAAGCCTAAATGGAATCGGATATTAATTTCGCATTATATGAGATTCATTAATATTCAAAATTTTGACCCTTCGTGCGGGAATTACCAGAAGGAGTGTACTGAGATTACCATCTTCACAAAAGATCTTGGGCTAATAAAAATATTGTGATATGTGTAATATGAAGGCAATCGGACTCATACATTACATTTTATAGAAGTTATAATTATTCAAAATGTTGACCTTTGTGGGGGAGGTACTTGATGGAGTGGACCAATATTGTCCATTTTCGCAACTGATCTAGCATTGATGTAAATATTGGGATTTGCAAAGTAGGAAAATATTTTTTTGCGCTTTGTGAGGGAGGTACCAGATGGAGTGGACCAATATTTCCCATCTCCGAACTCGATCTCTTCGAGAGTTATTTTACGCACCAGCCAGACAGACGGACATCTCTAGATCGACTCCAATTGTCCTGAAACGCATTTGTTCCAAAGAGACCTAAAACCGTTATTTTTATGAGGCCAGTTTTGGCCTATCAAATGATATACACCCTCTGTAGCCATATGGCTGGGGGCATAATAAACAAATACACAATTGCATACACAATTTTCTGTCATACGTTGAATTACCATTACGGGCTTCAAATACGAAATTTGGAAAAACTACGATGAATAATGTCTCTAAAATCACAAAAAATACCGAATATAGGAAGGTGTCGCTATACGGAGGCTATGCGTCGCTAAAATCATCAAAATAACGAATATCGAGGGTTACCGTTGTATGGGGACTATACGATGTCGTGGACCTATATAGACAATTCTCCTCCAGAGGGTAAAGTACTAAGAAGGAACTTCTTGTGTGTATTTTCAGACAATTCCATTTCAAAATGTGTCTAAAATCATCGTTACCAAATCGTTATTTGGGTGCTATACGATATCGTGGATCGATATAACCCATCTTCGAACTTGACCTGCCTGCAGACAAAAGGCTGATCTGTGCAAAATTTTAGCCGAATTCGTTTTGACTCTAGCGTTATTAAAAAAAGGGACGGACGGTCGTCTTAGAATTTTACGCTGGTCAAGAATATATATACTTTTTTAGCACTAAAACAATTATTTTGATGAGGAATTATTTTGAATGACGGAATGACGAACTTAGCATACCTTCTATGATATGTACGGTGGAGGGTATAAAAGTACAGAAAATATATACTTCTGTCTAGCCGAGACCATTCGAAAGAAGGTAAGTAGGATTCGGAGGAGTGAACCATGTGAAAAAACCGGCGGTCCACGATATCGATATGTCGGATCCAGGGATAATATGTTGCATTTGCGATTTTCAAGAGTAATTTTTCCAGTAACTTTTCCTGATGAAAATATATGTAATCTATTAACAGCAGCAGACGAGGATGAGATAAAATTTTGATTTCAATTTTTGCTGATTTCTTGCACTTAAATTGTAAATTAGGGTTCAATAACGACACAAATGTTGGGGTTAATGGAAATTATGCGCTAAGGAATTAGTACTTAATTCTACAATTAATACATTGGTATCCATTGAAATTTTCATTTTAAAATGGTCCACCCTTTCACGCAATATTCCATCCAATTACACGTCATTAATTGTGGTTGTTTCTTTTTCCACAAACCACAAATTATAAATATTTTCTTAATCAGACAATTAATGGGGGTTTTCGAAAGCACTTTATGTCATTTACAAATTGATTATTGAAAAGAAAACGCATCATGATCAAAGACCGCTTAAAGGAACTGAAAGGGATTGCATCCAATGGAGATACATCAGAAGTCGATGGGGCAGAGGATTATGTTTGTGTCGATTTGCCCACTGAAAAAGGTCCCTCGTTTATTGAACCATTAATTAAAAGGGTAAGTTGAAGAATTTTTTTTTCATAATTAGGTGGCTATGTACTTCTGGAATACACTATCTAGAACATCACCTCAAAGGTACGTGAAGGAATATTTAGTTCGCCAACTTTATTGAATTTTGCTATAAATGTTAAATATTAATCTAGTAAAGAACAACATTTTTGTGTTTCTTCTTCGAGACAAGAAGACACTGCTCCCAGTGCCTAGCTAAGTCCGCAATATTTAACCACCCAGACAGCTGAATAATTGTTGCGAACTTATTGCCTTATTTATTTTCAGAGCTCAAATTTGCTCAATTTAACTCGCTAGTTTTTTTAACTAGATACCTCGCTAGTTTTTTTTCACTAGCTGGACTCTTTTTAGACTCCTCTCTTTCGTTTTTTATTTGTTAGAGAACTTGCGAGCGATCACGTTTGAGTGAGGTGGGATGGGGAACCAAAATATTCGAAATAGAGTAAGTGTTTACTTTGTGAGGGAAATCGAGTGGAAAATATTTTTTTGTTGTGCTGTGGAAGTGGTATCCAAACGCAAGGAGAGAAAAAAACTGCAGAAGCAAAATATTGAAAAAGGCCGTTTGATTTCATCTACAAAAATAACAAAAACAACCGCACTTGCATATACGTCGTTGGTAAAGATTGGCGACAAGGCCATTGGTTTTTGTTTCGTTGGCAGCATTATACAATAATACAAAAAACCGCATCATTCAAACATTCTTGGGATTTAAAATCTTGAATGAAAATTTTTTAAATCTTTCACAAAACTAATTTCATAACAAACTCTGAACGGTCTGTAATCCAATACGAAATCCAATCAAATGTGTGCTTTTAATGTACATATAAAATTGAATTTTAATATATAAAATGAAATTTCAAAAATTAGTACGAAATAAAGGCTATTAAGGCAATTATAGAACATAAATTTTTTCCGGTGCCATCTTAACTCTACGGTGCCATCTAAAATCTACGAAAAGTGAAGTTGTACAAAGAGGTTGTACACAAAGTTGTATCGTTTGTGGCCGAAGCATACAACTTGACAACTCTCCAGGTTGTACCAACGGTTGTATCGTGTGTAGCTTGCATAAGAATATTTATTTAAAAATCAATTTATTTTTTCAAATATTTTTTACAATGTTTGACTGGATTCCCCAACGATATTCCGAAACCTAAAGTTGGGAATTCACTCGATTTCGAGTGAATTTTACTCCCACAATAAATAGAGAAAAGCATAATCGCATTTATTCTCTTTTTACTATCAGAAGTACGTCCGCATTTCGTAGTTCTGTTTATTTTTTAAGTTCCGTTTATGCTTTTAATCTGGTGCCATCTTTCCTCATTTACCACACAGAAATAAATATGGTACTAGTTTTTGCAACCTTGCATTTGAAGTACATCTATTCATCTATATTTAAGAGAGTGAAGTAAAGAGTAAGTAAGTGGCTGACCAGGCGGATCCGCTGAAGTTATAGAGAGTTTATATATAGAGTTTATAGCTAAAATCTTAAGAACTCGCATAATAACCAGTGTGTATGCTGGTTACTTGAAAATACGTTTTTATACCCTCATTCATATGACTAGAGAATAAAGGGTTCAGACCCTAGGTATCTTTGAAACATTTGAAGTTGATCAAGCGATGTCTGTCTGTCTCATGCGTAGGAGTATCTAATTGGGTCCAAACTTGGTAATACTATTATTATACTTAGATCAAGTTCAGATATGGGCAATATCGTTGAACACCTTCTGATACCTTAACATTGATTTCCATTCAGACATAGCACATCTCAATATTTCCACTAACACAAGATCTGTTATAAGGATGGTAGATATCGGACCATTCCTTCTGGTACCTCCCCATCAAAGGGTTCAAAATGTTCATAAAACACGAAATAATAATCCAACTCTGTTCATATTTTACTCATCCCATTATTTGTACTTACACAGAATATGTTGTGAAGATGGGATATATAGGTCCACTCCTTCTGGGACGCCGAAATTAAGATTCGATTCCATTTAGACTTGGTACATCTCAATACTTCCATGACTACAAGATCTTTTATCTGTCATAACTTGCGGAACAAGTCAACGATAGTTTGAAATGGTGGAGGGTAATAGCCCCTAAATAACGATAAATTCTGATTTTCGGTATTTTGAAGGTAGCAGTCCAATTTTGGATATTTCGGCTTCTTTGTGGGGATATTAACTTCTTTCAGAAAGCATTAAAATAGGTATAACCCCTATATAGCGGAACTTCCAAATTTTAGGGATTTTAAGGATAGTAAATTTGTCATATGTCAAGTTTACACATTTCTAACAAAAATGAAAATAAAAATATAAAATAAGTTCCCTTTCTCTCCCCATTTTAGTATGTCGACATTTTAAAGGAATTTGAGCTAATGAGAGAAAATATCAACAAATTAAAATCCATGTTGGAAGCGAAAAACTCTCACCTATTCAATGGTATGATCTATATTAAAGCTATTATTTCGGAAGAGATTAAACAATTTCCCAACTTTCTTTCAGAGGATGAATTCACTAAAGTTCGCCAGACAAACCTACAAATTAGCAATCGTTTGATAGATCGATTTAAAAAACTTGAATCGAAGCTTCCCAAGGCAAATGATTTTCGAACTCAGGCCCGCATGCAAAGAGCTCTTTACTATGGATATTTTCACGAATATGCTGTGTTGTGGACCCAACACGAAGAGGTTCTGCAAAAGTACGAACACAATTTGAAGAGAAATCTACAAATGCAGTCGAAAATTTGTGAGTATCTATACCAGAGCTAAGTAAAATAATATTATGAGATCATTTACCATCTTGAATTGAACTATACAAAACAAGTGATTTTATTTAAATAAATGTTTTTTTAATTATTCTTTTTTCAGTGAATTGTAACCTGACTGATGAGGAAATTGAAACTTTGATTGAAAACAAACAAACTAGTCTGTTAATGGATAATGTAAGGAAATACTCTGAAACCTTAGTCTCGTAATTCGGGATTCGCCGAAAAGAAGTTCATGAAAGAAAATCACTGGCATTATTTTTCTCTTTAAATTTCTGTCTTAAACATTAATTTAGTTTTTCTTTCATTCTGAAGTTGGAGTTAGGAACTAGGACCTATTCTTCCCTGTTTCACCCATATATTTTTCAGATTTTAGCCGACACCGAGGAGACCAAAAAACAACTAAAAGAAATAAAAGATCGTTTAGACGATCTATTGAAATTGGAGAAATCCATCGGCGAAGTACATGGATTATTCTTGCGTCTACAGAATTTGGTTGTGGAACAGGTAGGTTTTACCCCACAAAAATATTGGTGGATAAAAATATTTCCATTTCTTTTGGGGGGTGGTAAAAGGGTGAAGTAATGCAAAGCATTGAAAAACATTTTGATGATGCTCGTGACCATATCGCTGAGGGTAATGCACAGATTAAGATAGCCGTTGCTCTGCGCAAGAGAAATATTGTTGTAAGTACAAATTGTATAGACAATTTTAGTTCAGAATAATGATTCGCATTAATTTTTCAGACCAAAACTAAATTAATTATTATTGGTGGAATTTTGTTGCTGCTTATCTTGCTGTACATCATCAACAGTTTCCACTGTTTTATGTTCTGCAAGAAAAAGAAATAATCAACGAGGATCATGCTATGATTATTGACAATTCTGTAGACATTAAGAAAGCGAGAATAAACGATTTTTAAAAAATAATTTTTTCACCAGATAATATTATTATATATAATAACTATATATTAGAATTAATAAGGTAGCAAAAAGCAATCATATATTTGAAATGTTTCTAAAAGGTATGCATTTGCCAACATCTAACAATGTTTATTCATAAATCCTAATCAGAGATGGATTGGATGGATCTATGAGGTTATATTTGGCAAAGTAATTATAGAAAATACAGAAAACGGAATATCTAGGGTACAATTATCGGGGGGAATGGTACCCTAGATATTCCGGGAATTGTGCAGCAATGTAGGAAGCAGCCGAAAATTTTTCAAAAACATGTAAGCAATCAGCTGATTTGTCAGAACAAAACAATTTGTCTGACATTAAAAATTGTTTTTTTTTAATAAAAGGATCTTGATTCGAAAGGAATTTGAAAAATGTCAAAAAATATCGCTCAATAGAAAGCCTTTATATGGAGGCTCTACGAAGAACTGGGCCTGTATAAGTAACTTTTTGTCATAAATGAAAACTCTTATATGGGGGCTCTACGAAAACGAGGACCTGCATAAGTAACTTTTTGTCATTGACTGTAGTACCGATTCCGAACTTCAAATACTCAATTTAAAACAATTCCGGTGAATAATGTCGCTAATATCATGAAAATACCGAATAACGGAATCTACCGTTGTATGGGGCTATATAGAAAATTCTCTTTCAGGGGTAAAGTACTCACAGAGAACTCCTTGTGTAGAATTTCAGACAATGCCATTGAAAAATGTGACTAAAATCATCAAAATACCGAAGGTCGGGCGATACAGTTATATGAGGATATACGATATCGTGGACCTATATAGACAATACTCTTTCAGGGGGTAAAGTACTCAGAAGGAATTCCTTGTGTGGATTTTAAATCAATTCCATTGAAAAATGTGGTAAAAATCATCAAAATACCCAATATAGACCATTTTTTCAGGAATTTCTTGTGCAGAATTTAAGATAATTTTATTGAAAATGTGGTTAAAATTGTCAAAATACCGATTATCGGGAGTACTGTTATATGGGGCTATACGATGTCGTGGACCTATATAGAAAATTCTCTTTCATGGGGAAAAGTACTCACAGAGAATTACTAGTGTAGAATTGCAGACAACTCCATTGCAAAATGTGTCTAAAAACATCAAGTACCAAATATCGGGGGGTAACGTTATATGGGTCATTCGATATCGTGGACTGATATAGCCCATCTTCGAACATGACCTGCCTGTAAAAAAAAACTGATCTGTGCAAAATTGTAGCTTCCTATTTTAATTTGTTTTGAATTTAATTTAGCTTGATTACAACAGACGGACAGGGCTAGATCATCTTAGTATTTTACGCTGATCAAGAATATATACTTTTCTTCTCCAAAAAAAAAACATTAACACTCTGTTCCAGAACCTGCAGAATCTACTATTCCGTAATTATTTTCGATATCATAAAGGGAAAATCGGTTATCGTAGTAAAACGTTCCACATTCTTGCAGTTCTGGAACAGACCATAGACTTGCAAATTCTAAAATTAACATGTTTTCAAATTTGCATCCACCCGTATTCTTCTGCCATGATTGCAAGAAGAAAGTTGTCCCAAAAGAGTTTTCAGTAAAACAACTGTCAACATTTCTCTCTCGAATCACTCTTTTTGACAATGTACCACTCATAACCAAAAACAAATACACACACTCATACGATGTCTATTTTTTCAAAACAGAAATACTATATGCCATTGCCAAACTTCAGTTAATTTTTCTAGCATTTCTTGTCGAAATGCAATCAAGTCTGAAATACAACAACCTCCCTAGCCCAACACAACTCTAGTAACTTCATCTCGAAAACTCACCTTGAATTTCTTACGCTCTCATATTAAAAATCTCCTTTCTCTCATCTTGCCGTGGCCGAGTAACGAACGAATGGAAACGGATGTGCGAAATAGACGTCGAAGCTGACGCTGCTGTCGGCGTTAACGACGACACACACATTTTTTTATTTAATTATTTTATAAAGCTTAAGACACAACTTAACTCCCGAAATTACAATGCGCGCAAACGGACACTCGACGAGAAAAAAACTCCTAGTAAACTAAACGGATGTGCGAAACAGACAACAAAACGATCGTTGCCGGTGACGTTGACGGCGACAGAGAAATTTTAGGATTAACTTTTTCTTATTAACACACACAACAAATTATAGGACATATTTCAAATAAACACTTTTCACATGGCTAATTATACAAATATTTATTGGTGAGGCCGTTGCCAAAGCTTAAAACACCACTTAACACCCGAAATCACTATACGCGTAAACGGACGCCCGATTAGAATAAAAGCCCGGAATAAACGACACGAATGGAAACGGATGTGCAAAATAAGCCAACAAAGTGAACATGGCTGACGACGTTAACGACGGCAGAGAAATTTTTATAACGAGCAACATATTTGGGATCACTTTTTCTTATTGACAGACACAAGAAATTTTTTGAAATATATCAAATAATCACTAATAACACCACGAATTATCCAAATATTTGTTGGCGAAGCGGTTTTCAAAGCTTAAAACACAATTTAACTCACAAAACCTCGATACGCGCGCAAACGGACGCCCGATTGGAATAAAAGCCCGGAATAAACTAAATCAGAGTTGCCGTTATGTTGGAAAATATGTTCACAGCAAGATGTATTAAATAAGGTGACGTAAGGTGGGTTTCAAATATATATTTTACAAAACAAATTTGTTCTTAAACATGACACGACTAGATACAGGCTGATAAATCTGCGTTTAGAGAAGACAATTTAAAAGAGTTAATTTATCAATTGTCAGAAGAAAAAAATTATTCTTGTGACGTAGAAGTCTCGACAATTACAAAAACAATTGTAAAAACATCGATGAAAAGCTTAGGGTTTGTTCTTATTAACCGCTTGTTTGTTTGTTTATTCCATCGTACAATTAAAAGGTAAGAGAGAGCTTCTAGCTGATTAAAATGTTTTCTAAGTGCGCCCGACTTCTGCCAATTTTGTGTATGTATTAATAGTTTGGAAAAATAAAAACAAAGTTATTAACCTGTTTTACCATGGAATTGAAAGATTGAACAGTTTAGATCATATTTTTGAAAGGAAATATATAAAGAGATATTATTCGGTACCGCTTTTAGAGGGTATAAAAGTCAAGTAAGAATATAATCTATAACGGACAACTAAAATATCAGTTTGATGAGTCATGTAAGACTTAATTATGGATTGGTAGAATGAAACCAAAGAAAAAATATGAAGACAATATCACGCCTTGTTTACTACAATACAGGTAAATGATTAAATGCGTTACAAGAAATTGTCAGTGTAAGCTTTCGTTTCAGTACAGCAGGTATTGTCAAGATTTTGCCAATTTTTTAATTCTTAAGTCTTCGGCCGACTCATGGTAGAATCAAGGAGGTAGAGTCATGCAATCATATTTTTACATTTTTTTTTCAAAAATTATTCATTTGACAACATCTCATTGTCAAAATTTGTATTTATAAATCCATTGTACATATACAAATCAGAGATGGGAACTTGTTTTTATGTAGTGAAATGTGACAATGTAAATTACAGAAAATGCAGAAATTGGAATGCTTTTTGGAAATGACTTTACCTTCTTAATTTTACCATGGGCTGACTTCTTCGGAAAAGAACAAAGGATCGTAGGGTCAAAATCGAACTAAGTCAACCTAAAACTCCTTTGATCTTTTACGAAGAAGCCAACCAGTCAAAAAAGCCTTTTTTAACACCAACGAAAACATTTCCTTAAGATAATTAAATATATTTTTTTATATGTTCAAGTCCAAGAACAGATAAATAAATTTGGTATTCCTGAGATATGGAATGTAAAACTGTTTTTACTTGCCAAGGACCACCGAAAATAAAAGAACATTTATTATTTTTGTAAAATCCGCCGCTCGTCATACGAAAATATTTTAGATATGAAAATAGACTTTATTTGAAAAATAACAAAGTCGAATTCGTCAGAAAAGGGTTGTCATATTCAATATAGCAAATCAGTTTACCTTTTCTGAAAATAGAAACAAATAATAAAAAAAATAATGTTTGTAATTGAAAAATATAACAATTGGGAGTATATGGAAAATGATAAATTTTTACAACATATTAGTTGATAGATTTTAAGATATAGACTTGACGTATTTGAGTAATACGGACGTACAAAACATTGTACCATTGTGTAAAAGTTGAAAACATGTATGCGCTACGTCCAAATTTAAGTAACGCTGTTATATATGTCATTGCAAAACAATAATCGTAGACTCATTAGCTAAATCGAATATGGCAACCCTTTTCTGAAGTACCCGACCATGTAATTTTTCAAATAAAATTAATTTTCATATCTGAAATATTTACGTATGACAAGTGGCTTATTTTGCAAAAATAATATTTTATTTTCGGTGTGACTAGGCACGTAAAAAAAGTTATATATTCCATATCTTATTTAAACTTAAACCTATAAAAATAGAGATTTAATACCCATTGCTGTAATGAATATAATGTCAATTGGACTGAAAATTCGGGATTACAATCTTCCAACAGTATTTTAGTAAAACATACAAAATGGTACTTTGAAACAAAATTCTACCATTCCATAATCAAGACTTACATGACATAAAAAGGCTAATATTTTAGCTTGAATATTCTCTCATACCCTCTAAAATGCGTGAAAACAATAAAAAATATTTTGTCGGAAATAAAACTACATTTCTTGCCAGCTGTACGCTCGTATTTAAGGACGGACTACAATATTTAAATTTGAAAATTTATGGTTATAAAATAAAATAAATTGTAATCGTATAATTGTATGAGAGTACTTCTGTAATTGTGCCATGGTAGAATAATACAGATAGTCTCATCGACACAGCTGCTGGGACAATGAACTGTCAAACCAATTTTGGAATTAAAATTTTTGAATGAAAAACTATTTAAATTTGTAAGAATAGTTGAAAAATGCTTGTGATAACAACCTGCAATTTGCATCGTATAAGAAAAAATATGAAGATGTGCTTATTTTTAACAAAAAATTTAAAAAAAATTGACATATCAATGTTCACTAGCATTGATGCATCTACCTGCATTCTTCTACCATGAATTGTGGCATGAATATTTGCTTATAACGAGTGTCACATTTTGCAAAAAATAATAAAAAATAAATTTAACTTCTATATTTGCATTGAATTACACATCTTGCTCGTTATCTTTGCCAAAGTGGTAACATATTTTTTTTTTGTTGTGAACCTACATACCTCCAACATTTGTAAAAACAAAATCGCCGACCGTTAATTTTCATAGCCTTGCCATAACAATCGAAAAACTTTTGGTATTCCCGCCTTCAACTATCGCAGACAAATATTTCAATTACGCCAAAAATCTGATTTTGGTCGGATGTGGCAACTACAAACATACAAAAGAAATAAATACAACAAAACAGACTTGATGAGAGTAGGACAATAAACAGAGAGAGCAAAACAGCAGCATATATTTAACACAACATATTTATATATTTTTTTATTGTAACACAAATCGAAATCAAAGTTTCAACACCAGTTGCTGGCGTAAATTCGCCCAGTTCCCGCCTCTAAGTTGTGAAAGTGACTTCGAAAGAAATCCTTTGGAAAGCGAAGGAAAATGTTGGTGAAAATATAGTAAACATTTCTGACAGCCATCTTGATATTTTTCATACAGAATCTATTTAAGAGAGGAGGAGGTACGTACCAAAAACCCAACCTTCTGCTCAAAGTGCGAAACTCATCTGGAGTGGTTAACGTGGGAAAAAACCCAGCCAATCGATACATACATGAACCGACCATTGGAATCTGCTGGAACTATAACAAATGGATAAAGGTCATTTGGTTGCAGAGAAAATAGTGACAAACAATCAGCCTCATCAGCAGCAGACATCGTCGGCAGACAACTTTTGTAACAAAGATGACGTACTGGTAGTGGTAAGTGCTGCAGTAAAAAAGGAAAAATCGCAGACAGTGGCTGCGGCGGAAACGGGCGATGTTTCTTCGTCCCAAACAAAGGCAACGACGGCAGCGACGCGTGGCAAAGAAATCAATGAGAAAAAGGTCGAAGGAAAAAATCTGAACGAGGTAAGTTGGAAATTGTAAAAGCACATAATTTTTGGTGGGAATTTCTCCAATTGATTTCTTGTGCCTTTCTAGTTTCCGTCTGATACCGAGGAGTTGTTGGGTTCCGTAACCACATACAATTGCCATGGCACACGAACCAGCGCTCGGGTCATACAGAAAATGCGCCAAGATCAACAAACCCGCCCCACAACTCCGCCACCGACAAACGAACGCGAAAATGGCCGCAACAACAAAGACGAACGTTCAACGACGCAAAAGACTCCATCACAAGTCCGGGCCAATCGTCCCACCTGGTCGAATATCGAAAGGAATCATTTCTTTGATGCCCTCAATGAATTTGGTAAAGATTTTGAGGCAATTGGAAATTTTATCAACTCGAAATTGAAACGACGCAGTCCGGCCGTTGATGTGTCCTTCAAGTCGAAGGATCAAGTGCGTCAGCACTATTATCAGACATATCATAAGATTTGTAAATATATATGCTTCTCAGAGGGTAAGTGTGGAATGATTTGATTTAACTTGAGCTTGCCAAGTACTATATATAAAGTGTTCCGTTGGAGGTCTTAGTTTTTATTGGAAAATTATTTGAGGTAGACATGGACTTCTTAACTTAATGTTCCCATTGATCTTCATTAATTGCTTTTACTCTGTCCTCAGTGAAAAATAAAATGGAAAATAGTATTTTAATAGAGAAATAGCTTCATCATTTTGTCAAGTTAAAAGTAGTAGTAGATACCTTTTGTTGCATACATGTGAAAATATACGATTACATGCAACCCGGATACAACCCTGAATTTTTAAAAATGTAAAAAGTTGAAGATACGAAGCCAACCTGACAAGGCGTACTAGTTTAAGCTCGTATAATTGATTTTAATAAACGTTTGTGAATTCTTAATTTAATATAAAAACGGTCGTTGTATTTCATTTGAGTATACGGAAACCAACAGACTTCAATCGATCACTTGACATTTTTCTCAGAAGTGGGATACGACAAGTCTTATTGGAAGAAGCGTCTACCAACAAGAAATATGGAGAATTTGCACAAATGCACGGTTAAGCAGTTGCAAGCGAAATGCAGAGAAATTGGTGTTTCTCAAAGTGGTAACAAAAAGCAATTGATCGAACGACTTGAAGTCAACAACGAAAGCGAGCTGCACGGATTCGCATCTCCTCATGATATGCAGGAGCGAATTTCGCATTTGGAAGATATGGTAACTGAATTGCGTTCATCTATGGAGCAACGTGGACAATCAGAATTTGAGCCGAACAACGCATCATCCCCTTTGAACACGTTTTCGACACCGGATGGTAATATGTCCCTGCAAGGCACACGGCCTAGCTTGCCAAACGTGGCAAACGTTGTGACAATATTACCGGAATCACGTTCGATTCCATCGTATGTTCAAACGAATACTTCTTTTGGTGCATTTCAGACTACGTCAACAATTCCAACGGTCCACACGTGTGCTTCTGCTGGTTTACCAACGTTTACACCTTCATTGCACGGACATGCTCAACTTCCACGAAATACAACGCAAAATGTAGCGACGTCATGCTACAACGTACCAACACATATAACGACACATTCGAATTTTACAACAGCAACACCGACAGGAGTGTTCACGCAGCCGAACAATGGATATGTTCAATCAACGCAGCCCTACAACGCATATCTACAACCGCCGATATTTGCAACAAGTGTCTATTCAGCGCCGCCGCAGTCAGAAATAGTTATGCAGCCTTCACAACGTTATGTTCAGCACAACCCCTTTGGGAACGTTAAGGAAATAATTCAACTTTTGCCAGAGTTTAATCCGTCATCTGAAGAATCGATTAATCCTTCACAATTCGTGCGACGTGTGGAATTATTGAAGACAGCTTATAACTGGGACGACGCATCAGTTATATTTGCAGTGCAACAGAAAATGGCTGGCCCAGCCAAGTATTGGGTTGACTCACTGCAAGAGGTATTTCTGTCTTGGCCTCAGTTTGTTAACAAATTTCTTTTAGATTTCCCTCAAAATGTAAATGCAGCCGATGTACACATTAGAATGGCACAGACAAAACGGCAGTTCGACGAAACGCCGCAGGAATATTATTACAGAATGTATGCTATTGGAAAACGGGGCAATATAAATGAATCATCCATAGCACGGCATATAGTCAACGGAATTAATGATCAAGGATTGAAGCAGAAAATATCTAACGAGTATATTACCTGTAATCAACTTTTGAGTGACATCAACGCATACTGTAGTTATAACGAGGTAAGAAGAGTGCTGAACCCGATATCGAATAAGACGAAACGTAGCAATGAAAATAGAACTGCCCCAGAAAGGAAAAGCGATGAAAGAGTGAATAAATTCAAATGTTTTAATTGTGGTAATACTGGTCACAAAGCCGTAGACTGCCCAGATCCACAGAAGAAGAATAGATGTACGATATGCAAACGGACTTCACACGGTGTAAGTGAATGTCCAACAAAAACCCTGAACACAAATGTCAACAATATAAGGGACAGCGTAAAGTCCAACGAAATACTATGTAAACGTGTCAAAGTAAAGGACAAGGAGTTTGAGGCATTTATTGATTCGGGAAGTGATCGGAGTCTGATCAGACGAAGTTTTGCAATGATAATTGGCGAAACGGAAAATTGCAGTATGGTTTTAAATGGCTTTGCTGGTGGCAAATACGAGTGCACAAAGGTGGTTAAAGTGCCAATTGACATTGATGAGACGAGTTACGACGTGAACCTTTATGTTGTGGAAAATTCTATGATCCCGAATGATGTTCTTTTAGGTCGAGATGTTTTATGCCAAAAAGGTCGACGCACCATTATTGAAGGAGATGAGTGTTGGATGCAAAACGTAAATGCGATTAGTATCAACGAAGGCTTAACATCTGAAGAGCATAAGAAGTTGCAGTTGAACATTCAAGAAAACCGACAATGTTTTTCAGAAAAGTCAAGCGAATTGGGTAAGTGTAACTTAGTGAAGATGGAAATCGAAGTTACTACTCCAGAACCAATACGATGCAAGCCATATCGACTAGCATTTGCCAAACGTCCTATTGTGGCAAATATTGTGAAAGACTTACTGGATAACGAAATCATAAGGAAATCGAATTCTCCGTATGCATCGGGAATTGTTTTGGTCGAGAAGAGAAATGGTGAACACCGTTTATGTATAGATTATAGACAGTTGAATCGAATAACCGTACGTATAGCGCATCCTATGCCTGTACTGGATGAACAGATTGCACAACTCGCCGGAAATCGTTATTTCACCACACTCGACTTACGTATGGGTTACCACCAAATTGAAGTAGAGGAAGAATCGAAAAAGTTCACAGCTTTCGTGACTTCAGATGGTCATTATGAATTCAACCGGATGCCATTTGGTTTGGTAAACGCACCTGCAGTTTTTCAGGCAACGATGAACCGAGTTATAAGCTTTATGAAACCAGGAGAAGTTTTAGCGTATCTGGATGACGTCATAATTCCCAGTAAAACAGTCGATGAAGGTCTGGACCGAATAAAAAGATTTTTGGATATCCTTAAGAAATGTGGTCTCACGTTACGATTGGCGAAATGTTCGTTCCTAGCCGAAAAGATTTCTTATTTGGGACACATAGTTACACGTGACGGAATTTTACCTGGAGAAGAAAAAGTAAAAGCGATTAGAAATTTTAAGGTACCAACGAATGTAACAGAAGTACGACGATTCCTTGGCCTAACTAACTTCTTCCGAAAATTTGTAAAGGATTATGCAGCCATTACGAAACCTCTTGCGATGTTGACACGAAAGAGCGAAGAGAATAAATTTCGTTGGGACGTACACCATGAAAACGCATTCAGAAGTTTAATCCAAATTTTGTGTAGTGAACCAGTTTTAGCAATCTACGATATGAAAGCAGATCACGAGGTGCACACGGACGCTAGCAGTCTCGGATTAGCAGGAGTGTTATTACAGTCCGATGGTAATGGTAATTGGCAACCAGTGTTTTATTTTAGCCGCCACTGTTCTGAAACGGAATCGAAATATCACAGTTACGAGCTGGAAGTTTTAGCTGTGGTTGAAACGGTGCAGCGTTTCCGTATATATTTACTTGGAAAGCCATTCCGAATCGTCACTGATTGTGCCGCAATTACTAATGTGAAGACAACGAAGGAATTACAACCTCGAGTAGCACGATGGCTGATGAAATTACTTGAATTTGATTGTGAGTATGTACACCGACAAGGGTCACGTATGGCTCACGTTGATGCTCTCAGCCGTTCACCGGATCAGCCACAGACGGAGATTGAACCAGCAGGGTTCATAATGAATATTGATAGCGATGATTGGATTCTCACGATGCAGCTAAACGACGACCACATAAAGAATATTATGAGAGTACTGCGAAATGAATTGAAATCTGAGCAAGAGAAACAGATAAAATCTGAATACTTATTGGAAAAACATCGACTATACCGGAAAACGAAAAATGGACTACGATTGGTCATACCGAAGGCTATACGATGGCGCATAGCTAAATACTGTCATGATGATATTGGCCATTACGGGTTGGAGAAAAGCCTCTCACGAGTCGAACAAACGTTTTGGTTCCCCCGCATGAGGAAATATATGAAGGAGTACATTGCAGCGTGTGTAGAGTGTTGCTACAACAAGGCAAAAGGTGGTAAACACGAAGGAGCTCTACATTTTAGTAATGTCGAACCGCTACCATTTAGGCAAGTACATATTGATCACTTGGGACCGTTTATAAGAAGCAAGCATGGTCATACACATATAGTGGCAATCGCCGATTCCTTTACGAAATTTGTGGTTATTAAAGCTGTAAGGAATACGAAGACATTGCCCGTCATCAACGTTTTAAATGAGGTTAGTGGATACTTTGGTTTACCTCGAAGAATAATTTCGGACCGTGGGACAGCTTTTACGTCAAAAATGTTTGAGGAATATTGCGATCGAAACAATATTCAACACATTAAGAATGCCGTTCGTACACCAAGAGCCAATGGACAAGTTGAGAGGGTCAATCAACTTATCCTGTCTTATTTACGAACTACCACTGAAGAACCGAAGGATTGGGACTCGGCACTTCACGTTTTACAATGGTCAATCAATTCAACCAAAAATTCGACAACAGGTTACAGTCCGAATGAGTTGATTTTCGATTACAAGCCCACCGACTTAATACAAAACCGATTGTTAGCAGCTGTACAAGATGATGTACAAAACGAAGAAATTTCCATCAACGAAAAACGTATCATGGCCGCAGAAAACATCAAAAGCGAACGAGAACGATGGAAGAAAAGATTTGACAGCAAGCATTCGAATCCGAAATTGTATGTGGAAGGTGACTTGATCCTTATACAGAATGAACCACCAGCGACAGGTGAATCCCGGAAGTTAGAACCTAAATACAAAGGTCCATACATAATAGCACGAGTATTGGGCAACGACAGGTACCTGATAGAGGACATTCCTGGAATAAACATCACGAATAGGAAATTCTGTTCCGTATTCAGTTCCGACAAGTTGAAGAAATGGTGTGAATGTTCCCCCGAATTGGATGTTTCAAGCGAAGATGAAGCCGAGGACGACTTCAGGTCAGGAAAGGCCGAGTTGTCAAGTTAAAAGTAGTAGTAGATACCTTTTGTTGCATACATGTGAAAATATACGATTACATGCAACCCGGATACAACCCTGAATTTTTAAAAATGTAAAAAGTTGAAGATACGAAGCCAACCTGACAAGGCGTACTAGTTTAAGCTCGTATAATTGATTTTAATAAACGTTTGTGAATTCTTAATTTAATATAAAAACGGTCGTTGTATTTCATTTGAGTATACGGAAACCAACAGACTTCAATCGATCACTTGACAATTTTATCTTTAACTGAATTCCTGATACTATTCTTTACATGGTATGCGATTGTCGATACCACTGTAGTTCCATTAGAATGTTAAAGATCTAATATTTATAGATTTATTGCCATGTTCTGCTGATTTTAAATACAATCTACTCGAGGATGAGCTGATCGCAAGTTTTACCATGCGATATTCCTGATAAGATTGTCCAGAATATTCTGCATCCCCATAGATATTAGGGTACCCTTCCCCAAAAATTTGCTGAAATATGCCGATGAAAAAAATAAATTGTTGTTTAAGAGCATTATCAATAGGTAAATAAATTATCTGCAAATCATCTTGTGGATCGTGCGTTAGCATACTGGGACATCTTTAGAGAAATATAGTTTTGATAGACCGTTAAGATCCTCGAGGAGAGGTTCGTTGAAGGAGGCCAAGAGTGGCAGCAATGTTTAATAATATTCTATCCGCTACTTTGCTAATTCTTGACCTTACTTTGAAGTCCTCGCCAGATAGACCTACCTCCTTATTGTAATCAGATTCTAAAGAAATATAATTTATTTTCCTTTTCGTGTTCCACTCTTCAATCTTGACGTCAATCGGACTCAGGGTTACCTTTCGATAAAGGACCTTTATGTCCTTTTATTCTTTAATATCTTACGACTTTTATTCTTATCATATTATCCTTTAGAGGTACGTAAACCTGCCCAGGAATTATATGCCCTCATCAATTACGGCGAAATGAGGCGAAAACTTCAATTCGTTACCGATAAACATTTTATGAAACTGAAGAACCTGGTCTACCACGGTCATGTGACTGTACGCTGTAAAGGCAAGAATATACGCATAAAAACACCTTCTTGCAAGGCATTAAGACGACTCAATCAATTGGATGGTAAGAATAATAGCTCTTTTATTTCTGTTATTCATTTTTTACAAAAACTATTCCATTTCCTTCGTAGATTCCTTGGAAGACATACGGCTACCATCAAAAATTGAAGTAATCATTAGTCCCGCAAATATGGAAGCATTCGGTCGTGTCCAGTCGATTGCGCAGAATCCTCGTTGCCGGACCACAGTGCCGTTACACAAGAAATTGATAAATTTCATAAATATGTTTCAACATAAATGGCGTAGCATGGATGTTCGCGTGGCCGAAGAAGCCAGGCTAATGAATTCGAATGATTCCAGCACCTCTGCCGCGGCAGCGGAAACCAATATCGTTCAAGATCCCGAATTATGTTTTCTTCCCAAACCTGGTGTAACCATACATCGGCCTCTACTAAGCATCACGGAATATCTAAGTAGCGTTAACATTTGCCTTACCGCCTATGAAGAACGTATGGGTATTACACATAAAGGCGATAAACTCAATAGTGATCGTCATGCAAGTACAACAACAAATAACACATCTGGCTCGGGGCCAACAATGTCTTCCAGCTGCAACAATTCCGCATTAGCAGCAGCAGCATCAATAAATACAAAACGTTTACGCACTGAAAGTGGCTCGGAGAAAAAGTCACCCGAACAACACAAACGCTCTAGAAATTCCGAGAGTTTGACCGAAGAAATGCCTTCATCTTCGTCTCTAACAGAATTGGACACTTTCCAGAGTGGAAGCAAACAACCTGAAAGTAGCAGCGATGAATTGAGTGATGAAATCCATGAATTACTCTCAGACTCGGCTACTGAACTAAATGTTAGCAAAGAGGATTTGACAATAATACCCATGACCACCGCAATTTCATCCAGCACCGACTCCAATGCCATTAACAATACTACCCCCGCCGTCAACACCACCAGCAGCACCACAACAACATCGACCACAATTTCCCAAGCGTCTTCTGTACGTGCCAAAACTTCACGAGCCATGAACTCAAAAACTACACGCTCAGTATTCAAACCATTGCTCAATGATGACATCATACAAAGCATACGAAGTGGCTGGACCGCTTCAAAGGCTGGTGACATAACCATTGGTGATTTGTATGTAGTTTTGGGTCATGATTCTAAATTGGAATTGGATTATTATTGGCCGGCGAAAACAAACAGTAATGCAGTGCCGCCACACAAAGAATCTCAGACAATTGTGAATGCAGTGGCCACAACCGAAGAACCCAAGGAATCTGTTATGTTAAGTAATAAACTTAAACATTTGCTATTGATAGCAAATTTAAGTGAGCGAATGCGTAAACGTCCCTGTACTTGTGATCGAAATCATGCCGCTAAATCTAAGGTGGGTAATCGAGTTTATAGAACATATTTTCAATACTAATTTCTTGTTGTCCGTTTATAGTTTGAAAGAGATTTGGTTGCGGGCACCTTTGTGGGCAATAGATCGTCATATGTTAATTGTACACGTGTGGGCCCAAACAGAACCAGTGAAAGTAGCAGCAGCGTCATGTTTAGACAACCAATGATTCCTGTACGTCGAACCACAATAGATCCAGTAAAGCAACTAACCACGGTAACAAATACTCAAAATGCCATTAAAAGAGCAACAAAATCAAATGTTGTTTTGTTTTTCATTTTAGCTGACGAGACAGAAAATGTCTCGTCAAATTTTAGTGCAAAGGCTCTTGCTTCCCAGCAATGGCAACACCAATGCCCCATCCCGCCACAATAACAGCAATAATCATCCATCGACATCCACATCCTCAGCCATAACGGCGTCTTCGGCATCATTACGCGATACTAGTCAAGTGCCTTGGAATTCAACTAAAAAATCAAATGTTTCCACTGCCTCCGATCTTGCCACCCCATCGTCCTCATCTTCTTGTGTTTCAACCACAATTACAGACGATAACACCACGGATAGTCAGGATTTGTGTAGATTTTTAGAATCAATAGATTGTGATAGCAGTCAAAATTTATTGTCATCCAATGTGGAACTGCATGCGCTACACCATGACCAACAGCAGCAGCAGCATCATGATATGCTCGAAGAGTCTGGTGATGACAGAACAGATGGTCCATGTTCGGTGCAATCGATTGATAGTGCTTATGATGAGTCGACGAGTAAGTATTTGCGAGGCTTGTAGCAGAAATTTAATTTTGAACTTGTTTTATTTCCGCTTTTACAGGTAACAGTTTCCTAAATAGCCTTAGTCCCTTGCACCTCGTAAGAGATTCTACTTCTAATTCTCGTTGGCTGGAGGAAAACATTAACGATTTCTCTTTAACTAGTCTATTGGGTCATTTGGATGATATCAATGCAAGTCGTGATATTTTGGTAAGACCAGCATTAACAATAGTGCTACAAAAATGTGTGTAACAAATGTTATTATTTTTTAAGGATCCCTCTTCGAGCATGTCTGTTATCAGTGAAAGCAGCGTTGACTACCGGCACAAATTTCAAGAGATTAAGGCCTTATTACCAACCCAAGAAAAGGATTAATATTTAATTTAAGAAGAACCATAATTCCCCCTACCATACCATATATGTAGCTTCATAGTATACTCCTCTCCTCCCTTGGAACCTTGGAATGTGCATAAACATCCCTTTCCTTATGTTTTAGTTTTTATTTATTTTTTTTTACTTGCTTAACCGACAAACAAAAATTAAGTATTAGCATTTCAAAATGTATGTATATTTTGACGTATTTTTTTCTCCCTTTTTCTTTGTCACTTTAAGTTAAGTTTAAGTTAAAAGTTCGCACTCATATTTTCCTCACATTTAGATATTTTTTATTTTATATCTCATACATATAAACATTACATACTTCTGAGAGAATTTGAAACATGTATAGACTGTAGCAACAACCCTTCTTTTGTGGAACAAAACATGATAACAATTAACAACCAAACACCAATATACAAATAAAATTTTAAATTATAAATGGGAACATAAAAAAATAGTTGGTTTTATTAAACGGTTGAAACAATTTGGGTTTTTTGTTGGCAAATGATAGATAAAATAGGAATATTCAGATTGAGTTTAAGGTGGCAAAACTCATACTTACGAGTACAAAAGTTGTGAAACTATAGGAAAATGAGTTTTGTTGTTTCTCAGCGGATCCAATACTTGGAAAATATATTATTCTGAATGTTGCTCTGCGGTATTTTGGTCCATTCCCGGTGAAGCGCTTGCTTGAGGTGAACGAGGCTTTGGTATTTTTTAGTGCCAAACTTGCTTTCCAAAATACTCCCGACACAACCGGAGATTTTGGTGGTCATTATGCATGGGGATTGAAGCGAGGAACCTCAATTTGTAACCATTCTTGGGTGGCGCGTGCTGAGTCCTGTTGGAATGTCCAAGGTTTGCGGCCAAAATGTTTGCTTGTCCAAGGCTTTAATACACGCTCCAGAATATTTTCGTGATAATATTCGGCATTTATTCTGATGCTACGGTCGATTAATACGAGCGGAGAGCGACCATCCGCTGTTATGGCGGCCCACAACCATGGCCGGCGCTTGAGTTTCGGTGGTCAATATTTTCAACATTTCAGCTGACCCCTTTGGCAAGTAAACACAATAATTTTGTTTGTTTACAAACTGCTGGACAACGAATGTTTTCTCATCGGAGCGGAGAAAACGAAATTCGGCAGTTCACCACTTTCGGCCAAGCGAAGCAACTCTTTAGCTCCTTTGAGTCTATTTTCTTTCTGTTGCGGTGTAAGTTCTTGCACTTCTTGAAATTTCAATGGTTCATTATTTAATATTTGCCGAATGGAATATTGTGATATGTTCAGCTCACGAGCCATTTTCGGTCACTGCGCACTGGTTTCGATCAAGTCGCTTCTTTACTTTTCGAACCATTTCTGCTGATGTTACTGTTTTCTTCAGTGCACTTCCTTGACGTCGAGCTACGCTACAGGATCACGGTAACGAGCCATGGTACGAGACACAAAAGATTTATTCACATATAAATGCTGGAGTGCCACTTGTGGTTTTCGATCACGAATAACTTTTTTCCAGGAAAATTCTAACCAAAATGCTTTTGTACAATCGGATGAAACATATGTATGGGAGCTATAGCTATATCTGAAGATTTTCATGTACTTGCATCTAGACTGAATTCGGTCAGATGTGCTAAATTCAGGTCATTTGGACTTATATGGGTCATTTGGTGCACGAAATATATGTGAGTTATATCTAAACCTGATCCGATTATCACCAATTACAATAGGGTTCGTCCTTGGGTCAAACAAATATTGTTTGCAAAATTTCATCTTAATCGGATATTAAATGCGACTTGCATTTTGTTCACAAGAATACATAGACAGATTGACATGCATATGTCTATCTCGCTTCCTTCTCCATGGTACAAACAAATGCACAAAGATATAATACACTTACCACTATGTGGTGTAGGGTATAATTAAAAATGCATGTTGTCGCTTAGTGTTTTATGTTTGAGTGGATCTGCGCAGCGTTTGTATCTTTTGCTGTACACTGCGTATACGTTTTATACCTGGGGATTTATAAAGTATACGGCACCATGGCAAGCATGGCTAATTTAATTTGATGGAGCAGCGAAAAATTAAGTTAGTTTTGGTCGCAGCACTACGTTCAGGATGGGGCAATTGTCTTAATTCGTATTGGAAACGGATGTCCGTGTTGAGTATGGAACAACTGGGACTAGAACATAAATCATTGATCAATCTAGGATGACTCGGTCATTGAAACATTTTTTTTTTTAATGGGACTACCCAAATTAAAACATATAGGGATTCAAAAATGAGTCCTATTGAGTCAAAGATATGAGAATGAGGGAAACGCTCCTAGAAGAAGAATTCATGGTTGAATTTCCAGGGAAAGATACTCTTACGGATCCCAAATTTTTAAGTGTCTATAAACAAGTTAAAATGTACGGATTTTATAAGCGTTTTGGTTATTCAAAACTTTGACGCTTTGTGAGGGGAGGTAACTTCACACCAGATCTTGGTTTAATAAAAATATTGTGATGTGTGTAATTTGAAGACAATCGGATTCTTACATCACATTTTACAACAGTTATTATTATTCAAAATTTTGACCTGTGTTTGAGGGATGTACTTGATGTAGTTGGCCGATATTGTCTATTTTCGCACCTGACCTAGCACTGATGCAAAATTTTAGAATTGGCAAAGTTAGAGCCAAACCAGATTATTCTTTCTCTTTCATTTATTTCATTTATTGTGCAGTAAAATTTTTTTTTCGAAATGTCGACCTTTTGTGGGGGCGGGATCAGAAGTAGACCGATAATGCTCATCTCCGAACTCGATTTAAGTTGTACGATGTACCAAGTTTGTATCAATTCGGATACTCCCTTCGAAAGTTATCGTGCGCACCAACCAACCAGACGGACGAACATCGACAGATCGACTCCAAATGTCCTGAAACTGATTTGGTCCAAAGAGACATAGAGTCTAAAACCATTATTTCGATGAGGCACGGTTCATTCACAGACTCTGATCTTGATATACTATATGTTTTAGAGACCCCCCTTTCTGACTAGACATACAGGAATCAGCTGCTATCCGTTGTCGTATCGGTATATATAATTTCTTGTTTTATCCTACGCTGGTTGTGTTTCAAAATCTAGGAATTTGACTACTTTATACAGCCTTTGGGACATCAGTGGAGAAGGGAATTAAACGCAACGTTGTTTGTGGTATATGCGGGGTAGTCGTAGATTAATCCGATGGTCTTATTAGGATTATGTTTTGTTTATTTTATGCCACCTCCAAAATTGTTTGGTAGTAGGTTTTCTTATCAATTTTTCTTAAAGGTAGCTCAGGAGTTGTGTATTGGTTTATCGTACTTCAAAGATCATGAAAAATGGCAGGTTTTTGTTCACTAGGCGTTCAGTTTGATATTAACATATTATATGATATTAACAAACTAATGATCGTAGTAGACTAGCTATTCCATTATTCATTCGTTCTGGCTTGTTTAAGTAAATGCCGATATATTTTTCTTTGAAGCCCTGCCTTTTTAGAATTTGAATACCTTCCTATTTTTGTTCATTGGAAAATAACATACAACACAATTAATATTTTTTTTTGTTTTTGTACAATCGAAGAAAAAATAAAATTTTATTTCCACAAAAAAAAAAAACATAGATGTATTACTTTACATTTTGTGAAACGATCTTAGAAATTAATTACAATTTCGGTAATTTAAAATAATAATATAATAATAATAATGATAATACAGTAGTAATAATAATATAATAATACAAACATTTGTTTTATATTTCTTTCGTACTGCATTTGTGTTATTAGTTTGTTTTGAGGGGGGACGGGGATTTTGTTTTTCAACAATTTAGCACAATTTAAAAAAATTGTTTTCTGTTATTTTTTTAGGGTGTATATTAACATTATGTGTGTTTGAAAAGGGAAACGGGCAAAGGGGAAGGGGGAGGCACAAAAATTAATTATTAGTTTTAAGTAGAATTGTTTGGTTATGTGGGGGATTAGTTTTAGTTTTGTTTCTTTAGTTTCAAAAAGTAAAAACATACAAAGCTCAAGGGTTTTCTTTGAAATACTTAACAAACAAAGTGTTAATGTTGTGGTTGTTGTTGTTTGTTGCTGGGTTTTTTGTATACACAAATTAAATACATTACAAATTAAATTACATAAAGGTGTTCTAGTAAAATTAATATAATTGTCGTTGTGTATTTTGTTTGTGTGTTTATAAATTAAAAAAGGCGTGATTGGAAATGAAGGAGTTTAAATGATGGAGAGGTTGTTAGGACACTTGTTAAGTTTCGTAGGCGTATTTGCGTGTATGTGTATGATATATATATGTGGGTATATGATTAGAAAATTTAGCTAAGTTAAATTTAAAATAAAAAACCTCAACTAGTTTATTTTTTTTTCATCTTTTATAGATTTTAATTTTTAAATTAAAGTAGTTATAAAAGATGACACAAATGATGAAGTCGTTTTCATATTAGGAGTGGGAGCAGTGTGGGGTGGTGGGATGGATGGTTGGATGAACCTATATAACTAATTTAAATAAGAAAAACATTATACTTGTGTGTGTGTGTAATACAAAGAGTGTTTTAATACCAGTGAATAGCATCTAGAAGTCTAAGGAAACATGATTGGGGTGAAATTTGAATAGAAATCTGTTAGAAAGATACTTTGCATTTTAAGTACAATACGATATAAAACCAGGGAAAATATTATTCATAATGAAATGTTATACAAATATGATTTTGTATTTTCTTTCAATAAATTTTCAACAAATTTGAAACTTTTCAAGCAATTATTTCTTCATGAAGAAATATATGTTTATAATTTTTTAGTTTTGTTTTGGTGGTTATCACCAACAGCTTTACCAAACCTCTAAGATTGCGCATACAAAATTGAAACAAGAAACGAACTACAATCCAAATTAGAACTCAAAATGTGGTTTAACTAACAGGTCATCCGTCACCTATAGCCGTATCAAAAGGTTCGAAAAATATGTGTGTATTTCTTTCACAATTACCCACTTTTCTAAACGATTTTCTAAAGAGGCAAAACTATACAATTTCCAAATTGATTCGCATTGTTCACAAGATGTTATATTATATTATTGTTTCAATAATAAAATCGAATATTTGGAGTTCGAAAAGTATAAAGGGAAAGCTAAAGGGGATAGATATTTATACTATAAAGAACTTTTAGCAGATTTTCAATCTGTATAATATGCTGAAATATTTGTACTCTAATAGCTATGAAAATTGTTCACAAGATGTTATATTATATTATTGTTTCAATAATAAAATCGAATATTTAGGGCTCGAAAAGTATACAGGGAAAGCTAAGAGGGATAGATATTTATTCATACTATAAAGGACTTTTAACAGATTTCCAATCTGTGTAATATTCTGAAAAATTGGTCCTCTAAGAGCTATAAAAATTCCTCAACATTTAATTTTAACATATTTCAAGATCTGTGGAGACCAAATCTAAATTTGTAGAAAACCTAAGGAAAGATTTTTCCACTATATAAACCCTCTATGGGTATGCAAAGGGCCTAAAAAGGATACCTCAAAGAAGATTATATTTAAGAAACTTCTCAAAATGGTCTCCTAATCAATATAGAAGACTTCGATATAGCATCTTTCCACAATATATGAATATGCAAAAGGCCTAAAAAATTGATACCTCAAAGAAGATTTTATTTAAGAAACTTCTCAAAATGGTCTCCTAATCAATATAGAAGACTTCGATATAGCATCTTTCCACTATATATATCAAAGAAGATTCTATTTAAAAAACTTCTCAAAGGGATCTCCTAAAGTTATTTAGCTCTTGAAAGTATTTAATTTTTTTTAATTTTTATATCATATTATATAGAAAAATTCTGGGAATAATATTGAATCTATAAAAACAGTTTGAGGAATTTTTTCCATGAAATACCAAAAAAACATGTTTTAATAATTCGAACTTTTAAAAATTGTATTATATTTCTTCCTTTATATAGGCTTTTTATCTCTACACAAGATCAAGGAACCCCAAACTGTCCTATAGCTCTTGAGTTTCACAAAGAGAGATTTGTGCCTTTAGAAGTTCTTAGTTCATATTTCTTTCTACCAATTATCTTTCTGTAGCATACAAACAAAGACTATTCGAAAAATAGAGACGTTCCCGAATACGTATTGAACCAATAAATATAATCTCAATGCTTTGTTATTTTTCCATCCCAAATATGTTTATGTCTATTTAAAAGGCATACCTAATAAATATATTCCTAGTGGAGAAATCCTCTGGATTCAGATATGTTTCATCCCCATGGAAGACCAAAGCCAATTCTTTGCCATGCGATATTCCATTCATTCATTTTGATACTCGAATTAAATGAGTGGGGGACTGGCTGGCAAGGGCTGTGAATTTGCTTCAAGTGTTGAACATTCAATATCGTTTTCTTATTGACTCAAGCTTTTAAATAGAGATTATGCTCTTTCCTCAATTCATTTGTAGCACAGTTAATAACATGGTATCTTAGAGGAAGGCAGAAGAAAATTTCCCAGGCTATAAAATTAAAGAAAAGATGTGAATAAATATTTCATCAGAGAAAGAAATTGCTTTTTACCATACATGTAATTATCTGTGTGTGTGAAGGATATTGTGTGTGTATTTCGTGTAGTTTGTGTAAAAACTTCTATTAAAGAATTGGCGTTGAACTGTAAATAACTTAATGTTTCCTTGCTTTTCAAATAAAAAGTTATTAGCTTGTATCTTGTTCTATTGTTTAAAAAAAATAATAATAATTATATAATTGCTTCATCATCATCATCTTCATCTGGTGGTGTGGTGGTTAATTTTAATATGGTATTCGAGTTTTTTTGTTTGTTTTGCATTTCGTTATGAAATAGTATTTGTTTTTTTTTTTCTTCTTCTTTACTCTCATCATTTCAGCTCGTCTTCTAATTAGTTTTTTGTTTAATTTAAATTATATTTGTTTAAATATATATTTTTTTACTAAATAACAACAAATGCATTTTTACAATGCATTGGATATAGATTTTGTTTTTGCCTGTCCTATTATTTTGTTTTCTTCATTTTTTCTTTTGTTGCGCTAATATTTAAATCGTTTAAAACGTTTTAGTTTTTTCTTTCAGTTTTCATTTTGGGAAACTAAATGTTAGTGATAATCATAATAATAATAATCATAATAATAGTAATAATAAATGTTCTTGTTTTTGTTGCATATTGCGTGCGTTTATCGCAATAGGTTCTGTTTTGTTTTGCACAAGGGACGACTTGTTGTGTAGTGTATGTAGTATTGTATTCAAAAAAACGTGTGACCGAATTTCAGTCCACCCATGTAGTTTAAAAAGAGTTAGGATTGTTTGTTGGTTTGCAGTATTATTGAGGATGCATTTTGTTAGGTTTTCTAATGGGTTTTATTGTGTTGTTGTTGCTGCTGCTGTTGTTGTTGTGGTTGTTGCTGTGTAGTAATTGTCGTTGATCTCGAGACTGGTCGGCAACGTACTCGAGGTGGCAGTGTCCATGTTGTCTCAGCGGCTGGTCATAGAGATTCCTTTGAGGGCACCCAAATAGTTGGACCAGATTGCGACCAAATCATTGACTTGACTTTACTGTAGATCTCTTCGATGGTATCACCTTGCACGACACCTGAAAAAAATAATTATATATATTAAGTTTTAAATAAACAAGTAAAATAGTATCAGCCGGTTATATTATTCAAACTGTTGACCCTTTCATGGGGGGAGGTTCCGAAGCAGTTGGCCAATGTTGACCAATTCGTATCTGATCTAAGACTGAAATAAATATTACAACGTGATTTGGACTATATCGACTACTTCCTATACTTTATATGAAATATGTGCAAATTTTTGAAAAATGTGGAAAATGTGTGAGGGCAGATATAGCGGACAGAAGTATTCCTTTTTCATATTTCATCGAATACAAATAAAAATATTGGTATGTTCTAAATTTGAATTTGATATGCCAAATCTGAATGGAATCGGATGTTAATTTCGTGTTTTATGAGCTTTATGAATATTCAAAATTTTGACCCTTTGTGGGGGAGGTACCAGAAGGAATGGACCGACCTATCTATCTTCAAACCAGACCTTGGGTTATTAAAAACATTGTAATATGTGTAATTTGAAGACAATCGTTCTATGAGAGTTAAAATTTTTAAAAATTTTGACCCATTCTGGGGGATGTACTGGATGGAGTGAACCGGTATTGTCCATTTTCGCACCTGACCTAGCACTAATGCAAATATTAGGATTTGCAAAGTTTAGGCAAAATGGGATTATCTTTTCATTTTCTGGTCATAAAATCATTTTCTTTTACGATGTTGACATTTTGTGTGGGAGGTACCAGAAAGAGTGGACCGATGTTGCCCATTACCGAACTCGTTTGACAATAATATTACAATGCATTTGGATTAAATCGGATACTCCTTTCGAGAGTTATCGTGCGCACCAACCAGCCAGACAAATGTCCTGAAATGGATTTGGTCCAAAGAGACCTAGGGTCTAAAACCGGTATTTCGATGAGGCACGTTTTTGCCGTATCAAATTATATATACCCTGAGCATATAAAAATATATGTGAAATAAATGACTGACTGATCTGAAGCAACACCCAAGTGAAACGGTTAAAGCTTGAATATTGAAATTTGGCACGAGGGTCAGTCTTAATTCGCAGGCGTGTGATAAAGCTGGTTTTTATTTTGAAATTCGAGATAAAGGGGTACGAAAAATACTCAAATATACTAGAAATTGAATTATTTATATTAGACAAATGGAATAAGCTGGAGTCACTGATTGAGTGTAGGTTAGATGAACAACAGGGATTTTAGAAATTCTTAATTTACGATACGAAAATTTCTAAAATTGTTCCAAACTTCTAAAATGGTACAATTTGGTTTAGGTGAGCGAATAGAGCAAAAAACTGAAAATTTGGTATCAGAGTCAAGGTAGAAAAGTAAGTTCGATATATGCAGGTGGTGTGTACTAGGTGTGCGAACTGGACTAATTTGGAATAGTTTGGTTTAATTTCAACCTATTAAGCTGGAATTTTGAAATCTTATAATGTCGTCCCTGGTTTGTGATAAATAGGTGTTTTTGGAAATGTGTACTGCAAGTGCTCGAAAAGCACCAACAGTACTACAATTGTTGCAATTTGGTATTGGTTGAACATACAGTGCTGCAAATCTGGAATTTTGTACTAGAGTCGCTGAACATGTGTAGCGTAGACATATGATTTAGGAAAAGTGTACCATAATTGTACGAAAAGTACTGAGTGGTGCTGTATATGGTTTTGGGTGAACATAGGATAGAGATAATATTCTGAAATTTAATATTTAGATTGCTGATGATATCTGCGTTTAGACTTGATGGTTGTTTGGAAATGTGTCCTATATTTGTACGAAAAGTACTAAAAAAAAGAAATCCGAAAATTTGATATAGATTTTGCTTTTGGTGTCTGTGGTTAAGATATGGAGGTGATTTTGGAAATGTGTACTATAATTGTACTAAGTGGTACAAAATTAGGTATTGGGTGAAGAGATAGAGCTGGAATCCCGACATTTGATATTGATGTCTCTATTGCTGTCTGGGATTGAGGTTTTGAAGTGGGTTTGGAAATGCGTACAATAATTGTACGAAAAGTAGAAAATTTAGAGTGTGATATGAATGTTACTGTTGATGTTAGTGGCTGAGGGAATGGGCCGGTTTTGAATATGCATACTATGATTGTACTAAATTTGGTAATGGGGGAAATAAAAGAGCTAAAATCCGGAAATATAATATTAAGGTCACTGGTGATATCAGAGGATTGTTTTAAAAACTCGTACTGTAATTGTTGGAAAAATACTGAATGCTACTAAATTTATATTGGGTGAAGGCATAAGGTTTACCAAATGAGTACTAAAATTATACGAAAAGTGCTAAATGTTACTAAATTTGTTACCGAGCTGGAATCCCGAAAGTTGATATTGAGGTCTCTGTAGTAGGTCTGGTAGTTTTGCAAATGCATACTAAAGTTCTTCTAAAAGCACTACATGGCATTAATTTTTGGATCACTGTTGGTGCCTAGGATGGGAGATGTAGATTGTTTTGGATATTTGTAGTAAATATTACTAAATTCGGTATTGGGTGATAATGTTGTTCCATTTTCCAATTTTACTAATAACCTTACACGGTAAACTTCAAAATTAAAGATGTAGATGATTTTTTGATGTAAAAGGTAAACATTTTTCTATAATTCTGAAAGTCTAAGTGTATAAAATTTTGATCAAAAATAAAGGGAACTGATTAAGATTGGTGGCACTTTCCAAAACCTAGGTATTCCCTGCCTTACCCCCTGGTAAACATTACCATCGTTCTCCACTAATAAACAAAGGTTGTTTTTATAAAAAAGAAAAAAAAAAAAAAATAATGGGATTAATCCTAAAAATTTTGTCACACTGAAGCAAAGAAAATATAGCAAATCGGATGATTGGTGCACAATAAAAGGCAAATCGTGCGAAGATATATATAGGAGCTATATCCAAATCTCAACCGATCTCGATAAAATTTTCTGTGCTGCGGAGGACAAAAAAATCAAATTGGTTAAACAATATATATGTGAGCTATAGCTATATCTGAACCGATTTCGATCAGATTTGGCATACTTATTTCCCGGCTTACTTTGGTCGTATATGCAAAATTCGACACTATTTGGACTGATATCAAGCGTTTGGTGCACAATAAAAGGCAAATGGGACGAAGATATACAGTTTTGTTGGATCTGTTCCTCCATACTTTTAAGTTTTCATATAGCACAGTTTTAACTTATTGTAAACTTTTACTCACCCGTAAAGTATTCACCAAATTCTTGTTCCATTTTAACAGCACGCTCATATGTTTTCTTTGCTTGTTCTTCAGTCATACGGCGATTCATTTCCCTGAAACAAAAAAAAATGCAAACAAATAAATAAATAAAATATCAACAATTTGTTAAATATGGAAGTAGCAACTTAAACACATATAGGCTCGTCATGTATACAGTTGTATCATGTGTCATACCTTACACAAACCAAATGGCGTCAGAGCTATATATAATGTAGTACCATTTTTTTATTAAGTCATAGAGTCCATTGGAATTCAAAAAATGTCAAACAAGTGGATTTTATCTATAACAATGTAAATGTGATAACAACTAAAGCATTGATATAAATATGACGCCATTTGCGTTGCAGAAACCATGACGCTGATACGATAACAAAAATCAGAATTAAATCCCTATGAATTATGTATTTGGACAGTAGTGATATGTGGAGATAAAACAATTGTCGTGAAATTTTAAGATATTACTAAAATAGTTTGAATTTTTGCCTCTCAGCCCTAAGATTATTTATTTCTTTTGAGCGTGTCAGCAGCTTTACACAGCTATAGCACCATTTATACTTACATTATGGAATCTATTGACTTGGGTTTAATGAATATAGCAATTGGATACAGCTGGGCCACTTGTAACCGTTTTATTGCATTGCCCGACACATCCAGAATACAATGTTTGCCCTTTTCGGCTACCTCGCGTACACTCGCCACCGATGTGCCATACAAGTTGTCATTGTATTGGCCAGCCTCGATGAACAAATGATTTTGAATATCGTGTTCCATTTGTTCGCGCGACGAAACGAAATGATAATCACGGCCATCTACTTCATAGTCCCGTTTGGGACGTGTGGTATCTAATGGAAACAAAGATTGAGATTCAATTAATAAAAACATTCTGGCGACGCAAAATGGCGTCGATAACTTGAGTTTGAGTGTGGCCTCTCTTGTTTTTGGCCAGAACAGACTTACGTGGCACACATGATCCAAATTTATCTGGATATTCGGATATTAAATCGTCATTGATGCGATCTTTAAGGGGACCCAAGATAATAACGGGTCTCGTATAGCTGATCGATAATCTTTGTACAGCCTCGTACGACAGGACATTCTCGTCGGAAGCTGTAAATGTATAGGTGAAAAATGATTTATGCAAGGGAGCTGAAGGGAATACAAGCAGATATTTGCAAAATACTAAATGTATAGAAGATGTTTTTTGGTTGTTTATTTTTTCAAAATATTGTCAATTAAGAAAATGAAAATAAATAAAAATAAAAAATTAATGTTTTTCAATTTTATAATAGTTATGGTGATAAATAATGTTTAAAATAAAAATACATGTTGATTACTTTTTTCGATAAGCTTCGAAGCAAATGTTGTTATTTTTCTCTGATGACAGTTGTAAGAGTTGTGGTATTTTTTTTTAGTAGAGAAAAATAATGTTATTAGAAATAAACTATATAGCATGAATGATAAGTTAAAAGATGATTTTTTACACTATTAGTAGGATACTGAAAAAGGGGGGGTCTGTAACACTCGGGAAGAACAAGGGGGTGGTGGTGTGGAGAGATATATAAAGAGTTAAACACGCAAATATATTTTGTTTTGTTCTGTTTTTGTAAACAATATCACGAATCTATCTATGTGGTATATAGGTGTCTAAGTAGTGTTGGTTGTTGGTATTCATTCAATATTGTAATTAATGTAATAAGTAAGTAATAGTAGATTATTAGGTAAGGTAATTAAATCTTTACATTCAGATTAAGACATATCAAAACGCTAGGTTAGTTAATTTTCATATCAATCTACAGACATCACATCATTTCAAACTACATTCAAAGGGACGGGTAGGTATATTGACAAAACGAACGAAAACGTAAAACAAAACTAAAAACAAACAATTAACAAATATAAATAAAATCAAACAAAAACAAAATGAGAAAAAGTATATAATTCTATAGGCATATTAAATATTACAATAAAAAATCAATAAACAATGTTGTTGTTGTTACATACATCAATGTGAGAGTAATCGCTTACAAACCCATTTCATGATTGTTGCATAGTTTTGGACTTACGTTTCATTTATTGTTTCTAGGTTTAGTTTCACATACATACGAAAAAAAAACTTATAAATAAAATTATTTGTTAAGCGTGTTTATTGTTTTTATTTATTTATATTATATTCAGTTTTTGAAATTGATAAAATAAAATCTTGACTTCAATAAACCCACATGAAAATTGTATTAGATGTTAGTAGCTTATTTGTTAAAATTGATATTAAATTCAATTTTCGTTTTCTTTTTGGTGAGGGAACCCAAGAGATTCATAAAATTGAAAAGAATAGTGTTTTGTTGAAATAAATGAAAATTAAAAAAATTATAGAGATTTAAAAAACTCAAACAAAAAAGAGCAACAAGTTTCTGATGTTTAAAGAGTTTGACTCAAGAAGTCAATGTTTCACACTTGAATGTGAAATGTATTTTTAGAAGACTTTCAAAAACAATAGTTGGAAATTCAAGACTTCTAAGTGTGACCCAATATTTTACATACAATTTTTAATATTTAAAAACGGAACAATATCTCAATAACGAAGAACCTGAATTGCGAAATTTCAAACTCAATTTTGTTAAAAAAAAAGACTGGGGAAAATCAAAAGATTAACCAGGCATCCTACACCTGGGTTTTATGTGACCACAACTTGCCCAACGGTGTTATAGTTTGAAGTCAGGATACCGACATACAAGGTGAGATGAAAAAACTGCAACCGACTTCAGACTACTATTATTTCTAAGCCACTCATCCGACAGCTATTAAAATTATTCCAGTGACAGCTCATTTTAATGTTTACAAGCGTACAAAAGCCGGTGGCTATCGTTAGAGCATTCCAGCATTTAAATGTGAATAAATCTTTTGTGTCTCGTACCATCGCTCGCTGCCGTGATACTGGTAGCGTAGCCCGACGTCAAGGAAGTGGATGGTAGAAAACAGCAACATCAGCAGAAATGGTTCGAAAAGTAAAGGAGCGAATTGATCGAAACCCGCGTCGCAGTGGCCGAAAAATAGCTCGTGAGCTGAATGGAATATTGCGATATATATTTCATTCGGCAAATATTGAAAAATGAGCTCGGGGTGAAGCCTTTGAAGATCCAAACAGTGCAAGAACTTACACCGCAACAGAAAGAGAATAGACTCAAAAGAGCTAAAGAGTTGCTTAGCTTGGCTCGAAGTGGTGAACTGCCGAATTTGGTTTTCTCCGATGAGAAAACATTCGTTGTCCAATAACATTTATAACAAACAAAATGCTTGCCAAAGAGGTCAGTTGAAAATGTGCACCTTCGGTTGGCCACCAGAACTCAAGCGCCGGCAATGGTGATGGTGTGGGCCGCCATAACAACCGATGGTTGCTCCCCGCTTTTATTAATCAACCGTGGGATCAGAATAAATGCCGAATATTATCGCGAAAATATTCTGGATAGTTTATTAAAGCCATTAAAGCAAACATTTGGGCCGCAGACATTCCAACAAGGCTCAGCACCATCGCACTCAGCTCGCGCCACCCAAGCATGGTTAAAAAATGAGGTTCCTCGCTTCTCATTTCCAGCGCACAATGGTCACCAAAATCTCTGGATACCAATCCATTGGACTATTGTGTCTGGAGTATTTTGGAAAGCAAGGTTGGCACTAAAACATACCAAAGGTTCGATCACCTCAAGCAAGCGCTTCGCCGGGAATGGGCCAAAATATTGCAGAGCAACATTCGGGCAGCGTTGGACGGTTTCATTGGCCGTTTGAAGGCCTTAATTCGTGCCAAAGGTTACCAATTCGAACAAATCTAAACTTATTCTTATTCTGACCTATAAAAGGTTCCTAAAAATGTGTCTTTATCGACAAAAAATGGGGAAATAATTCACACCAAAATTCAGCATATTTTTGAAGTTTTGCTGAAAAAGTCTAAGTCATCCATCCAAAATGCTTGGGATTTCTGGCTATCAAACAAAGTCACTGGGTAAAGCCACCTTTATGTAGAGAAACACTATTCCGGGGTCAAACAAAACAGCTTAAATCAAAGCGGTCGAACAATTACTCTGTCACTGTCCAATGCTCTTCGATTTGAGATTTGGACCTTTTTTTCGTTACTATTCTCTATTTAGAATGAACACAGTGGACCAGGCAACACAAAGTCAATTGCGTTTCCTTTAACATAACCTAACAAAAATATACTGTTAGCGTTTCTATACAGGCTTAAAAACCTCGATTTTGGTCATCAATAACACCAAAATCGAGGTTTTTAAGACAATCAGGAATACTTCCTCATAAACAAACGAATAGGACGACGCAAGAATGTAGATAATTTTCAATAAGAAAAGTGTCAAATAATAAATCTTGCTATAATTTGTTAAAAATCACTCAACACCTGGACTTCACAAAAATCCAAGATCCAAAATATCCTGCCAAAAAAATACATTTGTTTTACAACTTAAAAAATGCAATAAGCAGGACCCCTATTCTTAGAATAGGTTGCAATAGGTGGTGGAGGGGACAGTCAACAAACAGCCAGCCATACAAGGAAAACAATCAAACACAAATAAAAAAGGAAATGAATAAATAAAAATGTATACAAACACAAACGAAAATGGAGACATAAACAAATGCATACACAAAGGATAACCGAGAAAATAAATTTACATTCTGGGACTGGAAGGACTACAATTTGCTCTTAAATAGAAAGTAGGAGTAGAAGAAGAAGAGTAAGGAGGTGATAAAATAAGCCAAAACTTCTTGTTGTCATCGAACATAACAAGTGATGGAAGTGTGGCACAATATTTTCATAGAAGATAATGGTTACAGAGAAAGGATATGGGGGAGATAATCTGTTTGCATTGTCAAGTGTTCCAAACAACAAAAGGAAATTTTGGTCATGAATGAATAAATCGTAGGATGATGAATCAACACAAAACACAACAAAATTAATGTATCCTTTGTAACAAACAAACAAGTTCCTTATGAAAACATATTTTAAACAATAACAAATAAATTTGTATTTTCTTTTAACAGTTTTTTGTTTTCTTAAAAGTATTTGATTTCTTCATTAAGGTAATTTTATGATTTCATTCAAACACGATTCGATTTTGTTGCTTTATATTGTGTATTTCATAACAGATATAGGTAGGTAGTCGCTTAATCGCTGGACTTACTATAGTCAGCATCTTTATTTTCCAAATAGATCATGGTAATCTGATCGGCATCGGGTAGTTCCACTCTATAGATGATTTCGTTACCTTTCAAATGTGTTTCGATAAGGTGGTAATTTTTGGCAAATGGTTTTATTTGTGACAAAGTGTTCGGGGGGGTCAGAGTTGACAGATCGATTGGTTAGTAACAAATCAGCGGCAAGTCATCATCCATTAGAAAACAAAAATTAGATAGGTAATATGTAGTAATGTTTGTTGTTCATTGTTTTCGTTGGCACATGTAACAGTTTATTCAAAAGAAGTTATTATTTTTTTTTTGTAACGGGAAGTTTGTGTTAGCATTCATTATTTATATTGTACATTTTTTATTTTGTAATAACATCAACCAGTTTCGGCAGTTTTAAAAGAACAAAAAATGGGGTAAAAGAACGAAGATAAAAAATAGAAAATCAAATTTTAACTATAAAATCAAACATTCTTAAGTTTATTTTTTTTAAGGTTTGTTAAAAAATATATCCTACGAAAGTAAATAATAACAGAAATTGTCAACTAATGAGATAGTCGGGGGAAAATTACCAATAGTTTTCTCACAGTATTTAGTGAAAAAAGGAAAACTAACTTAGGATATGGTATGAGTTTGAAAGATGTGATGTCGCAAATTTATAATTCAGACAAATTTACGCGGGGGACAGATGCAGAAAATTTCAGGAAAAAATACTGTTTACGGTTTATGGGTAATGACGTCCATCCCAGCCACTTCTGTAGAAATAAGACGCTTTAACAAGGCTTAGTCTACATGTGCAGTCGGTTCCAGCGTGGATGAAGTCATGGGAGCGGAGCTCGATTACAGCTTACTCCATTAAGTTGGATTGCAATTGCAAGGGTTTTTCTAACAGTTATGTTTCCTGTCATGATGGCTGCTGAAGTGAATAGGTGACTTTCAGCCATCGAAAAATTAAAAAAAAAACAAATCTGAATGGTTCTAAAATGTAGAGTTTTTTAAATCAGGTCAGTCGTATTGCCAGAGGCCATTAAATCCCCCTTTTCCACATCTCTCAAGGAAAAAGCCAACAAAAATTAGTAAACCCCAAAAAGTGTGAAGTATTCTTCAAAAATCTGTGAAGACAGAGCAACTCGAGGTGGTACTGAGAATAAGCATAAAAAAGGCATTTACACGTTGAAACTTTCCAGTCACAATTCTTTCAGAAAGCTTTGTATTTGCTGGCTTTATTGAGTTTTTTGTTCGGATGCTAAGTAGAAGGATCATAAGCTCTTATTTCGTAGAAAGTTCCAATTTACAGTTCGTTATCAGGGGCATGCGACAAAATTCAATACCATTATCATTGCTGTGGTGACTTCGAAAATCTTTCTGCAAAAGTTGCTGCGTATGCAGACGACGTGGTCCTGATGATCGGTAGAGAATTCCTACAAAGTTATGGAACTTCGGGGCCATAATCGACAAACAACTTTTTTAATGAGAGTACTTGTCTCACTATTATCCTGCAAAAACTACGTAACCTTTTGGTGCGATGTAGGTTAAAAGCCTGACTAGCGAAATTCGGACTGAGTTCAAGAGATCCATTAATTTGCATCAAGACCTAAATATGTTAAACCTCAGGACTAATTTATTTAAAAATCTGTAAAAAAGATGTAAGTTCGGCCGGGCCGAACTTTGAATATCCTCCACCATTTGGAACTAATTTGGTATTTTTCAAAAAAATAAAACCCGTTAAAATCTTAAAAATACCGATTGTAGCAGTTATATTAGAGTCTATATGACGAGGTGGACCTGCATAGGCAACTTTTGTCATAAGCCATTACAATATTCAAATGCAAAACTTGAAAAAAAAATCGGTGAATGATGAAGCTAAAATCATCAAAATACCGAATATAGGAAGGTACCATTATATGGGGGCTATACGAAAATGTGGACTGACATGACCCATTTACGAACTTAACCTACATACTGGGAAAATATGCATGTAAGCGGATTGGCTCGTGAGCTGAACATATCACGATATTCCATCCGGCAAATGTTGAAAAATGTGCTCGGGGTAAAGCCATTTAAATTCCAAAAAGAGCAAGAACGATGAGAAAACATTCGTTGTCCAGCAGTTTGTAAACAAACAAAATGATCGCATTTACTTGCCAAAGAGGTCAGCTGAAAATGTGCACCTTCGGTTGGCCACCAGAACTCAAGCGCCGACCATGATGGTGGTGTGGGCCGTCATAACAGCCTATGGTCGCTCTCCGTTCGCATTAATCGACCATGGCATCAGAATAAATAAATGCCGAATACTATCGCGAAAATATTCTGGAGGGTGTATTAAAGCATTTGGCCCGCAAACATTTTGGCTGCAGACCTTGGACATTCCAACAGGATTCAGCACCATCGCACACATCACGAGCCACCCGAGAATGGTTACAAATGGACAAATACCAAATTTCAAAGAATTCGGTAAAAATGTGTGGCTAAATTCATCAAAATACCAAATATCGAAAGGCAACTTTCTAAGGGGATTATACGAATTTGTGTACCTATTTAGGCCACTTTCAGCCTGATAGGTTGATATCTACTGATAACATTAAATACCAAACTTCAAACAATTCCATTAGAAAAGGAGGATACAATCATCAAAATGACATACATTCGACTAAAGGGCTATGACAGACGGTATGCAACGTCTTAAAATGTTACTCCGGTCATACAGAGTATTGTATGGTATAATGGTTGTTGGTATAGAACTCTCCAACTTGACGTGACCTTACTTTCTTTCTTTATCTTTATATAGTACCTTGAAATTATCATTTTTTCCCCATATAATGGACTATAGAAGTTAAAGCTGGAGTAAAAACCCAGCTCCAGTGGTCTGTTCCAGAACTGCAAGAATGTAAAAAATATGTACTACGTTTACCGATTTTCCTTTATGGTATCGAGAAAAAATGTAAATATAGTAGGTTCTTGCAGGATCTGGAACAAAGCTAAGATTATCTGGAATTATGGGAAACAGTTTTAATCGCCTCGGTTAAAAATTAAACTACGATTTGAAATTAAGTACTTGGTTAATTTTGTATTTTATATATCGGGGGATTGTTAATAACGTAAAGATCATGAAAGTAACAAAACAACAACAAAAAATTGTATAACATAAACGCGGCAACAACATTATAACAAATAATATTCCAAACAAAATTGAAATTCAATTATATTCTTTTGTTCAATAATTATTAGGCTCTTAAACAGCAGTAGAGATAGACGTGGTTATAATAGCAGTATTTGGTAGTACTAATACTGATTACAACAAAAACAAAATCGAAAATAAAAATAAAAAGAGGGGGAGAAATGTTTAAAGAAGACGTGTATGTGTTTACAAGTGAATGTAAAGAAGAGAAACGATAAAAAAGAACAGAAAATAAAACAATAAAAAATTAAACTACTATTCACAAAAATAAAAATTGAATATTAAAATATTTGCTAAATATTTAGGTTTCTTTATAGATATTTTATAATAGAAATAAACATTTGTTTACAACCTTGTAATGAAAATGCATTTAAGTTTCACATCTCCAAGTTTAGTATAGTTATGCTTTTATTTCAACTATTCAAACATAGAAGATGCAAAACTTGTTCTTGATTTTCATCACAAGATACAAGTTGTAGTAGAAGTTCATTTGTGGATTGGGATTTTGTTGTTTTTACATAAGTACATACCTCCTTCAGCATTGGCATCATCTTGTGTATAGCATAGCATAAAAGCTGAAATATTGAAAGAATTAAGAAAGGAGAAGAAAACACAAATAGTTGATATGTTTGGATATTGTTGTTTAAAAAAAATAGAACAAGAAGTAGAAGAAGGAAAGAAAGGAAAGGGATATTTTTCTTTTTTTGAATTTTGACGAATGAATCAATCGACCAATGGCAGAGGAAATGAATGGGCGAATGTTTTTTCTTTTTGTTTTTTTTTTTTCTATTGAATTTAATACCAAGTTTCTTGCCATTTACGAAAGCAGTCTACAACGAGATTTGTTTGTTTGCTACTATTTTATTTGTGAAAAAAAAAAACAGAGCTATTTGGTGATCGATTATGAGTTCATATTAGCAAACGTAAACCTAACCTCTTAACGAGCATATTTTTAGCACATGTCCATCATAAGAGAAATCATAATGAAAAAATATAATTGGTAAATAAAAATAATACAGTTGGAAAAATAGAAGATTTGAAAATCAATTAATAAAAACGTATTATTGTGTTGTTTGCCGTGACAGAAGACAGCAGTCCAAAGTGAAATATACATTACAGTAAGAAGAAACAGAAGGAGAGAAGAGTGGAAGAATTGCTGTTGATGATGATGCTACTACTGTTTGATGGAGTGTCATCAAAACAATATTCTTTTGCGTTTTTTGTCTTTCCAAAGAAATGTCATTATTTTACAATGAAAAATTGGTGCCTCTATATTTAACAAGCCTGATTAAAGATCAACTACTTAAGTTTGCACATGCAGAAATTATAAAAAAATGCCTATTACTTTATTTTATTTATTTATCAAACTTGAACAACTATTTGCTGCACTGTTTTTTTTTTTTTTCTTTTCTTTCTTTTAAAAAAGACTAGACAACAAAGAAGAGTTTTTGAAATTAAATTGATTTTTAAAGGATGTGATTTTTATTATTTAATGTTATAATCTTGGATCTAAATCCAAGTGGAAGGGACTGTTTTGACTATACCCGAATCCACGTCTTGCAAAAACCATGTTGCCATTTATGTTTCTGTTGTACTTTTATAGTTTGAAATAAAAGCCAATGTTTGTCAATACTAAAGGTGTAAAGATTTATTGGATGATGAGCGTTCACAGCTACTAATTTCAAAAGAATGAAGAAGTTACAATGTAGTGAGTCAGACTCGAGTGACAGACAAAACAAGACTGAGCAAGCTAAAATGGCGGTAGCACGGCGTCCTATTATATGGGCGTTGCCGTATAGGATGTTGCAACATGAGATGCCATATTGTTAATGTGGGTTGCCCCAACATCTCCCTCCTTAAGATGAGAAGGTGATCTTGAAATAGGTTCGACTGGTTGTCTGCGACTTGTTATTCTTTGAGGTGTCCAGTTTGGTGAACCTGTTGGAGTTGCAAAATGTTCTTGATGGTTAGGCAAAGCGATTTCGAATTCTTCAAGTAGTACGTCCAATGGTAGTTTTTGTCGTTCTTGTCTGCTTGACTCTACCGATTCTCTATGTCGAAGTTGATCAGTATGAGCTCGTACTAGAATTTTCCTGTCCCCAACGTCGATTAGAGTGTTGTAAATGACTTTCCCTTTACGCTCGACTATTTCGCCTGTTGTCCAGTAACTTTTGTTTCCTTTGAAGTTTCTGGCATAGACCAATTCTCCGTTGCTAAACTCTCTGTTTTTGGTACCGTGTTTGGTATTGTACTGCTGTTCCATTTTGTGATTGACGTTATACTCAGGCGATTGTTGCTTCCTTAGAACGTCGAAGACCGTTCTCATTTTTCTTCCGATGAAGGATTCTGCTGGAGACTTACCTTCTGGTGCATTTGGATTTGGTGTGGATCTGTAGACTTCTAGGAAGGTTTGGAGAGATTCCGTAGGCGTTTCTTCCCCTTCTAGTTTTTTTAATGCACGTTTAAGTGTATCAACGAAACGCTCGGCTTGTCCATTTGAACTTGGATGAAAACGAACAGTCCTTGTGTGTTTAATGCCTTTTTTGCTGCACCACTTCTCAAATTGTTCTGAACAGAACTGTGTTCCGTTGTCCGAGACCAATTGTTCAGGATTTCCGAAGAGTGCACAATATTCGTTTAACATTTTTAATGTTGCATATGTGGTTGTCGTTGTTGTCTCGTATATAACAGGGTATTTTGAATACGAGTCGATGATAAGAAGATAATATTTACCTTTTTCTGGACCAGCATAGTCTATATGTATCCTTTCAAGAGGGTGTGAAGTTAATGGCCATGGGCAAAGATTTGTTTTTACTGGACTTTTTGCCGCATGTTGACAATTTTTGCATTTCCGAACAAAGTCTTCAATTTGTTTGTCGATGTTTGGCCAATAAACATAACTTCTGGCGATGGCTTTGCTGCGTTCTGCTGATAAGTGTCCTCTGTGAAGTTGTTGTAAGATTTGTCTCTGATATGATTTAGGAATTACTATACGATTATTGAAGAGAATACAACCATCGAAGGTTGAAAGATTTTCCTTGCGGTTGAAAAATTGAATAATTGATGGGTTAATATTTTTCTTGCTTTCTGGCCATTCTGTTTGAATGTATTTGAGGACCATTTGTAAATCCGTGTCTTTAGTTGTTGCATCGACGATCATTTTAAATGATACTGGGAGAACTGACATAGTTTCATTTATCTCGTTACGTATGTCTTCTTCGAATGATATTGAAGCCACTATAAAGTCATCTGCTGGTTTTTCGTGATTGTTGACTAATCTTGATAATACATCAGCGTGACCAAAGTCCTTTGTGTTTGTGTATTTAATTTCGAAGTTGTAAGCCAGTAATATAAGGGCCCATCGTTGTAAACGATTTGCTGTGTAAATTGGAACTCCCTTCTTTGAACCAAATATTGCGAGTAAGGGTTTGTGATCGGTGTGTAAAGTAAATTTGCGTCCGAATAACATTTTGTGAAACCGTTGAACGGCGAATATAAGGGCTAGGCCTTCTTTTTCTATTTGGCTGTAATTCTTTTCCGCTTGTGTGAGTGATCTGGAAATATGATGTATTGCCTTCATAGTGTTGTCTGGAAACATATGATAGATAACCGCGCCGATTCCGTGAGATGATGCATCGGCTGCTACATGTATAGGCAAGTTTGGATTGTAATGCGTTAAAAGAAGATCTGATGTCAAGATGTTCTTAAAGTCGTTTAATGATTTTTGACACTGTGACGTCCACTCGAACTTGGCGTCCTTTTTTAGTAGATCGTCAAGAGGTTTACGTAGTGTTCTCATGTTGTTTACAAATTTCCCGTAATGATTAATAGAGCCTAATAACGATCTTACTTCCGAGACGTTTTCTGGTGTTTTAAGATTTTGAACGGCTGCTATTTTGATTGGGTCAGGTTTGATTCCATCTTTGCTTATTATGTGTCCTAGATATTTGATTTGTTTTTGAAAGAATTGGCATTTTTCAAATTTCAGCTTGAATCCGTGATCTTGAATTCTTTGTAAAAGCTTGTTTAAATTTAATTTATGTTCCGGAATAGATGGACTTGATAACATGATGTCGTCTATATATGCTTTTGCTCCTTCTATGCCTGCGCATAGCTTATCCATGATCCTTTGAAATGCTCCCGGAGCTGATTTTATACCTGGGGTTAGACGGTTGAACTTATATAGACCTTTGTGTGTATTGATGGTGAGAAGCTCTTTACTTTCGTCGTCAACTTCGACTTGTAAGTATGCGTCTGAGAGATCTAAGCGACTAAAGATTACACAGTTGTGGCAATCAGACATGATTTCTTCCGGTGTTGGTAATGGATACTGATTAGGTTCTACTATTGAGTTTAGTCCTGTTGAATAGTCTGCACATATTCGAATTTTTCCATTACGTTTGCTGACCACTATCGGCGCTGCGTACCTCGATGAATCTACCGGTGTGATTATTCCTGCGTTTTCTAATCTGAGGAGTTCTGTTTCAATTTCCATTCTTGCTGCGAAAGGAACTGGTCGTTTGGGAACGAATATTTCTTTTGTGTTTGGCAATAATTGTATGTTGACTTTTGTTTTGCACAGACCTGGGGTACTGTTATCAAAAACTGATTGATAATTCGTTTTCAATTCTGCTATTTCATCAACGAAGTTTATTTGATGACACCATGAGGTTATTGGTTTCTGCCATAGATTGAATGCTTGAATCCAATCGATTCCCATGATATTGAGTTTTTCTATATCTGTTATATAACATTTTAATGTTTTTGATGTTTTGTCGATTGTGACGTCACATTGAAATTCTGCTAGGAGCTTGATTGAGTTTGCGTTTGCGTCGCTAGCGTTGTCAAAAGTTTCGTAGGCTTCAGGCTTACCTATAGCTTTCCATGTGTTGATAGATACAATTGATATGTCTGATGCAGTATCAATTTGAAGTTTTACAGGATTGTTGTTAATTAGGACAGTTGTGTATTTCCTTAAGTCGCGGAAATTAATGTTGTGTGTTTTGAAAACTGCCTTAGTTTTGAATGATTTCCTTGAATTGCTGTATTTCTTGAATTCGTTCTGGTTGTTTTCAGACGATGATTTGAAATTCTTACCAGTCTTAGCGATGTTGCAAAAGTTATTTTTATGACCCACTTGATTGCATGTTGTGCATTTATGTTTCTGGAAAGGACAAAATTTGACGTAGTGAAGGTCTCCGCAATACCAACAGGGTGAATTGGGTGTTTTGTGCTTCTTAAAGTCTTTTGCGTGCTTGTTGAGTGAACAGACGATTTTTGATTGATGTTCAATGAGAATGTTGTCCGATTTGAGATCTAGAATTCGTTGTGTTTCGTCTACTAGTTGATCTAGGTTCATTGTAGTGTTTTCATCATCCAGTACCTTTAGTAAGCGAAGTCTTATGTCGTTGTCCTTTGCTGACTTGAGTCCTAAGACGAAAATGAGACATTTGAATTGGTCGATTTTCAGTTCTTTCATTTTGAATAGTTCGCATTGTAGGTTTACTCTGCTTGCGTATTCTCTGAAATCTTCGCTGTCGCCTTTTGCTAGCTGAAGGCATTTGTATCTTTGTGAGACTTGTGTTTCTGTTTTACCAAAGAGTTTCTTGAGTTTCTCTACTGTATCCTTTAGAGTCATGTCTTCAGGTTTTGCTGGTAATACGTAGTTGGCAAATCTTTCATGTACTTGGTTCGACATTTTTCTCCATAACAAGGCCACTTTGTCATGTTCTTCGAGTGAGCTTGCTTCTTTTTCGAAAACATGCACAAACCTGTTGTACCACGCTTGAAATATCAGACCGCTCTCTGGCTCGTATACGAATGCTGTCATTGACTGTGCTAGTGATTCCATTAGTGCTGCTTTGGATGAATTTGATGTTTGTGGTGAGTGTGGTGAATTTGGTGCTCCTTGTGCTTGAAGAAGATCAGCCATATGCTTTAGCAGTTGCGTTTGTTGCGACATTGCTTTTTGTTGCTCTGTTAACAATTGTAGAATTATGTCTTGAGACATTTTTGCGGATTGTTGTGTGTGCAATTATTGATCAATTTCCACTATCCTCGTCGCCACTTTTGTTGTACTTCTATAGTTTGAAATAAAAGCCAATGTTTGTCAATACTAAAGGTGTAAAGATTTATTGGATGATGAGCGTTCACAGCTACTAATTTCAAAAGAATGAAGAAGTTACAATGTAGTGAGTCAGACTCGAGTGACAGACAAAACAAGACTGAGCAAGCTAAAATGGCGGTAGCACGGCGTCCTATTATATGGGCGTTGCCGTATAGGATGTTGCAACATGAGATGCCATATTGTTAATGTGGGTTGCCCCAACAGTTTCAAATACTATTGATCTAATTAACGAAACTACGAGTTCGGTGAGCATTTTATTTCAGGTTCGGAAAACGCCTATAGACTATTTTTTCACGTGCTATGCTAAAGCTCATGTCTATACGACGAGCCCGTTTTCCGAATTATAAGACAACATTGAAACATTCATTCGTGAGTTACCGGTTGAAATAATAGAAATAGCTCGGGTAAAGCCATTGAAATTCCAAAAAGTGCAAGAACTTACACCGCAACAGGAAGAAAATAGACTCATCAAAAGATCTAAAGAGTTGCTTCGCTTAGCCGAAAGTGGTGAAATGCCGAATCTAGTTTTCTCCGATGAGAAAACATTAGTTGTCCAGCAGTTTGTAAACAAACAAAATGATCGTGTTTACTTGCCGAAGAGGTCAGCTGAAAATGTGCACCTTCGGTTAGCCACCAGAATCAAGCGCCGGCCATTGTTATGGTGTGGGTCGCCATAACAGCCGATGGTCGCTCTCCGCTCGTATTAATCGAGTGTGGCATTAGAATAAATGCCGAATATTATAGCGAAAATATTCTGGAGGGTGTATTAAAGCCTTAAGCAAGTAAACATTTTGACCGCAGACCTTGGACATTCCAACAGGACTCAGCACCATCGCGCTCAGCACGCGCCACCCAAGAATGTTTACATAATGAATTTCCTCGCTTCATTTCCAGCGCACAATGGCCACTAAAATCTCCGGATACCAATCCGTTGGACTATTGTGTCTGGAGTATTTTGGAAAGCAAAGTTGGCACAAAAAAATTTTAAAGTGTCGATCACCTCAAGCAAGTGCTTCCCCGGGAATGAGCCAAAATACCACAGAGCAACAAATTTCGCAGAGATATTTTTGAGCTGTACCTGGTATCTTGTACTGAATATCCTTGTCATGGAGTGCATTTAACGACTGTGGGGGACATAAATATCAAATTTCCAAAGACTTCGCCCTTGGACCAAATCTTATTTGGACAGACAGGTCGATATAGATAAATCGACTCTTATTGGATGAAATCTACTAGTATTGGAGATCGACTACAGGAAAGGTGCATCTATCTTGTTTCTTTTGCACAACGATGTAATACCTTGTACCACAGTGTGGTGTAGGGTAGAGAACAGAAACAGAAAAAAAAAACATTTGTTGAAACCGTAGTGAATAATACAATAAAAATTTTCAAATCCGGGGTATTTTGAGCCTGCACCCCAAAAAAAGATTTTCAATAACCCCGAAATACAAAAACTAACGTACGTTCTTGTATTCTTTCATTTGACATTGGTTAGTTTCTATCTCGTAGCTTTGTTAAAACTACTTTTACTCAAAAATTGACTATGGAACGCCAGCAATTTTTTATCTCATTTTCCTGCACTCTCAGTTACTTCACACAAAAGAAATTCTTTAAATTTGTTGTCTAGTCTTAGTCAACTAACTTAAAAAGAAATGTTATTAATTTTGTTACAACCCGTTTAGTTGGCTACAGTTCCAAAAAAATATATGAATACCAAACTTATTGATAATATTTTGCCATAACCCCTTAACCTTAGTTTCCTTTGGGGTGTCGTGTCGTATCATCATTCAATTCTTACAAATAAAATTTGTACATATTTACATACTATATATAAATTAAATTTGAAGTGCTTATAAAACTTATGACTTATTAAGAAGGACTTACGCTGAGGTTCGGTGGAATCATTGTTGTTCAAATGATTAACATCAAGTTCACTAGTACTGGCGGCAATTCCATTAGCTTTTTTTTGGAGGGGTTGGGAACGTATATTTTATTTGCAATATTTTTCAGGTCGATATGGGTACACATAGGAGACACACCAACCAAACAAGAGGTGATGTTGGTTTATTTGACGTAGGCACATTTTTTCGATTTTGGATGAAGTAGAACGGACCAATAGAGCATCAAACAGAGACACAGATACATACATGAATGTTGAAAAAATGTGGAATTTTGGAAAATGAAGTGATAATATTGTTGTCATTTTTTTGATGATGTTGTTGTTAAGTAATGTGAACATATTTCGGACGGGACATTTTTATGTGTGTTTTCGGTAGACAGTAACAGTTGTTATTTGAAATTAAAAAAAAAAAAACAAAATAAACAACAAAATTAAAATAAAGTAAAACATGTTAAACATAAAACAAAATTATAAGCCAAAAACTAATATTAAATAGAAATAAGTTTTCAGTTAGAGAGACAGGAAATAGTCCTTTGATTTTAGTGTGTGCAAAAATTATCTCGTTGAATTGTTTACTGTAGTTTTTTTGTTGTTGTGAACTTGTTGTTATGGTCTCATTTAACATAATTTCGAAAATTATATATTCATTTATTTATAATTTAGACTAAGGTGTGGTGTATGTCTACAATACTGCTTTCATTATTAATTTATTGCCGCTGAATTAGTTTTGGTGTAATATATATATATATAAGCTTGCATTAGTTGTCTGCTTTGGTACTTACGCTCTTGATCACTGCCATCTTCATTGCGTTCATCGCGACTCTTCATAAAGGGAAATTTGCGCGAAAATGTAAAATTTTTCTTTTTTCTATCGAGTGTTGATTGCTGAAAAATAGGGTTACGGTTATGACTGTCTTCCTTGTTGGCCTTGTTTTTTGATTGTGTCCTACCTTATCAATATTGTTATTTGCACTAACTGCTTGACCTTGGAATTTAACACTACGATCTCGGGCCCTCATCTTTCGCTCCCATCGCCGTTTCGATGGTACAATGCCAATTTGGTCGTCCTCGTTATCGCCCAAGACACGACGGGCCTGCCACCACTCATCATCTGAGGCATTTGTTACATGCAGAATATCACCATGTCTAAATGGTAGTCCTCGCGACGGCAGGCCATCATCACGATTTGGATCGTAGTCGAAGAGAGCACGAACATACAATGAACGCTTTTGTGTTGTGCGCAGCAGTGTGCCGGTACTGCCAGCAGATAAGGCGGCTTGTTGCTTTAGTTCTTGAATGCGAGCTTCAAAACGATTATAGTCTTCGGGTCGATATTGGGCCAGCAATGTAACAACACCACCAGATTTCTGCAAAGCAAACAAAAATGAATTCAATTAAATCTCAAATGCCATGGCAGTAAAATGTCTTATTTTTTCATACCTTTAATGCTAAGGCGGCTTCTTCATGGGTGGCATTCCGTAAATCTATGTCGTTACAACTCAGCAACTGATCACCACGTTTTAGTTCACCACCCAAATCGGCTGGTCCACCAGCCAATACGAACGATACATAAATCCCCTGGCCATCTTCGCCGCCCACAATGTTAAAGCCCAAACCTTGCGGTCCTTTTTGAATGGTAATTGTACGCGGCTCCCTGGAAAAAGGCATTGCAAAAATTGTCATCATTAGTGGAGCTCGGCGGCATATGACAGACAGACAGTGTAAATTCGATTTCAATTTAATTCGAAAAAACGCTTTGAACACACACAAATATTAAACATGTAATGAAAACAATAAAACACATCACTTGGCAGTTTTCTTATGACGATCACGTAGATTATTCACCAACGTAGCGGCGGTGGCAGAAAACGCATTTCTGCTTGTGGTGGAATGTGTTAATGTCTCAGCCGTGAGCAGTGTTATTGTTGTTGTTTTTGCTGTGTTTGCTGCTATTATTATAGTCTGATTTGGCAATTGTTGGTGTTGCTGCCGCTGTGACGGTGACTGTAGCCGTAGCTGTTGGAGGTGGTTTTGTTGATGATGATTTTGGAGCTCTTTGCAAACAGGCCTCAACAACAAAGGTCTGCGTAAACTGACAATACGTTCATCCAAATTTAGTAATTGCAATTGAAGACAGCTCATTGTTTGTTCCAAAAGTTCCAAAAGACAAAAACACAATGCAAACAGAAATCCAAATATACCACTCTCAGCTGGCGGCTGCGAGGAACTGGCTGCGTTTGGGTGTGGGTAGGATTGGCTTGGATTGGATTGCTTAAACGCCAGCCAGTCAGCCAGCTGCAGTAGCTGGTTGGTTGTATCGTTTAACGTTGATTAATTAATTCCACCAAAAATGAATTTCTAGGTAGTTTGCCAAAACATTGTCATTTTTGATTATGTATTTGCAAATTAAGTGTAACAGCAAGCACAACGACGAACGCACGCACCCGCGGAGAAATCGAACTCGAACTGCAACCAATCAATGTGTAACAACACCCCGATGTGCAGATTGTTTCTTCTCTGAAGAAATTCAACTTTTGCACGTGCCGTTTTTAGATTTTTACCAACGCGACTGACTTGATAACACTAACGCAATGCTAAACAGTCAAAGAACCAGCTAAAAGTGGATTTTGAGCAAAAATTGATATCGTTGTGCATCTCCACTCCATCTCTTGATGAAATTCAAATGTTTTATTTTCGGCTAGTTGCTATCATCATCAGCTAAAATCATAGCATATCTATCTAACAGTTTGTTATCATTGTATCTAATCGAAAAGTAAACAGAAAACCATGACATTTCTCATAGCAGCAAAACTACATGACGAATGAAGGTGGCGCTATCAAGTCATGGAGATAGTGTTGGCTTTGATGCACCCTATTGAGTACGTATAGCATCATTTAGCGCTTTAATTGGATTCTTAACGAAACCTGATTTCTGGAGAAATTAATCGCCCTGAAGAAAATTTCTTTATAAATTCTAGTTGAAAAATTTCCATTCTATTTAAGACAGTAAACCCAGCATCACAAGGGAATTTTTCAGAAAAAAAAAACATTATTTAACCATGTGAGCTTTAATCCGGTAAACACTAACTTTCTCATGTCATTAAAAAAAATAGAATCCGAACTTCCAGGCCATTGGCATAATCTTCTGAAGAAATTTTCTAACCCTTATAGACCTAAGACAGTGAAACTATGTGATAAAATGTTTTTTGGGATATCACGTTTTACGTTTATTGATTCAGGCCCCAGCACACGATAGTGCCAAAAGGGAAGTATGTCGAAATTCCTTCTCTTTGGAGTAGCCTCTGCGAAAACGGAAAAAAATACTTTTTTTTTTGAAATATCCGATATATAGATGGTAAATAGCTCCGATGCTTAAACCAGCAAACTCTATACACCAATGAATGATCATGAAGATCCTGAATGAATTAGAGCGCGAACTTCCAGGCCAATGTGGACATAATCTGCAGAAATTTCCCAGCGCTTATAGTACGTAAGACAGTGAAGCCTACTGAAAAAATGTTTGCTGGGATTTCGTGTTTTACGCTTATTCATTCAGACCCCAGCACATGATAGTGCCAAAGGGGAAGTATGTCGAAATTCCTTCTTTTTGGAGAAGCCTCGATGAAAACGGAAAAATCACTCACCTGGTTTGACAAAAGCACACTGTTCACATGTATCAGCATTTTTGAACTATCCGACATATAGATGACCAATGAATGATCATGAAGATCCTGCAGTCCGTGGTATTATAACATAATCCGGTGCTGCTTTATTGTCCTAAAGCAATTATTACATGCTCATAGGCATAATGACAATTGTAGCATTTTTCTGGCGGAGATGCTTGCAATCTAGATGGCAACCGAAAAGGTAAGAGAACTTTGCAAAACCATAACAGGACCAGTGAATATATACATATAATCAGTCCCTTAAAGCTACCAAGTCGAGTGTCATTGAATCGAAAGCTATTCTTCGTTGCAGAAAACCCCTCTTTAAAATATGTGGGTTCATTAAGCTTTGTTCGGTCCCAGGACAATGCAATGAAATAACTGATGAATTAGCTCAGCGTGGTTTCCAGTCGATTGATTTACCGATCGATGAGACTGTCAACCATAATCTATAAGCTATTATGTCAGGTGCTTCAAAAAGGCTTTCATCAAAAAAGTTATAAACCGATTGCTAGGTTTCTAGTCCATTTGCGCGGTTTCTCTAAAAGATACCCCAGTTGAATTAGTCTGATCCGTAGGTATGATTTAAGAATAGCGGAAGACTGGCCATCGTGGTATCAAATATTTAACGGCTAAAAGTTTAAGATGAAGAAGAGATTGATATGATTAAACAACCACTGTGAGAAAATCCAGCGTTATCCAACAGGAGGTGCAGGTCATTTGGTACGTGAGATATAAAAACTCTAATGTTCTTCTCAGGCGTAGCTACCATCACCATATACAGGGTTGTTAAAAACATTTTCTGGCAAGGTAATTCGTCGTAATTCATCGATTGATTCCTGCGCATTCTTAAACCTAAACCAATGAAATATCTAAAACTACCTGACCCCAACATGAATCTACTGAAAGAAACATCACCAAGGTAACATCTACCAGGATAACTAAGGAGCTGGACTGTAAAAGACAACATATAGGCACAATGGTTAATGCATTAGTGTTACAGAGAAATTAATAAAATCAATATAGTCTGGTCCGCCCCCACATTAATATCCCCACATTGTGGACAAGTTTGAAAATTAATATCGACACCCAACAGATATTGAAGCCCATACACATACATATGGTATGGGAGTACACCTTCTCTTCTACTCCTTGAAATCAGAGATGAGTGTTCTAAATTGGTGGACTCTGAATCGGTGGTGGGTATTTTTACATTTTTCGCATCGACGATGGATTGAAGATGAGATAGAAGTTGAGCTTTCCGCATACAAACGCTCCGTTTATACAATCAATTGTCTGGCACATATAATTTCAAAAGGGTAGGTGATAACTAGCTCCAAAATAGTTCATACTTTCCATGTTCCACTCTACGGAAATTTTGCTTCTTTGACATTTTTTTTTATTTTGACAAAACAGGTACATATAAGGGTTTCAGCTGATTTGGATAGGTTTCATATAATTAAGGCAGGTCGTGCAATCTCAACAGTGTTTTTCTTTTTTTATATAGAACTGGAACTAACGCCTTCTGCAGATCACTAGAAGAGAATGTTTAGTATTGATTTCATTCCTGACAAGAGTATATGCGCAGGAATTAAGATGACAGCGACTACCGTCAGACAGTATAAATCAGAAATTTCTTCTTTAATTCCGAATTTTAATGGCGTTTGCTTGATCAATATTTTATCTCCTATTGAATGTGTTCTTAAATATTAACAGAGTTTTCTTTCATTTTTCGTAGAAAAGGCATGCCCGTTTAATGATTTAAATATTCCAATAAACACCAGTTTATACTTGACGGAAAACTTCTATATAAATGACGCTCTTTTTTACGTGTTGATACCCTTAACCTTCTTCTCGGAAGAAATTGTGAAATGTTTGCGGGCATAGGTTTTACCCGTTGGTTTGTCATTTTCCAATTCGTTTCAAAAAATTTCCAAACATATCTCGTCATTGTTTTAATACTGTTACACCAAACATTTGTAAATTTTTTAGTAGCCAATAAAAACACAAGATGATGTTTCCTTTTAGGCTCCGCATATAGGCCGCCCAACCACACATACATATCGTCATATCAGCGCAAATATGCATACTCACATACACGCGTTTATTTTTTGAAATAGATTTTAGTCACGATTTTTATACATAGTACAAATACACATATACACTATTTTGGTATATATAGTGGCAAACAACTCACCTTGTTATGTCCTCGGTGCTAACCGCTCGTGGCGTGCCTGGAGGCACTGTGGCCAATACATTTGAAGATGCATACCTAGATCCTGGTTGTTCTATAAGTAGTAGTTTGTGTGTGATGTTTGTACAAAAAACGTTTCATTTCAAATAAAAAGCGTTCGAAAGAAACACAAAAAAGAACACCCAAATATTTATGGGGAAAAGGAAATACAAAGAAAACAAAAATTAAATATTAGTGGCATTAGAGAAGAAGCAAAGGTTATTGGATGTAGTTGTTTCGGATTTGCTTTTTTGTAGAATTTATTTTTTTTTTCATATTTGTTGTTGTGGTAGGTTGGTTTTTCAGAAGCCAGTTGAGTGAGGATATAGATTTTTTTTTTTTAGATTAAAATTCTTTCATTTTCTTTGATTAGAATTTGGGTTCTGAGAGTTGATTCATAGAATAAAAAATGAAAGTAAAAAACGGTCAAGAAAAAACAGAGGAAAAAACGCACCACTCTTGTATGCAGCAGTAGTTGTTGTTCTTGTTATTGCAGCAGTAGACATGCAAACATTTAATAAAACACAGACGCACACACAAGAAGGAAAAACAGAAATAAAATTAACTTCAATGTAAGTAAGGAAAAATAATAATAAAAAACGTTTCTAAATTCCAAAGCCAAAAAACGTGCAGCAGAGTCATTGTTCATTTTATAATTTAAGCAGAAATAAATATATAAAAAGTTCTCAACAAGGCTGTCGTTTAGCAGGCAGACCTTATTTGGCATTAATTCTCACACAACATGCTAAATATTCAAATTAATTGTATGGCTCTAAGAGATGAACGAAAACGAAATCAATATTCTACTACTTAAAACAAAAATGTTTCTCATTTTGTGAAAATTGTTTCACTTTTTCCATGTTGTTGTCCACAAGCATACAAGTGTAGCGATGATAGTTTTCTTAGGTTTAGTTTGATTCGATAGTTTGAAAGGGGGAACGGGACGGTAGTAGGATTTGGGAATGTATGAGAATTTGTTCTTCAACTTAACAGATCAGAGGTCAAGGGGCAAAGGATATGACAATTGATTGGGTGGTTTTGCAAATCATAAGGAAACAAAAACAATTGGAAATCAAAAACAAAAAGAAACAAAGCTTACGAGGCAAAGGTGACTGGGAACGAGATGTTGATGGAATTAGCTCAGCAACGGCTGGGGAAGATGCATGGTGGTGGTGCTGATTGCTATGGTTAATTGTAGCTGTTGTTGTTGCTGTTGGCATAGCGTTTGTGTTGTTGTTGTTGTTCGTGTATGGTGTGGTGGAAGATGAGCGAGCATAATCAACAACTGTTTGCCCTATTGTATTTATCGCACCTGTTGAATGCGAATTCACTTGATTAATATGATGTCCCGCCGCTGATGCTGCCGGCAGGCTGTGTGCAGTTTTGCCCACAACCAATGTGACTTTATCGACTACCGACTTCAATGTGGCCACCGCCTGCTCATGGGTAACATTTTCGAGATTTTTATCAACCTGGAAGGAAAACAAATAAAACAAAGATTTAAAAACTGTTCCTATTTCTTAAGAATTGCATTTCAACACCTACCCCATTGGCTTTTACAGCTATCAATTTATCGCCTATTGACAGACGACCATCAACAGCAGCCGCTCCACCATCCATTATTTTCGTGACATAGATACCATTGTCTCCTGGTATATGCTGATTACCAATGCCACCGGCAATGGAGAAACCCAGCCCCTTATTACCTTTAACCAAATCAATTTCCAATACTTTCGGTCCCGTATCCTCAACATGAGCTGGCGTGGCCATTTGACTGGGATCATCTATGAGTGTACCGCCACCGGTACGTTTTCTTTTTACATGCAGTTTGACTACATTGCCGGCCTTTTTCAAAGCTTCCACCGCGGCGGCATGCGGCACATCCACCACCGAGACATCATTCACCGAGACAATGATGTCGTTTACACCCAAACGACCATCAGCGGCAGCAGCACCACCCGGTATTAGTTTGGTAATATAAATTGAGGAGTCGGTGCCAATGTGTGGATTATCGGTTCCACCTGCTATGGAAAATCCTAAGCCAGAATTTCCACGTTCTAACGTAATGTCCTCATATATCCAACTCTCATCGCCATTCACCTAAAATAGGAAAGAAAACCATTGTATTAGAGCTAATGTTGGGGGAGGTGAATTTGAAACACAGATCATTTGATTATTTTACTTTGGACAAAAGACAATCATCGACTGCTAGTGAAGACAACAAAAACTAGACAAACATACAAAAACAATGTAACCCATATTTTTCATGATGAAAACTCTTTTGAATGATTGAAGTGGGGGGAAAGGACAAAAATTACACACATGACGGCTGTTAAAACGTACACAAAAATGTTATGAAAATGAAAACGAAGCGAATTACTCGGTTAAAATTTCAACAATTCTTACCTTATTTGTTGATGTCCGATGAGCCTAGAATATCAGTTTACATAAAACAAAAATAAACAAAAATTAATAAATTAAAATTCAACTCAAAGTAGCAAAAAAAAAAGAAACAAAAACTACAAAATCAAAAAATATAAACTAAGGCATAATATTGTTCTAAGAATGAGGGATATTATTGTTGATGAGGGAGTACCAAAAAGTCTCTAAGATTTAACTTCAATATGGAACTGAAATTAGATAAAAGAATAGAAAAGAAGGACGGAGCTCTAAATAGCAAATACCCAATCCTTACAGTATTTCGTTACATTATATGAGAAGAGTACTGCTGCTCCAAAAGCAGAAATCGCTTTTGAAGTACATAAGTGACTATAATCCAAGAAATACCGAAGCAATTTACGTGGCTAGGGGAATACCAATTTTGAAAAGTTCAATTTATAAAATTGTGGGTATTTGTCTACATGTATTTGATTACCAGTACGGACTTTTGACAAATGTGTGGTGGATTAAATCGCTAAGACACCAGTAAACTTTCCGTTGGCAGTCGATCTCATGTTTGAAAATGTTTTGATTTGCTTTAGTCTGGAGTATTCCTCCTTTGGCTTAACTTCATTTTATTCTCTACTCCCAAGAGCAATCTTTTCCGAATCGGAGTTGACAGCTTTGCAATATTTGCATTCCGAATCAGAGTTAAGTATTTGCAAATCGCTTTCAATATCAAGATTTAATTCCCTCGAAAATATTGCCTTATAACAGCTTTTGGGAACGAAAATGTGGATGACACTGCCACTTGAATGTTACAAAATAGAGTTGAGCTGTCTCTGTCGATGTTGCTCCCTTAACGGCCAGGGCTGGTCCCGAAACCAAGAAGATCTTGAAAGTAAAGTAAAGTAAAGTAAAATACCTCTGTGGGTATGGGAACTTACGGAAAGTGTAGTAGTAGTTCTGATCATACCGACATCCTGTCACTGATCATATCGAAATCCCGCCTCTGATCATATCAAAATCCTGCAGATGATATCAACACTGGACCGATTGTGTGTTAACAGCAAGGAGAATGTCGGTTTTCTTATCGGCGGCTCGTATGTTATTTTGAAAATATTCTGTACACAAAACCCCAATTACCCACCAACTGACTCTTGGTATTTATTTAGCCTCAGTCCGCAGAATGGGGGCCTTGTGCTTTGGCGTCTTCGTACAAAGAAGAAATTATTTTTCCAAAATCTATTCCATTCTGGCTAAACAAAAAAAAAACCGTTTTACATCCGTTAGAAAGATGTATTTTACGAGTAACAGTGTCACAAATTGCCATCCTAAAGTCAGGCTCTGGATGTTTTCAACGATCCCATTTGGAAATCCTGGTAAAATTTCAGCATATGTTGCAAAATGTACAGCATCTTCGATTGGATCACTTATTCGATCGACAAAACCCCAAGCCTAAGATGTCTTTAGAATAGGAAAATTTGGGAATCTCCAATACATCTCAAATCTTACAATGCCCACTGATTTGTGAACCTGTAAGTTTGGCATATATTTCCCATAACTTGATTCAAACCGATAATAAAATTAGTAATACATCTGAGGATACTTTAACGATCTCATTTTGAAATCCAGACAAGAATCTCAGAAGAAGTTGCAAAATCTACAGCATCTTATTAGATCACTTATTGGATCGACATTGAAAAGAGGAATGGTAGAATGGGAAGTCTTGCGCAGTAAAACAGTGGTGCCTTCTTCGAAACCTAAAACTCCTTTAAAAAAATTAGATTTACTAACTCAACCGTTGGCCAAGACCTTTTTAATTTGATGTAGTCCGGAATCAGTTCAAGATGGTGTAGTCCGGAATCATTTGAACTCCCAATTCAAGTACTTCTTTTGCATTAACATTTTCCTTGGTACTATCAACCCATTAAAAGATTTAAAAAATCGCCCTCCAAGCTTTTGAAAATTGTATATTGAATATGTTATATAATGATGAGTATACTTTTAGGCGGAGAAATACAGTGCAATAACACAACAAATCTTGGGTACGCACCGCTTCATAGCTACGATTATGGCCGAAAGGCATGGTTTTGAAAAAAAACATTATTCTCGAAATAGAATCTCTATTGGGTCTATAATGAACGAATCATAAATATATAAAAATATATTAATTCCATTCTATGTTTATTCCTCAAGCAAAACGGACGGAGATTTGTTCACGTTTTACACATCGAAAAAAATATAAGACGAATATAGAACACGCTCTTCGCCCATTTTATATCCCATCCTATTAGAATTTAAACAAAAAGGTAAACACCTTGGAATCTATAAATCTTTTGAATAAAAAGAAGTAATATTAAAATTTGCAAACATAAAACAATGACATAATTCAAAACAATGGTTTCTAAAGAGGGAATATCGTAACAGCAACAACAACAAAAGAAAACAAAACATAATAGCCTAGACCAGAAACATGTTAATGTGTCTCTTTTTTTAATAGCATAAAAAATAATAATTCACATTTAAATGAGGCTAGCTAGCGATAAAGGGCCTTCATATTTTTTATCTGTATTTTGATGGTTGCTTTTGTTGTTGTCGATATCACCGTGGTAACATGATTTTCTTTAGCACACATACGACTTTAAAGCAAAACAATTATTGTAATTATTAGTGTACATGCATTTAACTAACAGTGCTTTAATTGGGAACGCAGCGAGCGATTTGCCATTGAATGTGGCAGGTCTTGAGTTTTTAGAATCAATGACAATGGCATACTTTGAAAGTTACACACTACAGATGTGGGATACTTTCGGAATCGACTCATAATCAGACAAAAAATAATTATCCCAAGCTATTAAGTACCAAAAATTGTGATTTATACGACACCAAATAACTGGTTTGATGTTACCATTTGAGTCCTTAAATGCTGACACTTAAGTATCTGTTTTCTACGTTCCTAAATAGATACATATGCATTTCTTTATCACAGTTCAAATCAAAGCGTTTTGCAATAAAAATCAATAATAATTTAATAGAAAATGAGGGTAATTGTTATAGGCACGACAAGGTAAGGTTCCATGTTAACAAAATGTTTTTTTTTTTTGTTTTTTGTGGAAAAAATTAAAATATTAAAAGTTTATCTTTACCTCTGCCCATTTACAGGACTTTAAAAACATGTTGTATGTTTTTCATATTTGAAAGAAAGATTTGAAAAGAATCCCAAGATAGACTAAAAAATTTGAAGTGAAATCAATGAGATTCGTACTTTTGTGTTGGATGTTAGCAACATAGGTGGCTAACTACATTCGTATTTTATTCCACTCGTCTGCTGTAATTTCTAAGCCACTCGTCCGAAAGCTGTTAAAATTACTCCCGTAACAGCTCATTATATTGTTTACAAGCCGAAAAATGACTCTTGAACAGAACATATCGCAATATTTTATTCGGCACATATTGGAAAATGATCTCGAGGTAAAGCAATTGAAATGCCAAAAAGGTGCAAGAACTTACACCGCAACAGAAAGAAAATAGACTCAAAAGAGCTAATTCACCGAAAGTGGTGAATTGCCGAATTTGGTTTTCTTCAATGAGAAAACAATCGTTGTCCAGCAGTTAGTAAACAAACAAAATGATCGAAAATGTGCACTTTTGGTTGGCCACCAGAATTCATGCGCCGGCCAAGATGATGGTGTGGATGAACGTGGCATCAGAATAAATGCCGAATATTATCGCGAACATATGCTGGAGGGTGTATTAAAGCCTTGGGCACGTAAACATTGTGGCCGAAGACTTTGGACATTCTAACAGGACTCAGCACCATCGCACTCAGCACGCACCACCTAAGAATAGTTACAAAATGAGGTTCCTCGCTCAATGGCCACCAAAATCTCCGAATACCAATCCGTTGGACTATTGTGTCTGGAGTATTTTGGAAAGCAAGGTTGGCACTAAAAAATACCAAAGAAGCGATCACCTCAAGCAAGCGCTTCGCCGGGAATGGGCCAAAATACCGCAGAGCAACATTCATGCAGCGTGTGACGGTTTCATTGGCCGTTTCAAGGCCATATTTCGTGCCAAAGGTGATCAATTTGAACAAATCTAAATTTATTCTAAAATTTCATTCAATAAAATTTAAAAGTTATGGCGTTTGACTTTGTTGCAGTTTTTTTCTCTCACCCTGTATTGATGATGAGAATAAAATCTCCAAAAAGTTTGAAATCCCATGCAACCATTATAAAAAATTAGTACAGATTTAAGTTCGAATATTATATTATTATATTAGGAGGATTGATGTTATGTATACGTTATAACTTTGACCCACAGTGAACATTTTGGCGAGAATAAGTTCTTCCTATTAAAATTTTAAAATATATTACAGGTGCTTGGGGAGAATATAAAACTTCGAATTAATATACATGACAACATGCATACCGATATTGTATTTTTTATGTAAATAGAGAGAATTTTAATTTAACAAAAATTCGAAAATTTGCAGCTAACTCCAGTACAAAGTACAGAAAATAGTAGACTAATTTGAAAATTTTCCATAGGGAAATCTGTATTGTCAAATTAAAACTAATTAAGACTCCACCTTGATTTCAAGATATAGCCAAGCGAATATCGTTAAAATGACATAGACTTGTATGGTGATAAGCCTACATTTTGTACGGGGTTTCCAGTGAATATTTCAAGGCGTTACAAAGCGAATGGCGAACAAGGTACATAATAGTTAGCCTCATCGCTCAATTCCAACAAAAGATAGCTAGGAAAATTACAACAGACTTCGAAGCTATCCAAAAATTCACACGTTAAGGCATCTTAACTACAAGTCAAACATTGCGGGGTTTGATTAACAACTACATAAAGCTATTAATGATTTTATCTATGAATTAATGATACCACCTCCCTCCTTCCCCCCACTTGCTCTTCTTTGATTATACACATTACAAAACTACTTATTATTATTTCCTTAGATCAGATCAGAAGCCATCAACAAAAGACTGATATGACCTTAATATGGTCAAAAATAATAATATGAGGTCAAGCAAATACATTTATGAATGTTTGCCAATCATGAAGTACGTGCTAGAAGCTAGACAGCCAGCTTTTTGCCAGCTACTTACTAATAAATGCTAAAGCGCTTTACAATGACTAGTACAATGATGACGAAGTCAATCATCTTTAATCGTGATCATGATCATAATCATCGTCATCATAATCATCTTTCTCAGCAGCTATAATGAAACGATCGCGTTTTCTGTCACTCATATTTGAGGTGGAGAACAAGAAGCAGAAAGAAAACGCAAATGAAAATAGAAAAATCTGATTCTACTGTCGCTGCTGCTGCTGCTCTTACTACATGCAATGGAATGTTGGCTTCCCTACCACCCTCCTTTACGTTTTGTATACGGCACTGGCACTTCCTAAGCATATGCAAATAGAACACGAAGAGGAAAAAGAAGCAGACACAGCCAAACGCTATGAAAAACACACAACAACAACAAGAAATTTGTATTCAATGAATAGGAATGGAAACGCCATCTATAGATTCTAGATGAAAAGAAAATCATTACGCACAGACACACACATATTGTGTTCCATTATTATTCATGGCACCCGGCGAGGAGTAGTAGAAGTGGTTCTTTCCTCCGGAAGCCCCTCAAAAATCAGAAATTATTTCAGGGTACCTATTTGGTTCGCTTGGATCGATCATACATGAACGATGGTTGGCTGGCTGGCAGGCTGGCTAGCTTGTTGGATGGTAGATGTTGTGAATTGTGGCTAAGATTCCGCTTGATGGCGTTAAAAATAAATGATGTTATCATCTCATCATCATCAACAACGAAGTAAAAAGTGGGCATATAAAAATAGCCTGTGGTCCCTGTTGTCTTTCTCAGTTTCACCAACACCACCGCCGCCGCCATTGTTTTGTTATTGTCGCCAACGACGTCGACCTCGACGTCATCATCATTGCAATTTTTTTATGAATTAAAAAACAACAAACATTATTTTACTCCAAAATTATTACAAAGATCATACAACAGCAACAACACATAATAGTTACCGTGTCCAAATTAAAGAGGGAGGATACTTTTTTGATAAAGCCCCCACCGCCTCCGCCACCATCTTTGCTTTTCTTTTTACGTGTAGTCATATTTCTTCAGCAAACAAACAAAATTATTCCACTGGGATCGGAAGCTAACCGGTGGCCAGCAGGTGTGTTGGATCGCACGGTATTTATATAGCGCGTCACAATGAACTGTGTTAATTATATGTGTCCGTCCGTCCGCCGCCAAGTACACGAAATCGTTGTGAATGTATGACAAACGATACTACAAAATTCTTTTTTTTTCAACAGCAAAAAATGGGTGTAATAACAACAACAAGAACACGTTAATTATAACCCACTGGTCATTCGCTCGGTCACTCTCTTAAATTTTCTTGATTTGTTTTTTGCTTTTTTCTTTTGGAATTTATTGCCTTTTTCTCTACTAAAAATTCTACTTTTTCCACGGAGTAAACAAAATTATTATTGCGAGAACGATTTAATCAAATACACTAACAAAACACGAAGAAGACGGCGAGCGATATGTCAAATTCCATAAAATAAACAACACTGACACACACGCACGCACACACTCATTCGCCCGACGACGGCGACGCACGTAAAGGCACTCAATTACTACAGCAACAATGTTGTATCATCAGCGAGGAGTGCTGGTTGGTTGCCGCAACATGTCTAAAATTACTTGTTTAATCATCATCATCTTCATTATATCTTGCTCCTCTTCTTCTTCTTTTCGTTAATAAATCGTATGTGTGAGTGTGTTTGTTTTATCTCTTCATTCACTTGTTGCCAAATAGCCCGAACGCTATTGTACTTGTTGTTTTTTAAACATATTCTTTGTTTTTTCAATAAACTTTTATTTGTTTTGGAATATAAACAACACAAAACAGCAACAATTTCTATTTTAAGTGTATTTTATTGTATTTTTCGTGCGAACGGCGGCGTATTTTTGTCAACGTTAAACTTTCCCTTCGAAAGGCACACACACTAGGGATACGTAAGTCGACCTTCGATTAATCGACTAATCGAGTATTGTCATCGAAAGGTCTATAGTGGTATACACACAGTGAGTTGTGAGTGCCATTTTTGCTAACATATCGATTGCTTGGCAATGTGCATGGTAGAAAAATACAGGTAGATGCATCAAAGCTTGGGAGCATTGATATGTCAAAAATTTTTTAAATTATTTTCAAATATAAGTAGATTTTTATATGTTTTCTTATACGACGTCATTCGGAGGTTATTGTAAAATGCCTTTTTCAACAATTTTTACAAATTTAAATAATTTTTCATTCAACATTTTCAAGTCCAAAATTGGTTTGACAGTTCATTGCCCCAGCAGCTGCGTCGATGCGTCTACCTATATTCTTCTACCATGGCAATGTGGCAAAACAATTTCAAATTTAGTTATTTGAATGATAGTGTGAACACGCTTTAAATGATAGTCAAAAAGTAAAAGTACAAAGAAAACTTTTTTGAAAAACAAAAACTTAGAACCACGGCTCAGTAAGGTTACTCAATTTCGAAGTAACAAGGAAAATGCAACTCTGTACCGGAGTCTTATAGTGTCAAATACATTTTTAATCATGCAACAATTGGTTTTGTTTATTTTACTTTTTTTCTTACAAAATTACTATATTGGGGAAAACTCCCAAAAATGAATGAAATGTTGGGTATTCTCCACAAAATTGAATTGAATTGTTTCCCGATAACGGGGAAAATATACATTTTTGTTGCATCAAAATTTGAAATAATTTCAGTTTTTTTTTTTAATTCAAAACTGTGTGTTTTGACAGAATAGGGGCACCAAAAGATAAAAATTGTATTTAGGGGGTAGCTTTGTTCTACCTTCTGTATTCGTGCCATGCTTATAGCATGTTTCCATTGGAAACCTAACAACGTTGTTCGCTCTAAGAATTAGGTACACGAATTAACCCGTTCATACGGCACGATTCGTTATTCATAGTAAAATAATTCCTTTCTCCAAAAATTTTGTTTGTTGATTTTAATGGGAATTTATACGAAAATACATGAAATTCTCACTTATATGAATAAAATAAATTATTGTTTTCCTCCCAAAGATTTTTTATATCATTAATTTTACAATTTTCATTCATGTTTTCAACTTTTTGTGTAAATGTTGACATTTTGAACACATTTTTGTGTTTTTCCATTTTTAAATTCTGCTGGAGAGACACTTGTCAAACATTTTTTCTGCCGATAGAAACATTTTGAAAATATTGCCTCTTTTGTTTGCAGTTTTCTGTGGAAATTCAACTCGTGGACAAAATGCGCACCTCGAATGAGAGAGAAAACAAAATTTACTTTCGTTTGAATGTACATTCGCCATTCAACATTGTAGTTTTCATTCATAATTTTCAGTCTTCCCAAAAATTTTTAAAATTTCATTAAATTTTTCTATTTTTAATTTTTAAATGTCATAATTTATTTTTCCGATAAATGCTCTCATTTTTTAGGGATGGGACATATTTTTTCGTTGTTCTGAGAGTGATTTGATTTGAACAACGTACAAATATAAGTGTTCGCTCAGGAAATTTTGTGTGAAGAATTAGGTAGTTCTTTCATAGTTAAGGGTCAAACAACGAATAGAGAGCGAATCAAGTGCAGTGGAAACGCCACATTAGAACGTAAAACGGAGCAAGAATAATTATTGATTTTAAAGGTAAACAGATTAAATACAAAATATAGAATATCCGGAGGTATCTTCCACTATAGTATTAGTGTGCACATACCTTGTAAACATTTTTTAAGAATGGAGCCCGATCAAAACCTTCCGAAACCAAATATGAACAATACCAATCTTCACAGACCTATTTATTCGACACAATGTCTGTTAATCGAAGTCCTACCTCAAATAATATGGACTGTATATGTACATTTATCATCCCCTTTTTCCCAGAACCTGCAAAACTCTCCTAGTTTTGTAATTTTTTTCGATATCATAAAGAGAAAATCGGTTATCATAGTAAAAACTTTTACATTCTTGCAGTTCTGGAACAGATCCTTCGTTGGAATTTTCTTTAAATCCTCTCAAAGTTATTTAATGTAACAATCAGCAATCTTTGTATTGGATTCTTTAAATAATGTGCCTAAATGAATGAGCTGTCAACAAAAGTTAAACTAACTACCATTCGTTTCGCTAGTGTGTACCGTAGATAAAAGTATTGCCATTAATCGTATACAACTCGTAATCGATATGGTGAATATAAAATTTATCGAAATGCCTTTAGGCGTTGCCACCCAAAGATCTTAGGTGTTGCCATGAAAACATATTTTGATTTTAAAGCATATTTTTAGGAGAATGTAAAAAAGGAAATTAAAATATATACAAACCTTTTTTCATTTTTAAGTATATCAGCAATTAATGCAACAACGAAACACAACGAAATAAAAACGCAAATAAATTAATCAAAACATAACTTTATTAATTAAATAATAAAAAAAAAAAAAACAAAATTTCTTGTCATGCAAAGTAATTAAAATCATAAAGCATAAAATGTTTATTGTTATAGTATAGACTGTCAAAAATAAGCATATTTGCAAAGTTCTTGATTAATTAAAACACAAAATAAGAACTTCTTGAGGAACATAGCAAGCGAAGGTATAAAACGAGCTTAAAAAAATCAAATGTGTTATCATAAAATATAAGCAATAATAAAATTAAAAGAAAATGCGATTTCAAAACGAGATTCATTCCAAGTTGTTAAAATAATATGGTCTATTGTGAATAAAAAAAGACCAAAATGAAAAACAGGGGTTTCCATCAAAGTTGTTTCGTATTGTACCGAAAGATTTTGTACATTTTGAAAAACAAATTCTCCAGGAATTTTTTTTAATGGAACAGTCTCAATTGGCAATTTTTTTTTTTTAGTATTGTAAGATTACTTTTGGCATTGTAAATCGGCAGAAATAAATTTGCAATATTTCAAAGGCTTTGGAAAACTTTTTATAATTAGTGTTCATAAAGATGTCACCCAGGATTTGTAATCCTGTAAACACCTAACACAAGTTATAAGACATTTGTGCATGTATCTTGGAAACATACATATGTAACAACAAACATTTACATATTTTTATATGTAAATACAATGACCAACATCGAAAAACTTGGCACAAAACACTGTTTATCACTTATATGCTAAATTGGAAAAGTCACTCATACCTTCAATGGGAGACCATTGAAAGTTTTAACTTACTTGAGATATGGAGAAATGTACATTTGGAAAATGATTCATGGCATTTGTCTGTGACTGTGTGCTTCGGCTGCAGTCGTCTGTCTTACTTACATTTTATAATAGCTTGAAAAACATACTTCATATGGACTTACACTATTTATTTCTGTGCTTCCGGGCGGCTGTTGGCGACCATTGGTTTGTTGCTGTTGCTCAGTGTCCGTTAAAACATCTGTTAAATTTTGTTCATTCTTTGTTTGATTTATATCCGTTTCGGCAGCAACTTTTACAGTTTGGTTCTGAAAAAAAGGTAACAAAAACGTATTAGTCTATTGGGGTCAGTAAGAATTTTATGCAAATATAAAAATAATTATTTTTTTTTTCATTTATCTCCCCCCGTTCCTGTGACTAAAACTATGAATAAAGCCAAGACAGGAGTCAATTTGTTGAAAACTCGAAAAGAGGCCACCGCCCATTTTTTGATTTTGCGAATATATTCGAGTTAGGGTTCTTCGTGATCCATGCATTTTATGTGTATACAGGGTGAAATGAAAAACTGCAACCAACTTCAGACTACTGTCATTTCTAGGCCACTCGTCTTACAGCTATTAAAACTATTCCAGTGACAGCTTATTTTGTTGTATACAAGCGTACAAAAACTCGGTGTAAAGCCATTGAAATTTCCAAAAAGTGCAAGAACTTACACCCCAACAGAAAGAAAATAGAATCAAGAGAGCTAAAGAGTTGCTTCGCTTGGCCGAAAGTGGTGAACTGCCGAATTTGCTTTTCTCCGATGAGAAAACATTCGTTGTCAAGCAGTTTGTGAACAAACAAAATGATCGTGTTTATTTGCCAAAGAGGTCAGCTGAAAATGTGCACCTTCGGTTGGCTACCAGAACTCAAGCGACGGCTATGGCGATGATGTGGGCCGCCATAACAGCCGATGCTCGCTATCCGCTCGTATTAATCGACCGTTGCATCAGAATAAATGCCGAATATTATCTCGAAAATATTCTGGAGGGTGTATTAAAGCTTTGGGCACGTAAACATTTTGACCGCGGACCTTGGACATTCCAACAGGGCTCAGCAACAACACGCGCCACCCAAGAATGGTGACAAGGTGAGGATCCTCGCTTTATTTCCAGCGCACAATGGCCACCAAAATCTCCGGATACCAATCCGTTGGACTATTGTGTCTGGAGTATTTTGGAAAGCAAGGTTGGCAAAAAAATACTAAAGTGTCGATCACCTCAAGCAAGCGCTTCGCAGGGAATGGGCCAAAATACTACAGAGAAACATTCGCGCATCGTGTGACGATTTCATTGGTCGTTTGAAGGCCATACGTCGTGCCAAAGATGACCATTTCGAACAAATCTAAACTTAATCTAAATGTTAATGCCTTTTTCGACATTTTTTGCTTTCATTCAATAACATTTAAAAAAAATGTAAAAATTATGGCGTTTGACTTTGTTGCAGTTTTTTATCTCACCCTGTATATGAGCTATATCTACACTTTGGCCGATTATCTCAAATTTCAATTGGGTCAAACAAATGACTTCTGCAACTTCCTCTGGATCGAATAAATAAAAAAAACACCAACAAACAAGTGAAACGAACTGCATACTTCGGACTAAGTAGGGGTTAGACTTTGGTCACGGGAATATGACTATAAATCCGGAACTAGTATAGTACCATCTACAGGTAATGGAAAGGGACAATTGGTTACCTCGTATGACATCCTCATGTTAAAGTTTATAGTTGTTTGCACTGGGAGGGGCCTTAAGTGGAACTAGTTACTGTAACCCTGAGAACGAGTTTCCGGTGCCGTACTTTGGTAGCGGTTTGTTTCACCTTGTCGCTCTCTGAGGATCTAGATAAACTTACTTGTTTTGTAAACTAGGTATATTGGTTTTTTAAAAAGTCAATTGTTACCAATATGCAAAGCATACTTTTAGGAGGAATCATAAAAGATTCTGCCTTCAAAAAATCTTAGAGACAAACATCTTTTGTCGAAGAGGGATTTATGTCCAAGCAAGTAAAAAGGCCGGTATCTCGCCGAAACGAGTCATAACGTTTATTTTCCAACCCGATTTTTAATATAAAGCAATTATAGGCTTCATTCATGTTATGTTCTTTTGTATTTTCAATGTGTTTACTAAATCAAACAACGATTTCTGTGTTTTGAATATTTTCTTTAAGAGATGGTTAAAAAACCCCACATCCATAATTAATTCAACCTTAAGAAAATATATATATTGATCATATGAATATGTGTATGTACTTACAAATGGACAATGTGGTGAGGTGCAATATGCATTTGCTGGGTCTTGTTTTTGTTTGCTTCTCTTATCGGCCTTCCGGCGATTGCTCATACAAATGTTACAATCATTTGCCACAACTCGGTTGTTGGCATCTTCACATAGTTGGCTGGATGAAGAGGTGGCTGGCAATTGACCACCGCTACCACCAGCACTACCACCAACCGTTGACGATGAGGAAGACGATGACTTTTGTTTTCTGGGACGCGAACGTATGCGAACCGGCGAACGGACATGTAATGTGGAAAAACGACGACGCGATGTACGCACAATAGATATCCAATCAATCATTTTGATTTGTTGGAAGGAAGGATGATTGGGTGGTGGTGATGGTGGGTGGCCGTTAATTAGATTTCAATGAATGTTCGCAGGCACACACAAACACACACGCACATACAAGTTTTCTATGTTTTCCAATTTGGAAATTATCAACAATAACAATGAATATTGCTAATCATGTGCAAATATATTGTGTGTGTTTTTTTTAATGATAATTTGTTGGTGTTTTTTTCTTTTATCTGCTGTTTCTTCTTTCTTTATTTATAATATTTTACCGTCTCATAAATTTGTTTTAAACAATTTCTGTGGTTTTTTATAATGTTTGTTTTTGTTTTCTAATATAAATATAACACATTTTAGTTATGTTTTTATGAGACACACTATTTAACAAATTATGTATACAGGGGCTTTGAATAGCAAATAAATCAGATCGGTATTTTATGTGTTCGACCAACTGCTGTAAAATATAGTATGAATGGGACAGGGGACAATATTTACAAATATGTTTTTGAATGTCTATTGACATTCAAAAGGCAAGAAAACTTAAACCAAAAAATTCAAAAATTCTTTATAATATTCATATTACAAAGTTAAAATGTAAAGGCATTTAGGAGAAACAATTTTTTAGGGACAAGACATATTGACAAATTTAAATGGAACTCTTAATCGACAAGACGAAATTTGAAAATACCATGAATATCAGAAGGGAATTTGTTTCGCACGGAACCATTTTTCTCTATAGAACATTGCTCCAATGATAAATAAATGAGAAGGCAATGGCAACGTTATTGGCTATTTTTCGCACCTTTTGTTTCGTATATGCTGTGTAAATTGGTGCGCGATAGGTTGGGAGAATGCAATTAAAGTTCTCAAAATACCACCAAGTGGGCGGTGCCATATGTTAACTTGGTTAACACCAAATCCTTAACCTGTGTAGACAATTTTCTACTACAAGGATCGATGTTAACTATTGCGAGTTGTATATACCTAATTTGAAACAATTCAGAGGAAAATGCGACTAGAATCATCAAAATACGAAATATCAAGGGGAGCTGATCTTTGCAGTCTATTGGAGATTGTTGACCAATATTACGAATGTTCTGACACCGAGGCTATACGATAACGTTAACTGATATAACCTCTTTTTCATGATGGAGAGTATAATTGATCATCTTAAAAAGCAAACTCCCAATAGAATTCGAACATTCAGGGCGAGATGAAAAAACTGCAAACCAACTTTAGACTGCTGTCATTTCTAAGCCACTCGTCCGACAGCTGTTGAAATGATTCCAGTGACAGCCCATTATATTGTTTACAAGCAGACAAAAGCATTCTGGAGAGTATTTTCAAGAAAAAAAGTTATTCGTGATGAAATTCAAGCGTGATAGTGTGATTTCTTTATATTTGGCTGGAAACCCACAAGTGGCTATCGTTAGAGCACTCCTGCATTTAAATGTGAATAAATCTTTTGTGTCTCGCATAATCGCTCGTTACCGCGATACTGGTAGTGTAGCCCGCCGTCAAGGAAGTGGACGGAAAAAAACATCAACATCAGCAGAAATGGTTCGAAAAGTAAAGAAGCGACTTGATCGAAACCCGCGTCGCAGTTGCCGAAAAATGTCTGCACATATCGCAATATTCCATTCGGAAAATATTGAAAAATGAGCTTGGGGTAAAGCCATTGAAATTTCCAAAAAGTGCAAGAACTTACACCGCAACAGAAAGAAAATAAACTCAAAAGAGCTAAAGAGTTGCTTTGCTTGGCCGAAAATGGTGAACTGCACTGCCGAATTTGGTTTTCTCCGATGAGAAAAAATTCGTTGTCCAGCAGTTTGTAAACAAACAAAATGATCGTGTTTACTTGCCAAAGAGGTCAGCTGAAAATGCGCACCTTCGGTAGGCTACCAGAACTCAAGCGTCGGACATGGTAATGGTGTGGGCCGCCATAACAGCCGATGGTCGCTCTCCGCTCGTATTAATTGAGCGTGGCATCAGAATAAATAACGAATATTATCGCGAAAATGTTCTGGAGGGTGTATTAAAGCTTTGGGCACGTAAACATTTTGACCGCGGACCTTGGACATTCCAACAGGACTCAACACCATCGCACTCAACACGCGCCACCCAAGAATGGTTACAAAATGAGGTTTTTCGCTTCGTTTCCAGAGCACAATGACTACCAAAATCTCCGGATACCAATTCGTTGGACTATTGTGTCTAGAGTATTTTGGAAAGCATGGTTGGCACTAAAAAATACCAAAGTATCGATCACCTCAAGCCATCATCCAAAGCATTGAGACCGAATAACTTTTTAAAAGCAATATATTTTGATTGCTTAAGTCTGAAGAATTCCGCAATTGGCATAGCACAATACCACTCTATCTCTATCTATTCGGAGAGCAATATTTTGCAAAACATAACTGAAAGCTTTGCAATATTTGCTAATATTAGTCATGATTTCAGTAGAGTTGCTTCTCCAATTTACAGAACTCGATGTGTTCTTGGTTAAAAATGTTCTGGTAGTCTTTGCAATATTTTGATATGATGATTTTTGAGAAAGGTAAGAAGTGAGTGTCATTCTCATTAATTTGTGAATGCTCCAGACTAAAGCAATCAACATATTGAGTCTTCAACAATAACAAAACAAACAAGAGATGAGGTATTAACTTGTCGCTAATAACTCACATCATTGAAGATGGGTT